AAATTAGTGATAATTTCTAGCTTATAGCTCTATTTGATGGAAAAAAATAGTTTTTTTACACAGATTTAAATATTTAATTTTTTGATATGCGCTGTATCAAGATAAATTAAATAAACAACATTACGTGGTAGCACACGTGGTCTACGTCATGAAAGTTATACTTTTAAAGCTATCTAACACCATGCACTTTTTTTTTAAAAATTTAAACTAATTCCTTTAAAACGTGCGTGCTTCTGAAAAATAATTATTTAGAATCAATGGTAATTGAATAAAAAATATTTATGTATTCATTGACTGGTACAAATTCGCTTAGAAGAAATGTAAAAGAAATCGCCATATCATTTATTGACGACAATGACGCTTAATTAATTTAGGTATATGCATATTGAAATAGAATAAATAAACTATGTTCCAGAACGCAAAAGTGACGAAATCAAGATATTTATGTGGAACAGTGGTTACTAACTGGAGCGGGCCGCATCCGGCCAGCGAAGCCTTTTTTTTGTGGCCCGCGAACTAAAATATATTAGTTGTCAATTTCTTGTGGACAATTTTGGTAAAAAATCTATATAGGATTAAAATACTTTTCTTTCGTTTAAAAAAACCTAATTTCATCATTTCTGTCAAATTCAACATACCAACGGTGCAAATAAAATTATTTCTCAGTTTCTGCATCCAAAAAAATATTTATTCAAATACAAAAATAATCGTGTATGTTGCTTTTTTCTATTTCGTTTTTTTTTGTATTTTGTGAATATAATTTAGCAAGTGCGTATCAGAAATTCTCTCGAAGAAATTCTCCCATTTAACTTTTTGAAACCACTCATTTTGCATGGAATTTTTTACATTTGTAAATTTTAAAACGCATAAAAGAGGAAATGAATATCGTGTTTTATTTAAATTCCCTGAATTGAATATCTCATGAGCGGAAAAGAAAAAAAAATTAATTTCAGATGCTCGAGAATTTTTTTTCTGTTGCTATAATTCCTAATAAGTCGAAAAAAAAGTTAATTTATCACAGAATTAAATTTAAAAGAAAAAAAAATTCTTGTCACTAAGTTTCTGATTAAGAGAAGATTCAAAATGATACATAACAAGCAATATTTGTAATGCTTGTTATTTCGCTTTTTAATATTAAAAAACCTTTAATAAAAATCTGACAGTAATATTTAATGTTCCTTCGAACATAAAAGAGTCCTATATGAAATTTTGAGAAAGTTGCACCCCGACATTTGAATGGTGTTTTAAATTGAGGCCCCCGGTCACATGTAAGTTGGAAACCCCTGATCTAGAAGAACCATAAGAAATCATCATACTATCATTGACGACGAAGATTCTTAATTAATGTTAGTACTTGAAAGCAAAAATAATGGAGAAAATATACTTCTTCATTTTGGGGAGCAATAAAAAATTACGATATTATTATTGACACAAATGCTTCTTAATATTGATAATATGAATTAATTGAAATAAAACTAGCTATGTGCTAAAAAGCGAAGTTAAAGGAGAAAAAGGTTAATATTCAGGAAATTCGTTAAGGAAAACCGTAGAAAATCGCCATTTACAGATAACGCTTACTTATTGTGCACTACTGACGGTAATATGTTCTATTGGTATTATGGTAATTGGTGCAGTTTTGATAAGATTTCTGCAACGGGTTTTCCGTAATTTCAGAAAATATTTTTTCCACTTTTAGCAAAGATAGTGTATTAATATTTTGATGGATTAGAATATAAGGAACTTTGTTTCTCTACTACCTATAAATATTTTTATAGTAAATTAAAGGCCAGATAGAGAAATTCCCTTGCTCCAAAAATCTTCAATCTTATCAAGTTCTAATAAGTCTAATAAATCTTATCAAGTTCTAATCTTATCAAGCTCTTTAAAAAAATTTCGACTTTAGTTGGCTGTCACTGACAACTGTATTTGTCACAAAACTTAAATGTTGAAGGGTTATGTAATGTGTTCCAAATATACTAATACAGGTATAAAATATTACATTGATATATTTGGTGATTATTAAGACAGCACCAATACTTAGCAGTTTTCTTTCTGTTACTTTGGAAATAAGTGTTTTACGGTCTTCGAAAGGGATATATACCTTAGAAAATTACTTGATAGTACTATAGCATCATGCGAAGCGATACTAAATACATTTTATCTTTGTTCTAATGGGATAAACTACGAAAAACGGATTTTGCTTACTTCAATAACGCAAAGCCACCAAAAGGGCAACAAATAATATTAAATAAAAAAATTAATTACTTTAACTATATTAATTGAAAAACTTAGTGGAAGAACCAGGTAAGTGACATTTTCAGATGTAAAAAAAAAGTTGCATCCAAACTAGTTTATTACCAATTTATTAGGAAGCGGAACAAATATTTCTTTGTTCTTATTTATTTACCACTGCATAATTTGAAACAAAAAATCATGCAAGCATACAGATAACTGCTATAATTAGTTATGTCAAGATTTAAGTGAAGGCGAAAACAGTTCTGTTTCATTAAACATTCCCGTATGGATGCAACCACTTTTTTTAATTCTCTCTGATTTATTAAATCCCCTAAAAATTTCACTTACCTGGTTCTTCCACCAAGTTCTTTGATTGTGTCGGTACATGATTTTCAGTTTTGAGCTTGATTTCGTAGTGTATCTCAATACTGATTTATTTATTTTTTAATATCACCGTGCGAAGAACGGGAATTCAGCTAGTACATAATATATGGAAATGCAAGTTTACATGAGTTGTTACTCTCAAAAGTAGGAAATGTGCAAAAAAAAAAAATTTTTTTTACTATCTTTGCGACTATATTTTTGGGATCAGGACAATAAAATTTCATGGATATCTCTGATTTGTATTTCAGCAGTTGACATAATGAACAGAGGCATCTTTATCTGCTTTATGTAGTTCTTAAATAATATATATTTAACGCTTTGATGCAGATGGGACACCTGCGTCCTTTTTTGTAGAAATTTTTTCTGACGCTCTGTAATTACAAGCAGCAATATATTTTGGTATTTTTTAGTAATAAAATATATAAACAGTTGCTAGAAAAATCTATTAGGTTCTGGGACTTATATTTGTACAGAATTTTTTTCCCCACTTATATTGAAAAATTTAACAAGAATTGATTTTGTGAATTAAAGAAATTTTAATGATGAATAACTTCTTATATCTAAGTAACTGCAAATCAGTGCAAATTTGAAAAATTATCGCTTGAAAGTAGACCATGTTTGGAGCCTATGCTGTATTTCATAATTAAAAATTATGAAAATGCTAAATATTATATTTTTCACCTAATATATATAATATATTTTTTCATACAAAGTATCGAAAAAATGTATGAAAACATATTAAACGACAATTCTGCATTAAAGGGCTAAAAAGAAACTAGCTTATGGAAAATTCATGATTGTTTCTTCTTCTTTTATTTTGTTTATTTAATTTTTTTTCTTTCAATTGCTTTTATTTATTCAGGTGTGAATTTTTTTTTTGCTTCATTTCTTTTTCTTTTCTCTCGAATAATACGGAACATTTCACAACATTTCTGATAAGGTAAAAAAAATCTTTTGTTAAATTTTTGTAGTCTTTCCGGGAAGTTGTATAATAAGTTATTTTGATACGAAGAAGAAATTTCTTTATCGTTGTAATATATCTATTTTAAATAGATTAAGAAAATAATGTAGGTACTTTAATAATGTATTTTTACGTAATTTATTTTTCTGACATAGATCTATTTTTTAAAAAAAAAAGAAATTATCTTTTCAAAGTATTCTCTTTTCAATTATTACTTTTCATTGGTTTTTACTAAATTACCTGGTAGATACTCAAATTTTCTATTATTTATTTTTTTAAATGCTTGTTTTTAATTTGAATGTTTCTTATGTATTCCGCTAAAAGAATTAGCAGTCTTTTGATTGGCAAAAAAGTGTTTATTATGTTTTTACTTATTCCGGAAATAAAAAAAGAAAAATATTTAATACTAAAATTATCAATCAATAATTTTCTTTATAAAAGTACTATATAACTAACGTATATAAAAAACTACTTATATTTCGCTCTGGTTATGACGATATAAATTATTTACAAAATTTAAGTGAGCAAAATATTTTATGAATAAAGCCAAACATTTTTCCAACTGTACGATAACGTAATCAGTCAGAAGAATCTCGTTTTAGATACTCAAAAAAAAGAGAGAAAAAAATCAGACTTAGAGTTTGAAGTAAGTAATAAGTATTTATTATTTGAAAAAAAAAATACTTTTAAAATCTGAAGTCATACAGGGGTATTGAAATTTAGGGCACAGAATTGAATTTCTATTAGAATTTTTAATTTTCATCTTCTGATTTTAGCCTTTTAAACACAAATATTGAAGTTTTCGGGGAATAAGAAAAGCTTTAAATTCAAAGTGACATTTTACAGCTAACAGTATTTTTTGTCTGCGTTATTGAACGAGCTTGGTGATGTATTCAAAGTAAAATTGAAGATTTTTGTCATTTTTAATTAATCACTACGGAATAGACAATATAAATTTTTTATAGATTATTCAAGCCTTAAGCACCGCCCGTAAAAATTTATGTCAATCCGATTGGCGTGAAATTTCCTTCTTAGAAACTTTAACGTAGATCATATTTTAGTAATCGACCATTTGCTAAACTCAAAAAGGCGAATTATACTAATTGTTAATGTTTAATTATTTTTACTGGTTGAACTATTTAATAAATTAGAAAAGTGTCCCTGTTATTAAATAGTTCAAATAATTAGAAATCTGTAAACGAAACGAAATTTTTTTTTCAATTAAAGTTATCATAAATTCTATAATTAAAAACAGACTTGTTCTACATAAGATAAATTTTTAAAGGCGATTTGCAGAGTGAAAAAGAAGCGTTACGCGCTGAACTGTTGTTAATCAAAGAATTGATTTTTGATTCGAATCTAGATATTGCTTTAAAAATAAAAATGAACTCAATGAGGTTAAAAAACAAAAAGAAGTAAATAATTTTTAAGTTATTTTTATTAAAAAAGTATAAAGTAAAAGTAACAAATAACATGATTGTATGGCAAAAAGCAAAAAAACTATATTTTTTGCAAACTAACTAAAAATAATAAGCAGTGAAATGTTGTATACATTTGTATCAATGCGATAAAAAACAGCACAATATATCAATACAAAATTTATAATGAAGTTGTACATTTTGGAAAATGTTAAGCAGACTTGACAAAAAGTAAGCATATCAGCATTATAAGAATGCGTATGTAGACTTGTAGAAAAAAAATATCACGGGTTGTATATTTTATCAATTAGCGGGCTGTCTTTCCGCTGTATAAGTTTCACAGTAATTTCTTTAGGTTGAAGCAGACCTTGACCAATGTAATAATCTAAAGGTACCTAAAATATAGAGCATTTTTAGTGCAATAGGATAAAATAGTGATTAAATTAGATCTATTATCTCTTTACGGAGATAAGTGGTCAGTATGGCCACTGAATGTTTAACCATTAATTCCAAAAATATTATTAACTATTAGAATAGAGAAACTATTTGTATTTAAACGCTCGATACTTTTTAACAGACGTTTTTATTTTTAATGCACTATCGATAATCACAATTGCTCATGTGTTGTCTGACTTAAATAATCATCAAAAATGTTTTCATATTTAAAAGAATACGTTAAGCCTTTGTCAACTTTAAATGGCATTTTCTGAATACCACCTTCTTAATACTTGAAATCTCAATAGTTTGTCTCTGTAGTTTCCATGCGATTTAGTTGGAAATTAATAGTGTATTAAAGTAGTTTTATGTGAACAACTAAACCTATTTATAACTTAAGTAAATAATAAGTAATTATTTAACGTAGTTTTTCTATTGCAGGTAAAAAAATTTAATTACATTTATTGTTTCTGATAAATTAAAATGTAAAACTTCTTTTACGAGTTTTTTTTTACTTTATTGTATTACTTTTCATTTCATTTTTGAATCAAAATATGCAATATATTTATTACCAGTAAAGCCTTGAAAAAACAAAACTATTAAAAATCTAATTTTTACATTCATAAACTGGCAAACGAGTGCATGAACTTGCATATTTTATGCACTAATGTTAACATTAAGTGGGTGTCATGCATATTTAATGAAATAAGAAAACAAATGTATTAGTTTTTAATTAAATTTAATAAACGGCAAACTATTATGAATACATTTTTAAAAAAATGTCATGAAGTTTTGTGTTATTCCAATAAAATTTCGTCGTTTAAGTGCACAGGTCTGTTACAAATAAGTAAGAGATTATAATAAACTTATAATAAGGATATTTTAACTATGACAATTTACAAATACTTTCCAATAATTTTTATCAACGTTTAACTGGTAAAACGTTTCACAATTAAACACATATGATATAATTAAAAAATTAAGAGATGTTTTTAAGGGCACTTATTTTTTTTCCAAATGAATTTAAAATAAGAAAATGATCGTATTTTTATCACACCTGAAGTAAAATTCGTTGTGCACATCACTTTTGAAAGACATGTGACAATTTTTGATAACGTACGAAAGCGACAAGTGAATAAAATAGAATTGTTTTCTCTTTAGTCTATGCATAAAGTGTAGTTTTTAAATTTTTTCTTTTATTTAAATTTCATCTTTTTTGTTTTAGGTCAAAAAGTGATTGTTCCCGAGAGTGTTTGTTGAAGACAAAAATGGTCGAAATTTTGATTGGTGATGAAATGGAGGTAAGTTTTACTTGTGATATTTAGAAAACGATTGTAATTTGTATTGTCATTAAGCTCAGAGCTCCAGTTTAAATTTTAACACTCCAAATAATTGGAAATGAATGAAACTTCGGTTAACAATAAATTATATTTATTAAAAAATTCTGAAAATTATATTTTTTGGTCAGTAGTCGGTTTAAAACTTGTAGTGTCAACAGATATGGAGCTTCAGTTAAAATTAAAATTTAATCTCTCTAAATTGTTGAAAAATGGTCAAAATTTTGTTTGGTAATAAAACGAGGATAAAATTTGCTTGTAGTTCTCGAGAAATAATTAAATTTGTTCGCATTAAGTGCAGTGCTCCGATTAAAATTTGGTGCTCCAGCTTATCAGAAAATTGCCAGAATTTGTTGGATGATAAATTCTGTTCAGCAATCAAATGCTGAGAATTTCTGTTTATAGTGGTCGGTAAATAATTGAAAACTTCGTTTTCATCTAGTGCACATTTTCATCAGTTAAACTTTAAGTGCTCTATTTAGTCGGATAATGAACAAAACTTTGAATAATAATATAGTTTCTATGGATATTAGATGTTTTAAAACTCTGCACTTAACCATTAGAAAATCGTGTAAACTTGTAACATCAAAATGCACAGAACTCCAGTTAATATTAAATGCTCTAGTCAATCATAAAGTGATCGGAATTTTGATTGATTATAATTTCTACTAGGCGCTAAAATCGCGTATATCAGCCATGAAACGATTAAATCTCGCATCATCACAAACGTTGAAATTTAATAGCTCTAGCTAGTCGGAAAGGCGTCGAAATTTTTTGAATGTGACCTCCACCGTCAGAAACACAAGAGCGATGTGATAGGAACGAAGTAATTAACATTTGAGTGTCATATTACACCATTTTTTTCTTTTCTCTTTTGATTCATTGGTAGATAAAGGGAAACAGAATATTTTCAGAGTGAATAGAATATTTTTCGATATAAGAAATAATACCTTTGTTTCTGGGCATCTTTTAATTCTGAAATGGCTCAATACATAAGCTAAACAAACTTTAACTTCAACAAGGGCGAACCTCATGCCCACACAGTTCCTAGGTCCAGCTCCAAACGGCATGAAAGTGAATGGTTCTCTCTTGGCTTTTTCTTCAGGAGTAAATCTAAAGAAAAGAATATATATATATATATATATATGAAANTATATATATATATAGAAAGAAATGACTGAAACTTTAATTATCATCACACGCATGATGTTTAGATGATGAGATTTGAACACTCTAGTTAGTACAAAAACGGTTTAATTTTGGTGGACAACAAATTTCTTGTTGCTATAATATGGCGATGCATTTTGTTTGTAATGTCCAGGAGGCGATGCTTGTATTGTCATCAGGCCCAGAGCTCTATTAGAGATTTGAAAGCTCTAGCCAATCAGGAAAGTTTCGAAATTTTAGATAGTAATATTCCACCTTTACAGACACGAAAGCTTGTTAATAGAACATCGTTAAATAGGTAGTCATGCCAGCGACAACTTTATTGTAATACAGTAATACGAAAAAATCTTAAAATCTACAGAAAAATTTAGAACTTGTAAGTAACTTATCTAGTTATTCTTTAAAAAAAATTCATTAAAAATGCATACTTTTTAGAACTTACTAAAGAAAATTGATAGTTAACGTACTCATCACCCTTTCTAATATTGTTTTAGTCTACTAGAAATTTGAAGCATTTTCAACTCATGCATTTAAACTAAAAAATCGCAAAATTCGAAAAAATTAAATTGAATAAACTAAATTTAATAGTTTAAAAAGTTATCAAAATACGAAAGAAAAAGAGAATTTAAAATATGAAATATATGATTCTAATCAATACCTATCGGGATCAAATTTTTCTGGTTCCGGAAAATATTTAGGATCTTTGTGCAGAGCATATACTGGAACAGTAATAACAGTGCCTTTTGGAATTATGATTCCCGTATCGTCCAGCGTGTAATCTTCGTTTGCTTTCCTTTCTAATCTAAATTAAGAAAAAATGAAGGAAATTAATTGGGATTTAATACTGCATAAAAAAATTTTTTTATTAATAATAATGTGGAATTCGTAATTATCTGCTATGGCTCGTAATTTTTAAAATAAATATCAGGGACAAAATTATTAAATCAGTTATGTGACGAATCCTATATATCCTACAATATATTTATAAAAAAAAGCTAACGTTAATTTTTGTATGAATTTGTATTTGGGCAAATGAAACGAGTATTTAAAATATCAGTACATAAATTTAATTTTTAGACTCTGTTGCCAACTAAAATTTAGTTCACACACCTTTCAACATATGCAACATCGTTTGATGACTAAGATCAATTTCAATGGACATTTCCAGCACAGGCGTTTTATCAAAAGAAGACCCATACGACGTCAGCATGGAAATATTTACAGACTGTGATCTGTGGCAGAATAATCGCCAAGTCTTGGCAACTTCTGGACATTAACACTCAAGAAAACTAAAACAACAACAAAAAAAATCGCAGAAGGGCATCAACTTGAAGGGTGTTTCTCTTAGCCATCCCTAGGCAAAACTCTACAGGCTATTACTATTTTTAATTTTCAAGTTTGAAATCTATTTGGCTCTTTGGCGATTGTAGTAGGCGCTTCCCGCCAACGTGATCTTTGAAAAATGAATGGTCGACCAGTGAATACGCAGACTCAGTCCTGACAGTACAAAATACTTTGATCTATTCTGCAACTATCATTTACAGTACATTTCGCCTCAGGTCTAAAATAATGCATTTTTGTCACGAGCTACCTCGATTTTTTCCACTGATCACTTTATACTTGATTTAGAGCAGTACAAACGATACTGTCCGCTTCGTAGCAACTTGAACCTCTTTTAGTGGATCGGCGGATTTATGTACTGTATACATCAGCAAAAGCGATACCTCACATTGTAAAAAATTCCGAATCAGATAACTGTAAAATGTACGGCAACTCTGAGTGTAGCATTCTTAAAATGTATTTTTACCGTAAAGTTTCATATCGAAAATTTTACAGCTATATGTATTAAATTACAGTGATTCAGTGACTTTAGAGTAAATGTTACAGTAAAAATTACTGTATATCAGATTTTTCGATTCATAAAATTTTACATTAAAAATGGATATTACGCATAAACAGTATTGGCACCCAGAGTGCTGGTGCTTTTTGCCATAATTTGATCCTGAATTTTTAACAGTGCTTTTCTTCCATATCCTGTTTGTTAATGCCCCATACTTTGCTACTTTTTCGCCAGCGTTAGTTGTTACTACTTTATTCACAACTCTCGTATTCGAAGAAAAAAAAACAGAAAAGTAAAAAAAACGTAGAAACATTTTTGGTAAATCAAATGAAATTATTTTGAAATTAAACTATATTTTAATAAATTATTTAAAACAGTACATAGAAGGTTTCACAATCACCGTTCTTATTAAGGATTTTTAGAATCCTTGTCAAAAGTGAGCATACACATTAGGGTTCACGCATCAATATTTAAGCCAAGAAAAATAAGACTAAAGTGCCAACGAAATCTATCGGATTCCTTAAAAGGAAGGTAGTGGAGTCATTATAGAGCAACATGTGTATAAATTTCACAATAGGAAGGTATTATAGATATCCATCAAAAAATAATATTCTCTAGAAAAAACATTAATAATTACCAGTCACTTTAAAGAATTTCGGATCAAATTACGGTAAAAAAGTACCGGCTGTCAGAGTACTTTTGTGTACTTTTGCAGCAAAATCCATCTTTTTCCCCGGAATATGCAATGGAACAAAAAATCTAATACATCGTAATTTTTACAGTAACAATTACCGTAAAAGCACCGAATAACTCTAATTAAATAAATATTTCTGTCAAACTTACGGTATAATATTTTATGGAAAAAGTGATGGATTTTATGAATGACGTAGCTAAAGGGCCCGTACTTCATACTGTAATTCAGTTTTTAATTTTTTTACAATGGACAAATATTTACCTTGTTGCAGGTGGACTAATTCTAAGAGTTTCAGATATGACATTGTCTAAATACTTCATATTTTGAATGACTTCATACGTCATTTTACCCTAAAAATGTAAAATTTGTTATTTTAGCTAAAGAAATACAAAAACAAGTTAATAATTGGTACAAAACTTAATGTTTTCTTACATCATTTTTAATGAGTGCATCATCCAATTCCTTGATTAGTTTTTCTTGAACTTCCTCATTAAGGGCCAAATGATAAGTCGAAAAAGCTAATGTGGACGCTGTTGTTTCAAATCCAGCCAGAAAAAATATCACACATTGTGCTACTAATTCATTGAAAGTCAGATCTGAAAAATAATAAATAATTAATTAGGAAAACAACCACAATAATGTTTTTTTAAATAGTGATAGTAAATGTTTGTACAAAAGTATAAAAACAAAGTTTAAATAACACTAGGAAATTGTTATCTCCTGTTGCATGATATTTTTTAAACAATCTTTGACATTATTACGTCGCTGATTTCAAATCTAATATCAATTTCTCTCTCCAAGTTACAGTTGTTTTTTAAAATGACATTTTTACTCTATTTTTTTTTTTTGTTAAAATGTACAAGATTAAAATTGTTACATTCTAAATGTCATAAAATATTGTGTGTCAAATGTACAAGATTAAAAAATTTGTGGATAAGAATTTCAAATCTGAAATTAGTTTTGCTTCTAAAGCTACAGACAATTTTTTAAAAAAATAGTATTTTTAGTCTTTTTTTTGTCAAAATTTATAAGATAAAAAATGTTATATATAACAGGGGTCCCGTAAATGTTGTGACAAACTTTTAGGGGAGTTAGGGGATATCATCATGAATAAAGTTACATAACTCATGCCCGGAAATGTCATCATACGTCTCTAGGGGTGCGTTCCTACTATGAACTGTTTCATCATGCGCTTTTGAACAGATCATAAAGGGAAAGTAATCCTAACTGCGTACGACGACATTTCCGGGCATGGGCTTCTATGCCATTTTAATCATGATGATGTGTCCTAACTCCTCTAAAAGTTTGTCAATTGCATGTTATATATGAAGTTTTTGAACTTGAACATTTCGACAAAAAATAGACTAAAAATGCCATTTAAAAAAACTGTAGCTTTGGAAGCAAAACTAATTTTTGATTTAAAAATTCTTACATCCGAGTTTGGTAAGACCAAGTTTCTGAATAAATGCGACAGAAATATTGTTTCCCAGGATAATTAATAGCTAAGAACAGCATAAAAAATTTTAAAATTAGTTTACGAACTAAAATATATTCTCATAAAAATTTATAAGTTTAACTTAATCTGGTTTCGTAAAATTTGACAAATTGTCACTTTAATTTTTTAAAGTAAGCATTTAATTAATGCATTAAATATTTTGCACTCTGTATTAAATACTACACCTTTTTATTTAGTTTCTTAACCCTTTACCGATCTTATTATGTTCGAAAAAACTGTTATAAAAGTGCATATTTTTTCATTCAAGAAAATTATATAAAAAAAAGATGTAGGTACAATAGATGTATTTATTTTTGATTCTTCTAAGTTTTTTAGCTTGGAATTTTAAAACTCCATATGTCCATGTAACTCTGACTCCATAATGAGCACAATATAAAAAATATTTTATCACGGAAAACAAACCACGTGCATTCACAAATACCATAAATAGCTAGGCTAAGAGTGCGAAATACATATCGCAAATACATATGTGACAGTACTGACATCTAGTTTAAAATAAACTAACTATCTCCAGTTACATTAAAAACAGTCTACAGTTACATTAAAAACAGTGAAATAAGAAATTAAAAAAAAGATATGAGGAAACTTGCACAAGAGTTGAATATATTTAAACATTTTTGGTTCATTACATTTGAACGCTCTATCCCGGAAATATCATGGGCACAAGAAATAGGAGACGAAAGCTCACCCCCTGAGTTTGAGGGGAGCGAGAGAGAATGGCTTACCTTTTAAAGTCGAAGCACACAAATCTTAATTTTTAAAACCATGACGAAGATCATACTTACTCTTTTTGCCAACATAATTCTTGAAAACCTGGTCATTGTTTTCACCTTCGTAGTTCCTTAAAATGTCGTCGTTTTTATCTAAAGCTTCTAATTCCTCGTTCTGTTCCTTAGCAGTATCTATGAGGAGTTGGAGGAAATCATTTCCTTTCTGCAATGGAAAAAGTTTTTAGCATTATACCCCTGGAATATTGTTTCAATTTGTAATTGGACTTTATGATTTCACAAAAAAAAAAAAAAATTATTCAAACTGTGCCAAAATATTTGATGTCTTTCAACATTACGATCATACCTACAGTATCTTTTACACTTAATTAATCATTAACAGCCATCTTTTGCTTTTGTAATGCAACGCTTTAATAAGAATTTGAATGATACATTCATGTTTGAACTATTAATTTGACTACTCTCTATAGGTGTGCTATATTCTTTAAAAAAAATCAAGTTATTAAATAAAAATATCATAATACTTACACATAATATAATACATAATATCAAAATACAGGCAACTGTCTCTAAACTGCAAGAAATGTGTTTTTAAGGCCAATTCTAAAGACCACGTGCTTGAAAATCTGAATAATGAACCTTCATATAAAATAAAATTTGTTGAATTTAAAGGACCATCTAATAATAAAATAAATTTTTATACCTAAAGTGAGTTAGGATTTTAAAGACCATCTAATAATAAAATAAATTTTTATGTTTGATTTATTTTCAGTGTTGAACGACCAATTCATATTAAAGTTCAATTTCGCAGCTTTTTATTTTTATATCTATCCAAGACGTTGAGGAGGCTTCCAGATCAAGTATTGAAACAGACTGCTTTTACGGAAAACTTTTTTGTTGGGACTGACATGCATTTGCATCACAGAAGGAGGAAAACCACGAAAACCGATGGTAAAGGAATTATAACCTATGATCTATCAACCTATGTATGGCCAGAAAATACATTTTTATTGTAAAACAAGGAAAAAAATATTTTTGTATATTATGAGTTCAAACGGAATAAATTTTTGGGAATTAGTAAGCGAGAAGGTAATATATACAATACAAGATTTTATTCTGGTTCATTAAAATATATATTCGCATTAAATATTTACCTGTCCAGTTCTTTCTCTTTCTTTTATAATTTCGAGGGTTACACTTGTAAAGAATTTCACTCCTTCCGGTGGGAAAACTGGAACTTTGAAAAGCTTCATAAGTCGGGGAAACAAGACTGAAAAAGCAAAAAATTGGTTTCATTTTAAACACGAGATTTGACTGAAATAATTTTAAATTCGTAGTATTGAAATTAAGTTTAAATTTAGTTTGTTAAACTAGCAGTCAAAAGCAAATAAAACAAGCGAATTCAATTTTGTGTGTACAGAAAGAATAGTAAATGGAGGCTGGATGTTTCTGAAAATGAAAACTTAAATACCTTTCAAAACAAATGTTTAAACAATTATTTTTTAGGGTTCACTAGGCCTATAAAATATCGATTATAAGATTTTTGCAGGAAGTTAAAAGAATTCGATCGGTTTCCATATAGTGAGCATAAAAAAATAAATAAAAAATAAAAAACAATATTTTTAACACGCGAAAAGTATTTTCATAATAAGTTCGCAAAAATATTTCAGTAGTGTGCTTTTGGAATCATAACTTCTTAATAATAACTTAAAAAATATGAATAGAAAATATGAAAATATGTTTTTAAAAAAAAATTTGTTTTTTGTTTGGAAAAGAATAAAACTGAATTATTCCTAAATTATTTTGCGCTTACCTAGACCCCATATAGAAGCTGAACGAAGGAGATAATTCAGGCTTATTTTTCAATTTATGATTCTGGACGAGTGAAAGCAGATTTGAATTTTTACATTGGAACGAGATCTGTTCAGGTCTTAGGCCAAAAAGGATTTGGCCAAATATGAAGGAAACTTTGCATTGCCAAAAGCATTGGAAAGATAGCAATAAGTACGGTGCGTTCGAATTAAAAGTAGACTCGTTTCTAAGTGTTCAAGTGCCATCGTAGAGTTCTGAGCTCAATGGTTAGAACACGGAATTCGGTTCAGGGAGGTGGGGTTCGATCCTCGAAGCTGCTAAACCCTCCAAATGCATGCGATATACAATCTCGTAAAATCTATGGAATCGTAGTCGACTTCTGATCGGTACTTTTCTTTTTTTCTTCATTTCTTCCAGACGCGAACACGTACCTAGTTTTGCAGAATTCGGTACTACAATTACATGTATCACAAGAAATTGTCCTTCCCCATCAGATTTATGTCTAAATTGTGGAAGTGACCTTACAAAAAAGTGGTGCTGCCATCTATCGATAGGGTTCTGAGATAAGTCTCAGTTTCACACTAGCAGTGCGCTTTTGTCAAACAAAAGTTTCTTCCTTCTGAGTTATTTCGTAAGACCAAGGACTGGTGGATTTGACTTGTCCAAGTGACAATAGAAACGACAGCACTAATGTCACTAGCGAAGGGAAGAAGCAACGCAGTGGCCGTGAAAAATCTTAAACCCGCTTCGCGAGTCGGCTGGCCACCTGCTGTGACCAAACTAAAGCATTATTACTTGTCTAATATAGGTACTCTAACCGCCACTAAGTCTGCGGCAGTCTGGTGCTATGGAAACAAGAAAAGGGCATTTTAGGGAGGGTAGCTTCTATGAAAAAGGTCTCTTCTCTCGCCGAAACCAGTCCTAAAGAGGGATCCCGCATCCCTACTTGAAATTATAATACCTCGTTACCATAGTCACCGCCACAGCTCCAGACAAATGCCTGGCAGAGTACCCATCTTAGACAAACAGTACTGTTCTTATTGAGTTAGATATTGCATAGCGTAAAAAGTTATACACACTGGTCATCGGATGTGCTAGCAAATGACTAATGGCACTTCAGAATAAATAAAATGCTTATCATTGGTAAATACTATTTTTACTTTAACTTATTTTCGTATAATTTAGAGAAAAAAAATTCTTACGATAAAATATAAATCTCCAATTGACGTCCTTCTGGAAAACGTCTCTTGCAATTTGTACAAACTTATTGTTTGGATCATTATGGGAATCAATTTTTGTAGAAAAAGCAGCGCTTGCGATGACATCCATTGAGAAAGCGCCATACAATCTAAAAGTTAAATTAATTTTTACAACAAAATGCAATAAGAATTAATTTTTATATTTATTAAAAATAATATTATTCCGTTGTTATTGTAGTTTTTTTTCTTAGGTTGCAAAGAAGATTCACCTTCTGCTCGCTTTATTCCCTTACTCCCTATGCAATTCATTCACAATTGTTTCATAACCATAAACAGATAGTCACAATAAAGTTCATTCTATTAATATATTCAAAAAAATTGTATGAGTAGAAATTTAGTTTTACTGATTTATTTTCTAACTTTTATTAGATAAAATTTAAACCTAATAATTTTGCTCGATTACCATCTAAGCTTCATCCACAAAAAAAATTATCATTTTGAAAATTATTATTTCAGTTTTAGTTGCTATTATAATTTTTTAAATATTTTCCGCCAAAAAGATTGTTCAGCAATAAAGCAAAATGTTAATTCTTAATTTTGCTTTAAAATTTCAACTGTTAAACAGTTGTATTAATTGTGTTAGCTGCAAATGTTTCTGAACACAGTTTTACAAGAAATTTATCATACAAAAATTATTAAAAAATAACTGTTTAATGAGTGTTAATAAGTGTTAAAATATAAATAAACACTACTATCGTAAAAGTTGCATAAAAAGTTGCATTTGAAACTTTTTAATACATTTAAGGAAAAAAGTGTTTAGTTTTAAACTTTTAATAATAATTAAATCAAAAACTTAAAAATATCAGAAAATCTTAATAAAAATAATTAATAAATAAATAATCTTGTTAAATATTATTAAATAAAGGAAAAATGAATAACTGCCGATAAATACCGATTAAGCTTTTATTAATTTTATGGTGATGGTAGTCAAAAATATGTATCTTTTCTTTGTTAATCAGTGATTATGTAATGTGATAACACGTGATTTTTCTGTCCTATGAGAATGTAGGAAATGGTAAGGCTACAGCGATCTTTCTATAATATATGGAGAGAGGAAATTTTCCACACACAATCAATTTAACCCCTTCAGGACAGTGATCACCCATACCTAATCATGTGATTTCTTTCATCCCATCTAAACAATGTCTTAAAAAAAGCTACCAGTTAGAATTATTTTGATTGCTATGGCATCTAATCTTTAAATCGTGTAAAACATTTCGGCAAAAGTTAGGTTACTGTGTTCAAATATTGGATTCGACGATATATGCTGAACTCCCGCATTTCAAATCAATAAAACTAAGTACAATATATCGCCGGGATAGCCTGGTCGGTAGGGCGCTGGGCCCATGTCCGAGAGTTCGTAGGTTCGAATCCCGCTGGCCGAAGACTCCCCGTGTAGTAAAGTGATTGATGCGCTTTAAATCTGTCGAGTCGCAAAAGTCCTTCATGTTCCCATAACAAATCAATACCTCTGGGGTTACTGGATTGGAGATCGATCGTTCTCTGATTCAGGTCAAAATTACGATCTGTGGAGGAATAAATGGATGTATGACTGGGTCCGCCCCATAAACGGGTGCGACGTATGGTGCGGCAGAAGTCTAACTCTTGACCATAGATGGAGCCACTGAAAAACAAGAAACGCACATTCTGCCTTAAATTTGCTCGATTTCACCAAGCCCGTGTGGCAAGTCGCATTAGAAACAACAACACAATTATTTGACAAGCAATTCACGTTTTTAAAATTTGAACAGAATTCATTAAAAAAAAAAAACACTCACTTTTTGGCATTAACCGAAGTTCCAGATTCAGCATGTTGGTTGAAGTTTTTAATCAGAACCTTAGTGCAACTTTTGAATATATCCATCATCTGTTGAGAAAAAAATTTTAATAATTATTTCAAACAAGCATTTATATCCAGTAAATAAATTTAACCAGAGGACGCAAAACATATTAAAAGTTAAAAACGAGCAATTATAGTAGGATTTAACTGGTTACGTATCTGGTTTATCTCTTCGACTCAAGCTTTCAAACATAAGTACAAATTTTTATTTTACTCTATATTCCACATTTTTAAGATTTTTAACGCCTAAACTTATGTACAGTGAGCAAAAAAATAAGCAGACCACTCTGTATAACTTTTGATATAATGACCGGATCTTCACGTTCTAGGATTCAATCTTAATGGTTTGAGGAGGTGATCTTAAGTATATTAATTAATTAGTTTATTATACGTTTATTATATTATATGTAATTAGTTTATAATTATAATTTTTTCGTTTTGCTCAATTATAACATAAGGGCGCCTAACAATCAGAACATTTTTAATTAGTTTGTTAAATGGCATATGTTATAATATTTCATATTTAAGATTCCTGTATATAGTTCAATGTATTTAACCAGTCATTGATTTTCTTTATTTGCTCAATTCATAACTTTTTTTGATGCATATTAAGTACTTTAGAACATTTATAAATTTCTGTTTACTTTTTGTTGACATTGGAACACAGAGTTTTCGTAATCACTGATTTTAAATCCTTTTTAGAATTTTTGTCCATAGCAAATAATTAAAAGAACAAATATACTCGTAAGAAGTCGGAAATTGACTCTAAGAAATTATTATTAAGAATTAAGAAATTATACAAGGTAAATTACTCTTGAGGAATTAAAATAAAAATTCTGCTTGTAAACTTCAAATAGCATTCAAGCAGGTTTCTCAGCTTTTAACACCGCTTTCTGCAATAGTGATTTTTTACCTTTCGATACCGGTTTATTTCTTTGGGGAAGTGGCTCCCAAATTGGGTTTCGTGAAACCCTAGGATTCTCGGAATGAATAAAAGGAGTTCCGAGAATTAGGACTGTTTCTGTGCCACAGAAATGTTTTTTGAAACCTGTCCTTATATATAGTTATAATTAATAATCTATTATTAATTAAATAACTCTGTTGTCATTATGAAATTATTTAAAGTAAAATGCCAATTAAAAAAAAGAAGTAGCAAAAATATTTCTCAAAAAATATTTTTCACCATTACCAATGTTTAAAATAAATTATGAAAATGACCTCTGCATACATGAAAAATTGCATTAGTATTTCACATCATGTTTTTCTAAACTAAATAAAATAACTAAATTTATTTTAAAGAAATATGTTTCCCTGGTAACCATTTATAGCAGTTATTTTAACTCTTTTTTCAACAAAAATCATTATTCAGTTTATTTGTTTCATTTTCAGCTGAAGTATATGAACGAAAACAAATTTAAATTAGAACTGAATGGGATGCAGTTCCAGTAGTACGAATTGAATTGATGGACGAACCTAATTGAAGTATTCTAATGATAAAACGATGGAGAAAAAAATTCATCACTCTTATTGAATATTTCCGAAAATAAAGTATGTTTTATTAGTTAATATGCTCACAATTGTTTTTATATACCCACTTTATTTTATATTGCTTTTATATACTTTATTAAGTATAAAATCAGGGTGCCGCTGAAAGAAATTTAATCATTTAGGGTTTCATCGCCGAAAAATATTGGGAACCGCTGTTCTAGAGTAAATATTAGTTTATGACCCCTAATGTGAATAGTTTTCTATTTTGTTTTTTTATTTTACCACGTTTATATCAACTTGCCTTCGTTCGGGTGGAATTTTGTAATCAATTTTAAACTAACTTCCCGACTAGCTACAGACTTCAAAATTGGCACATAGTTCAGAATTGGATGACAATGCATGAAAATGAAGAGAAAAAAAGACATACAAAGTAAAATAAAATTAAAATTAAAGAAAAATTAATATTTTCGTGATTGTCTTTTGTTGTCGATTCGATTATTTCAAATGAGTGTCACATGTCAGTTGAAAAGTTTTGTGTACGGTGAGTGAAAAAATTGAGATTTTGGAGGTGAGTACAAAAAAAAAAAAAATGAAAGTAATATTTTTAAAAACCAGCTATAAATAAAGCTGTAAAATTTTTGAAGCTGTAAAATTTCAGCTGCAAATAAAGCTCGATTGACATACTTGAGACTTTTCTATTTTCTTACCCTCTTAATTTTTCCAGTGGTGAATGTGGGCGTGATGATGGTCCTAACTCTCTTCCAATCTTCTCCTTTAAGCATCTGTACCATCCGTTCAGTTATAGTGTCTCCCGTGTCCAGGGCCTAAAATAAATTTTTTTATTTAAATAACGTTGATATTTTTCGGTAATTATTAATTTTGAATCTGTCGAATTTTGTCCCACATTGGACTGATCGTAAAGACACGGCTTCCAGTAGAACACCGAAGTCAAGCATCACTTACTGTTGTCTGTAAGCCGATGGGTGACCACTTTGATCAGCCTGCGTAGGGACCGAGTGTGCGCGTTAAACTGTTCTACAGTAAAGTATTCGACTTCGCGGGCAGGTCGTCGGGTTACCAAAGCAGGGGAGCCGTCACCTCTGCAGAGAATCAAAATTGTGATGGCATGTTTTCGGATCATCCTCAGCGATGTTTCCCAGACAGTCGCCTATAGCCCATTGTGCAGCTCTAGTGCAACGTAAATAAAACATCTACCTACCTACCTGTCAAATTTTATATTTTGAGTAAGAAATAAAAATTCCCCTTTTTTGTAATGGCAACACGCTAGTTCGAAGGCAAAAATGCCGAATTTTTCAGTAAGTTTTTATTAAATATTTTTGAAGAAAATCGACTGAAAAATTTGAAGATGCCAACTTAAGTCAAAAGTTTAATTAAAGAGATAAGAGCGATGAACTCTAAGAAATTTCTTACTTGTTATAGCTAAAAAAAAGTTTTTTAAATCAATTTTTATTTTAAAAAAAAGTACAAAGTAATTAAAATATCCACAACTACAGAGGAATAAGTAGAATAATATGTTGTTACCATATGTATTGTGATGAGGATTATTGCTTTTGAAATATATCCATGCGTAACAGCAACAAAAATATACTTATTAATATTTAAAACAATAAACAAAGCAATTATGAAAATATTAAGGGCCCTCAGCTACCAAAATACCGAAATATAAAAAGATATTCTCATAGAGGAAAGACCAGCCTACGCGCCTCTTCATCTACCTTCTTTATTCTTTAATCTTAATCACCATCTTAATTCTTTAATTGGGTTAGTGATTAACTCGCATTCTAGCGGTGAGCCAATCACTACAGCCCCCCTAACCAAGATTGAAATATTACTTTTATTTTCAATCTGACATATAAGATCAAAATAAACACAAAATATTTCTATAAAATAGCTTGTAAAACATATTAAAGTAAGCTTGTAATTAAATACATGAAAATAACAATGATCGACTATTAAAACAACAATTATCAATTATTAACGCAAAAATGATCAAATATTAAAACAACATTACCAAATATAAAAAAAACTAATATATGAAATTAAAGAAATGTAAATGCATGTAAAAAGAAATACCACAAATTTTACAATTTTCATCAAAACTACATAAAACAATGTCTGATACTGGAAATTCCTATAAATGAAACATATTAATAAATTTACCAATATATATATTTCAATCATTAACCAAAATTAATATATTTAAATGAGTAAAAATAATGTCTACACATAACTTGAGGTAAAACAAATTAATGTTCTCTAAGCACTAAAACTGTTCATTATGCACATCTAAAAAAATAATTATGTGAAAACACTAAAATAGACGTTTTAGAACATCTGCGGGCATTTCAGCTCCAGGGCAATGTTTGATAATAATGTCATACCTTTGCAAAGCGAATGCCCACCTTTGAAGTCGTACTGATTGCGGTGCACGTTTGGTTAGAAATGGTAGTAGAGGGTTATAGGAGGTATATAGAGGGTATAGAACTCTTATTTTTGAACAAAAAACCAAAACCTCGAATTCTTTCAAACTCCACACTATGGCATATACTTCTCTCTCTATAATTGACCACGATTGCTGGCTAGCACTCAATTTTTAGGCTTGCATATGCGATAGGGTGCATTTTGTCATGCACTTTTTGTGACAAACACGCGGCCATCGCTTTCTGGGGTGCATCGGCATGGATAATGAAATGTAAGTCACAAATCGGTGTGCATAGGGAAGGAGCTTCAACCAAAGCTCTTTTTAGTTGAAGAAAAGCCGCATCATAGTCTGGTGTCCAAGGAATATTGTCTGCGACTTTCTTCTTTGTAAGTTCAGATAACGGAAACACAAGCGCTGAATAACTAGGTACGTAGTCACGATAATAGTTGCACAAACTAAAAACACTGCGTTGATCTTTTTTGGTTTTTGGACATGCCAAGTTCTCAATCACACTGGTTTTCTCTGAATCAGGCTGATGTCAGCTTGAACCTATTATGTGACCCAAATATTTAATCTGAGTCTTCGCGAAAGAGCACTTTTTCAAGTTCACAGTGAAGTTGAGTTCTCGTAACTTAGACAAAATGCTTCTCATATGAATCATGTGTTCGTTCCAACTTCTCGAAAATATGGCAATATCGTCAATGTAGGTGTGTGAAAAGACTCGTTACTTAGACAAGACTCTATTCACTTCTCTCTGAAATGTTGCTGATGCATTTTTAAGATCAAAGCTCATGGCCTTAAACTGATGCTGATTTCTATGAGTTTTAAAAGATGTAAGTTCTTTGCACTTTGGATTCATGGGCACTGCATAATAACCTTTCAGCAGATCTAGAGTACTAAATATATATTTGTGCTACCTATGGAATTAATTAGTTCTGCTGCTTCTTCCATTGAAAAATCGTCTGAAACAGTCACTGCATTTAAAGCTGTGTAATCGACGCATAGCCGCAAGCCACCATCCTTCTTGTTAACACACACTATTGGATACGCGATCTCTGCATTACTTTCTTCGAAGAGACCCTGTTGCAGCAATTCCTCTATTTGCTCGTCCACTTTGCATTTTAGCGCTTCTGGAATCCGATAAACAAATGGTGTCTTTCTCTCCGTATTTGGCTTGAGTCGTATTCGGTGAGGTCCTACTTTAGCAATTTTCACTTTGCCAGTGAATAGTTCTTCATATTCCATCAACAGATGTTCAAGTTCATCTGCTTTATATTGATCTAAATGGGTCATATCAACACTTCTTAAAGATTCATTGAATTTTATATTATTTGCGACCGGACACGGATGAATCTCTCCAAAGTCACCGTCTTCTTCAAAAGTAACTCCCACAGCCAGAGATCGAGAATGAGACTTCCGAATTTTATTCACATGTTTCACACTTCCATCAGATAGTTTCACTTTATATGAATGGGGATAATGTTGCTGAACTATCACTACTGGACCAGTCCATCTTGCGTATATTTTGTTATTGGAATCCGGAATTAATAGCACAACTTGATCACTTATGTAAAATTTTCTAACTGAAGATCTTTTGTTGAAATAGTCACTATATGATTTTTGCTTATCAGCTGCTACTAATGAAGCATTTTCAGATGCCAGTTCTAATTTTATTTTCATTTCTTTCAAGTAATCCACGGCTGATTGGGTGACCTTTGTAGGTAGAAAAATTTCACCTGCCCAAAAGGATTTAAGAATGGCATGTGGTCCTCTTACTTCTCTGCCATACAGTAATTTGAACAGTGATACACCAGTCGTTGTGTTTGGGACTTCACGGTAAGCAAAAAGTAAAAATGGGAGCTGTCGATCCCAATTTCAAAGATCTTCTCTAATGATGTGACGCAACATCTCTTTTAAAACTTTATTCCAGCGTTTCACTAAACCGTTGCTGGCAGGTACCGCGGACAAGAAAATCTAGGACTCAATCCAATTCTTTTTATAAACTCTTGCGTTCGCGATGACGCAAAATTAGTACCGTGATCACTAGCTATCACATTATGAATCACCGTCCTCGAAAATATATTTAAAAGCACCTCACAAGTCACTTTTGCGGAAAGTGACCGAAGGGATACCGCTTCGGGCCAACGATACATTTGATCCATTAAACACAATATATACTTATGCCCACGACCAGATGGAGGTTCAATTGGGCCTATCAAATCTACGTTTACAACTTCAAATGGAAGTTCAGGTCGAAGAACAGGTGTAATTGGAGCCCCATCACTAATTTTTTCTTTTCTCCTCGATTGACAACCCTCACATGTAAATACGAATTTCGAAATATAGCTTGCCATATTGGACCAATTGAAACTATACTTTATTCTTTCTTTAGTTTTCTTAACATCGAAATGTCCTCCGAAAACTGACTCGTGTGCAAGTTTCATCACTTTTTCTATTCTTTTAAGCGGTAACACTAATTGAGTAGCAGGCTAATTAAGAATTTTATCTTTATGATAAATTAAATTCTCAATTAAAATAAAATTTCTTTTATTTAATTTTAAAGCTTGCCGAACATTTTCTGAAGAAGAAGACTCGATTTGTTCTTGCTTTAATTTTATAGCGTCAGAGGCAATAAAACATTCTTCCGAAGAAATGGAATCTATCCCTCCCCCTCCTCAGATAACTTTTCATCTGAGGCCATCTGGCAAAATATTTTAGCCTTCTCTTTTGAAAAAGAGGGATTCCCTATCTCCGCGCTTTTACTTATTTTATTTTCATTATTATACGAAGATATTTCGCATAAGGACTCATAGAGAGATTGCGGAATAAGAACATCCACACATAATTTGTCGGTCAAAGCCAGAACTACTTCCATGGGATGACGTATCAACGTTTCCTAAGGAGATCGAGGTTTTAATCAATTTAACTTTAATTTTTTCTCCCAAAGCAGATGTTAAAATTATATTGCCGTACTCAAATCCTTCTGTGTTTTTGAAAATATTCTCATTAATAACAAATAATTGACAAGCAGAATCAATTACGCAACCAATCCTCTACTCGCCTACGTTTATTATCGCTCTTTTCAATGAGTGAAGACTTATGGGTTCTGGTTTTAAGTATTGCGCGTTGATTTTCGCCACTACAGCTGGGTCTGTTTTGACTTAGGATTTTTTATTGAGGTATATTTTATTGCACTCTCAGGCCATGTAGTATTCAGCACAAATATAACAAGAAAACTTAGTTATCTATCTTTTATTCTCTTTTAATTTCAATTCTTCTCTTCGTTTTTTAGGGGGAATATATTTCTTTTCGTCTCGCGATATTCGTTTGTGATAAATCTAGCGTTAGGTGAATGCACTTCATAAAAAGATTTATTTTTTGATGCAAAATATGATTGGCACTCCTTACCCAAAATCAAAGGCTTAAATCAACTTCTTTCCCGTTTTATGTTTACGTGCGTCGCGGTTTGCTGAGCGAGTGATTGATATAATTTGTCACTAACTATTAGTTCTTTTAATGTTTCAAAATCAGAAACATTTCGCAATTTACAATATTGTTCAAAACCGGTTGCCAAACGTGAAGCGAATTGGAAATGTGTTTCATTCGGTAAACGTTTTGCTCTCTGAAAATTAATCAAACATGCTAACGGTGTTGGTTCAAATTCTCTAAGAATAGTGTCTTCTATTTTTTGATTATCACTTATATCCTCATCCTTAATGTAAATTAAAATATTTGAAGCTTTCTCCCCCATTAAATTTAACAAAATTTCTTCCTTTAATTCTTCTGGTACCTTTTATGTATTAAAAGCTCTCTCTAGGAATGAAAAAAAAAAAATTCCACCCTTCTGTTCTCTTAGGAATCGGCAGAGTTAAAGTACGAACGCTATGTATGAAATTCTCGACTGAATTTATATTTACGCTTTCGGAAATCATTGCACTATTTGGGTTCCTAAGCGTACTCTCTAATTTAATTTTCTCTAAATTAAGAAGCTCTAATTCCAAAGTTTTCTCAAGTTTTGCTTTCTCAAAAATAATTTTCTCGCCTTCTAACTGGAATTCCAAATCGAGCTTCGCCTTTCCTGATTCTAAAGTAGCTTTTCGTAATTCTAACTTAAAGTGACCACACGTCCCGATTTCGGCGGGACAGTCCCGCTTTTTGGTGGACTGTCCCGCGTCCCGCCGATCTTTAAAAATGTCCCGCTTTTTTGGAAATATCTGCATTTCTTATTTTAAATGTACTGTAAAAATATATTAACTATTATTTATTAAGTATTATGGTGAATATAAAGAAATAAAAAATACATTAAAAAAAAAACATAAAATGCATGCAGAGTAAACTAAATTAGGCAATGTAACGAGTTAGATTTACTCGGTGGTGTTCGATGATTGTCGTTACGTCTCGGCTTAATTGAGATAAGTGCAGACAGAGCGGACTGCCGTTAGACAGTGCGGTTTGTTGTTTTCAATTTGACGTTCGGTTTGACTCATTATTTGATTGACAAAGGTTGAGCAATAGTCGCCACAAAGTAACGGTCAATAAGGTAAAATTTAATACTCTTTTTTAGCCTTTGTAATAATTTTTTTATTTATTTCTAGTATTTACCCACAAAATAAAAGATGAGTAAAAAAAGAGGATGCAAATTTAATGAAGAGCTAAGCAGAGAATTTCCATTTATTAAAAGTACCAAAATAGACTATATGGTACGGTGTGATAAACGCAATGCTGAATTTTCGGTCTCACATGGTGGAAAAAACGATATTACTAAACATCTAGCGACAAAGAGGCACAAAAGATTTTTTAATAATGCCGCTTCCTCATCTAAAATGGAACAGTTTTTTCGCAGTGCTAGCTTTAGCAACACGGAAAAACAGCTAGCATTAGCGGAAGGGCTATTTGCTTTCCGCACCATAAACCACAATCAAAGTTTCAGATCAATGGATTGTACGTCGCAAGTGATCAAAACATTATACGACAAAAAATATGCATGTGCAAGGACAAAAACCGAAGCAATTATTTGTAATGTTTTTTCACCATATTCGTTTTCACAATTGCAGAAAGAATTAGAAAAATGCGCATTTATATCCATGAATTCTGATGCTTCCAACCACAAAGATTTAAAATTATTTCCCACAATTGTTAGATTTTTTGATCCAGAAACAGGAATTAAATATAGAATATTAGATTTTGTTTCATTGTCGAGTGAAACTTCAAATAATTTTTGATTCAGTAAGTACTATTTTAAAAAAGAATAATTTGAACATATGAAATGCTACAGATGAAAAAATTAAACGTTGGTTATCTGCAAATGTGGAATCAGACAAAAAATGGACGGAGTTATTCCTTCATTTTAAACAAAATAATATTCCTTATCAAAATATTTTGAAAATTGTAGAATTCGCGCTCTCCCTTCCAGGAACAAATGTAACAACAGAACGTGTTTTTTCTAGTATCAATAAAATATGGACAACTGAAAAAACGCAGTTGAACATTAAAAATCTATTTTAAGTGTAAAATATAATTTGACCAATTCACGTGAAATATTTTACGACATTTTAATTAATGATCCGAATCTATTGCTAAGTATTCACTCAGATCAAAAATATGACCGTGAAAGAAAATCATAACTTTTTTTAAATAAAAAATTTAATTTGATTAAAAATCATGATGTTCAAATTATTATTTTTTTACCAATAATTAATAATAAATACATTTTGCACAAATATATGAATGTATACAATAAAATATATGTAACTAAATTGTAATTCTCATTTCATCTCATTTGTCCCGCTTTGTCTCAATAAACATGTGGTCACTTTATTCTAACTCCATATTTTCTTTTCGTTTCATTTCTTCATTTTCTTCTTTTCGTCTATCAATTATTGAATATAACATTTCTCTAACAAAGTTTTTTTCATAGTTAGCGTTCTCAACAATCGCTATTTTTAATTGATGAAGTTTTATGTTTTGGGTGTTCTCAATACCTAATTCAGTAGCCATAAACTGCAAATCCTCTTTCCTAACGTGATTCAGTTTGAATCCTGGCGCCTGCTGGGCCAATGTCATGAGGATTATTGCTTTTGAAATATATCCAAGCGTAACAGCAACAAAAATATATTTATTAATATTTAAAACAATAAACAAAACAATTATGAAAATATTAAGGGCCCTCAGCTGCCAAAATACAGAAATATAAAAAGATATTCTGATAGAGGAAAAACCAGCCTACGCGCCTCTTCGTCTACCGTTCTCTTAATTCTTTAATTGGGTTAGTGATTAACTCGCCCTCTAGCGGTGAGCCGATCACTACATGTATATAGCACAATACATATGGTAACAGTACCTAAGGTAGTTAAGGCATCCGACAGGGTACAGCACATTTTTTTATAAAGTAGCTTTAATTAAATTTTTTAATTTATATTTTGGTGAGCAAAATGTTTTGTAAGTTTATATTCTTAAATTATAAATCTAAATGTATACTTTAAAAATTTATGAAATACTTGAAGAAAAAAAAATAAATAAGAGCAAATTTGAAAATTGAACTTGAATTGAACTACAAATATTTTATGTCACGTCAACAGCTCTATAACAAATTATAATGCATAAATGTCAAATTAAGTTTTTGCTTAGATTAACAATATGGTCGCATGTGTTTTTGACTTTAGGAAATTTCAAATATACAGTGAAGCAAAACTGAATGTATTTTCAATATTGTTTTTTTAAAAGAAATATTCGAACATTTTTGCTTAAAGCATGATAAAATATAATAAATTCACAACTTAGACCTTAAATTTTAGTTCAATCCACAGCTAACATTGCACAAAATCTACACACAAAGTTTCAATGAATTCTTTATTAAACTTTTTCTATAAAATGCGTTAGCACAAAGTGATCCTTAGATCAATTATCTTTCTGAAAACAAATGTAATGGCCAAAAGAAGTAAATCAATATGATTAAAGAAGAAAAAAAAGAAAATTTCGTCAAAATTACTGATTTTTACACAGTCGTATACCTTATCATCCTATAAGAGTAACTCTAAAGAGCAATTTTTTTTTGTTTTCTGCTGCATGAGATTTTTTCTAACGAAAGTTTAGATACTTTTGTATCGCTGATTTCAAATCGGTGTTTCTCTTCAAGATCCAGTTTTTTAATGACATTTTTAGTCTATTTTTTTTTTCGAAAGTTTCAAAACGTTATATATATAACAGGAGCTCTCATAAATGGTACGGAAAATTTCTGGGGAGTTAAAGCACAACACCAGGATAAAAAATGCATAGAAACCCTTGCCCAGAAATGTCATCATACGCTGCTAAGGGACGCTTCCTTATTATAAACTGTTTCCTTCCTGTCTTCTGAGCAGATCATAATACGGCCGCGCATGACTACATTTCGAGCATTGGTTTCAATGCAATTTTAATCCTGATTAGGTGCTTTAACTTCCCTAGAAATTTGCCTCAACATTTACGCCTCGCCCTGTTATATATATATACGTTTTTAAGCTTGTAAATTTCGACAAATAATAAAACAAAAATGTAATTTTAAAAAAATTGGCAGCTTTAAAATCAAAGCTTGTTTTAGACTTGAAATCCTCTCTCCCGATTTAAGCGATATCAAGTATTTGCATGAATATAGAAAAAAAAATTTCCCAGTGTAATACTTAAGGCGTGTATAGCAATTTAATGGATCATCAAAATAACACACATTGCAATTCAATACAAATCTAAATAAAAATATCTCAAAGCTTACCCTTCTGTCAGGGAAAAATTGGAAATCTTTAACCAATATTTTTCTCAAAATCTTAGGGTCAGCAACGGACAAGCAAGTACTTGCTCCTTCATAATGACTATGAAAAGAATTAAAAAAAAAAAGCTTGTAAATTGTTAATAAATCACATCATCGTACAACAATACACACGGAGAAAAAATTCTAGTAAAATTACCATATTGTATGCTAATGACATTTCAGGTAAGAAAAAAGTCACCTTTCTGATTAGTAAAACCGGAATAAAGGGTATTTAAACCATTCATTTGGTATTAAATAAATACTCCCTAGAAACTGAAGCTGTAAAATATTAAACTTCACCCGCTTCAAAAATATATAAACAGGAATTAACAGTCCGCGCAAGTCATATCAGCTCATCTTGATGCCCTGGAATCTTGTTTTATTCAAACGAATGCTGATTTCCTTACGGCGACGTTAGTTTTTCTCCATAGTGCGTGGAAAAGCATTTTACCCTAACTTGTCTCTCTCAGCCAGCCACTGTGGTTTTTCTTGTTCCGTTTTTCATCGTTTTTCTCTCTCGGCTATTGTTGTTTTTCTAGTTCGTCTCTCACCTTTTTTTTCCGATGGCAATTTTCGATTTATATTTCAAATCACTCTTTTGTTTCTTCTTATTCACGACTTGCAAGTATTGAAAATGGACGACTGTTTTTTCGCACCTGAAACATGTCGACTATTATTTCTTATTTATATATTTTTGAAGCGAATGGAGTTTTTAATCAATTAACATTATTTTGGTAACTTTTTCGTTCCTAGGGAAAAGATATACAGGAAATTCTGTTTTTCAAAATAGCAGCTCTTCATTTTGAAATGTTGTAATAAAGGTACTTTATTGCCACGCATTTAGTAAAAAATGCGAAATAGAAAAATACATTTAACCGAATAAATGATATAAAGCGGCGGTCTAAGGTATGATAAAATTACCTAATTTTATCTCATTTACCAAATTTTAACACACATTATAAAACAATATTCCATTGTTAATTTTACCTAAATCATCGCTTAAATTAGCGCTATAGTAAAAATTACCGTGTTTTTGGCGTTCTCACATAATCAGAAACACGGTAAATTTTTCCATATTCTAGTAGTTTCGACCATGCATTTTTCTCAGCATAAGAAACCAAAACAATATAAAAAAAATAAATTTACTTGTGCAACGCACAATGAAAAGCGAGCACCCTGAATAACTTCGAACACCAGATTTTCAGGAAAGAAGACTCAATCAGTCGAGGATCTAATCATAAATATGCTGATTAACTAGAGCTGACGATATTTTAAGGTACAAAATCAGGCACTAAAATGTACTTTCTCTTAATAAATCTACTTTTTCTTTTGACGGATTTTGATTGTCGTTTTAAAAAGAAGCTATATGAAATAGGTTAAAAAAAATTTCATTGAAGTAAAGGAACTCTTCTTATTATACTTGATACTACACTAAAAATGATTCTGAATCAAATAATAAAATACTGGCACTTGCGGTGCATTATCCGTAAAAGCCATTTTTACAGTAAAATATTGTACCGTAATTTTTACAGTATTATTTATTTAATTAAAGAGGTTCAGTGATTTTACTGTAATTGATACTGCAAAGAATTATACCGTAATTTTTACAGTAACATTTATTTAACTAAAGTGGTTCAGTGATTTTACTGTAATTGTTACTGTAAAGAATTATACCGTAATTTTTACAGTAATATTTATTTAATTAAAGTGGTTCAGTGATTTTACTGTAATTGATACTGTAAAGAATCATACCGTAATTTTTACAGTAATATTTATTTAATTAAAGTGGTCCAGTGATTTTATTGTAATTGATACTTTAAAAATTACGGTATAAATGGATTATTATAAAATGGATTTTACGATAAAAAGAATTTTGCGGACGATACACCCAAAGTGCCGGTACTTCATATCTTAATTTGATGAGGAATTTTCTACATTGTTTGCTTAACCTACAGCTCTGAACAGATTGAGTTAAATAAATCTATTCATTAATATATCTATTTGGTAAAGCATCGCATATAAGAAATAAAGAACTTTATAATTTTATTATCTTATTATTCAGCTTTTATTCATAAGAAAAAAGATGATTGAGAAAGGTAAAGACTTAAAAATTTATCGCATGCGTACTATAATAATTTTCACTTTTGCACCAAGGAAAAGCATCATCTTTGAAACTTGAGATACGAAGTATTAAAATGTTTTCTTATCAGAGAATTTATTTAAAATTATCCCTTTCCATCCAAGGTTAGGCAAACAGTTGCAGACCCATTAAAAGTACAAGCTAAAGTGTTTCGTTTACATTAGGAAGTTTGCAAACATACTCAACGTTCAGATAGGAAATTTTTAAGCATAAAACTCGCCCTATAATAATAAAAAAAAAATGTCTAAAATAATATAGTTAATGAATCTTTTCAACAAAGGACACGCATTTTTCTCGACAATAAGAATTGTATACTTGCATTTATTCATTTAGATCATGTGCATCTTCTGATATCTGCATTTTATATCTTTATGTGTTAAAATCGCATAAGATGACGCATGCAATTGTAAATCGTTAATCTTGCATTGGATAATATTTTTGCATGTATTAAACTTGTAAGTGCAAAAATATGTTTGTAAGATAAGAATAAAGAAAAATATAACTGAGAGTCGTTTGTCTTCATGACGACAGGTTTTATTATTCTGGTAAAACAGCGATAAATGTTTGAAATTCTTTGAGATTATTATACAATGTAAAGTAAATTAAAAGCGTTTTTACTCACCCATAAATTGCACCATGAGTGTTATATCTTTCCAGTTCTAGTTCATGCATAGGCTGAAAGATGGGAAATTTTAAGTTTGAAAAATATTGTAATTTATAAGAAACAAAAAACATTTTAATACATATTTTCAAAAGGAACTTAGAAAATATTTAACTGTTCCGTTCTTCAAATCTTCATTTATGACTGATTAATCTATAAATCTGAAATACATTCATTAGTTCGAAAACTACAAGTTAGAAGTTTAAAAAATATGCAGAAATACAACTTTATCTTGTGTTGATTTCCGAGAACCAATCGCCAAAAAATGACTGAAAACGCTTTTTTTTAAAATTTTATTTATTTACTTATTTATTTCTGATTTTAAGTGGCACTCAGGGAGTCGGTACCTTTTACCATGAAATCCATTTTTACCAGAAGATGCAAGGGAACAAAAAATCTGATATATCGTAATTTTTTGCATTAATAATTACCGTAAAATCACTGAATCACTCGAACTATATAAATATTACTGAAAAATTACGGTATAATATTGCACTGTATATATAGATTTTACGGTAAAAATGGAATTTACGGATAGTGCTGTCAAACATTACACCGCAATTTGATTAATAATTCTTTTACAGTACAGTGAGTTTGACAATTCTAGCTGCCAACTCTGACGCTAATATCGTAATTAATGGAATAAAATGATGAATAAAATAATAATTATTATTTATTCTCTCGCTTACCTTATTCAAGAGTTCATCGTACTCATGCATTCGCATTATTCACCGTATAGCTTTTCATTAAAAATGCTTTTTTAATCGTTACGTAATTAGGCTCTTATAACTTAAAACGACCTTCCGAAACAAACTAAATATTACCACTGCTAAAAATTATTCTTTTTTACATGTCTCACATTGCTAAGTTAAATATAGTTGCGATTTCAACTCTTTTTGCAATAAAATATTTGAATTCTGCTTTATGTGAACCATAATGAGTTGTTTAGAAATAAAATGAAAGATGCTCTAAGTTATCAATTGATTAAAAACTTCATTCGCTTCCAAAATATACAAATTAGAAATAACAGTCGATATTTCAGCAATACCAGTCTTTTTTCCACCCCAGTCACACCAGCCTATATTACTGCCTTGGATTCTTGTTTTATTCATGTGAATGCTGTTTCCCTTGTTAACGACATTAGTTCCTCACCACCTCTCCATAGCGCATGGAAATGCATTTTACCCTAATAAGCCCCTCTCGGTCACTGTGGTTTTTCTTGTACTGTTTTTCATCTTTTTTCTCTCTCGCCTACTATGGTCTTTGAAGTTTTTTTTCTCTTCTTTATTTTTCCGTCTTTCGTTGTCAACGTTTTATATTTCAAATCAATTTCGCTTCTTCTCATTCTTGTCTAGCAAATCTTGAAGGTCAGTGTCTATTTTGGGAGCACTTAAAACCAGAGTTGGGGTGTCGGACGTTCTAAACTGGTTTTGGACAGGACACGTGGGTTTTACTGTCTTAAACTGGGTAAAACTGTCCTAAACTGTCTTAAAGTGTCCAAAACCTTGAACTTTGGTAAAAGGTAAAAATTCTATAAGTGTAACCATTGTACACATAATTATTACAGGTATCAATAAAGATTTGATATTTTTTATACAATTTACTATAACTTATTGAAAGAAAATAATATAATATAAGAGGAAAAGGTTTATAATTTTTGAAGCTCCACAATTCATTGAACAACAAAAGTGAATACCTAATCCTTTAAATATAAATATGCTTTTAATACTGATAAATAATATTTTTGCATAAGGATAAATATGGCAATATTAAAAAATAATAATTTTTCCTAAAAAAATACTAAATTTGGTCAAGAATTAACCTTTTATTTTTCACAATATTCTTTTAAAAAAATTTTATAATTTCTGCATCACAGAATAATAAAAAAAACATCTATTTTTAAAAAAATTGTTTTTAAATATAAATATATTAGTTTAAATTGAAAATACAAAATAACAGAAAAATGAATTAACAGTTTTGAAGGGCATAACATCAGTTTCAGTTACTGACACTGGTGATGTATCACCACTATGCTAAAAGAATTGAACATGAATGAAATAAAAGTATTCTTGAATAGTACTATAGATAAATAAACCTGTTTTAAACCTGAGTATGGCAAGGCCAAGCTTCAGTTATGTACTATGTATTGAATGAGAGGACCAATTGAACTTGATTACTGATTAATCTTCCTTTGTTTAAATTGAAGAGTCAAACAATATTAATAAAACATTATACTTTTAAAAACAAATATTCTCTAGTATGTTTAATTATCAATATGTTATTAGTTCTATATGTTTATTTTACCTCTTAAATATTGTTCAGATAAAATTGTGACATAATTTGAGTAAACGGATTTTGGACAGTTTAAGACAGTTTTGGACAAAGGGGATTTGGCCAGGACGGTTTAAACCAGGGTTTAACCCTTTTGAGGATTAATCCCTTTTTTGTGGATTAATCCCTTCTGTCCTAAACCTTGCCAACCCTGCTTAAAACATATCGACTGTTGTATATTTTTGAAGCAAACGAAGTTTTTAATCAAGTTATATCTTACCTCTTCAATTTCTTGGGATTATTTATTAAATGAGATAAGCTATTCAAATTTACTTATCACGTTTGCTTATTATTTTTATAGTTATCGAAACTGTAACTTAGAATAATTTCATTATTTCTTTGTCATACCTAGGAAATAAAATGTTCTCTTGCAATAATTACGAGGTAAATGTTGTTTCTTAATTAAAAATCTTCGTAATTGATTGTTTTTGATTTTACCTAACTTATCTTCGTCTTTAATTGTGAAAATGATTGCATTTGGGAGCTGATATCGTTTCAAAGGAAGAAACTGAAACTATTTATCTAAATTATAATTGTCTTTAATTCCAAAGATGATTGTATTGTGTGGTTAATATTGTTTCAAAGATAAACTATCTTCGTCTTTGATTTCGAAAATGATAGCGTTGCGAAGCTAATATTGTTTTTAAGATAAAATCTTCGAAGATAAATCTTCGTCTTTAATTCCGAAAATGAAATCAAATTGCATTTGTAAAGCTGAGGTAAAATCTTTGTAATTGAATGTTTTAACTATTACCTAAATTATTTTCGCCTTTAATTTCAAAAATGTTTGAATTTTGAAACTATTTAAAGAATACTTGAGAAAAGTCGTACACGTGACAAATAACATAAAAATCAACAACTAAAATTAATATGAAAGGAAATAGTAAAGTAAGAAAAATTCCAAAAAGCCATTATGTTGTAATTCAAAAATTACTTTTTTCTTTCGCATATTTAGAACAGAAATATTTTCTTGCTGCAAAGGCTAAAGATCTTTTGATTAAAGTTTGAAAATTTTTTGAACTTTTTTAATTTTTGAAATTTTTTGAACCCATTTTTATTTTAAAGAAAAAAGCATAAACTAAACATTTCATACCTTTTTAATACCTTCTAAAAGGGACCCAAATAAAGGTAGCGGTTTCACGTAAGCAACTCCTTTATCTTTCCAATAAGTGGGAACTTTGGTATTTCTCCTGAAAATGAAACATTTTAAACGTCAATCATACATCAGTCAACTTGTGATTAAAACTAAATTGCCGTGGTTTGCGCATATTTTACGGCATTAAATTATCCTACAATTGTTAAGCCCAAATGCACCGCATTCAGAAGCTTACTTTAAAAGTATTATAACTCTAATTTTTCATTCAGAAATTTTTCAGATTTGCTCTTTTTACATGAAAGGAGTATTTAAAATGCACTGCTTCATTTTCAATTTAAACATTAATTTTAGCTATTAAAAAGCTTGGATTTTTTTTAAAATTGTTCCTTAGTATAATTGAAGGATTAGTTTATATTTATAAAAATCCCTCTAAATTATAAAATATTTAAACACAATAAACTAAAAATTTGAAAAATAATAATTTACGAATCTCACATCAGTTTAAATGATTTTCTTCGCTTTTAATTCTTAAGATCCCGGGTCGCTGCTTTATAATTGTTATTTCTTTACCACTGCGAAAAGAATAGAAGCTGGCAGGCATGCATTTCAAAGATTTTGATCAGAGATGAATACAAAATAATTTATGAAAAACTTGAATCGAAAATTATTCTTGTAAGCTTTATGATGCTTTTTTTTAAATTGTCCTAAGAAGAAGACGCTTATGATTAAATGTTAACGTTGCTATTGAAGAAAGAAAATGAAAGAATCAAATAACACTGATTTCACATCCATGATTATTTAAAAGAATAATAATCATGATAACTTACCAAAGAAAATAAAGCACCGCTACAGCTAATAGTAACGTGTATCCTAACGGAGTAAACAAAGCGTCCGTGATTTCCATTTTCAACTCTTTTGATTCAACTATGAAGCTCCACTGAGTGGGAATATCTTTTCATCCTCATATATGATGCATTTTTATCGTTTCATAACATGTACGAAAAAAGATTAGACATTCAAGGTCAACAGCGAATCTCGATTGCACAACGTTGTATATCGGTCTGATAATATTTAAAAAAAAAAAATTCTCGCCAAAAAGTATCACCAGATGGCGTTGAACTATAGAAAAAATCGATTAAGTTTTTTTGATGAAAGAAACGTAAATAAAAATAGTTATTTTTACTGTCATTTATTTACAAAACATTTTTTATTCAAAAATACATATAAAGTAATATTACATTTAAAGGAAAATATCATTCTCATATTACTTCAAAATTTCACTTTAGCACAGAAAAATTCTATTTATTATTTTTTTTTCTAAACCAAAAAAATAAAAGCGTTGAGATTGGAGAAATAAAATTTGTTTATTAGTCTTGATAATTGAATTGACCAAGATTTTAAGATTAATCTAATTTTAAAAACTCTAAAATGGATATAATTGTATAAAGCAACTTTTTTATGAAACATAAGTTAAAGAATTAGTTATGAAACATAAATGCCCCCAAATTCTTTCATCACAAGATTTCCTTTTATAAAAAGGAAATGAGAAGGAATTAACTTGGAATTAATTAAAGGAATTAATTTGGTATAAAACGAGTTATGTAAAATATTGCTTCTAGCATCAATGAAACTCGAGAATTTAAGACATTTATATCAGTTTCGTGATTTAATATAATCAAAATTCTTAGAATAATACAATTACAAAGATTCTAAAATTAATATAAGAAGTTTAAGGCACTTTCCACCCAGTTTTTAAACATAAATCTCTTTTTTTTTTCATGGTCTTTATTTTTAAAATTGCAACGAAGTTAATTCATTTGGTTCTACAACGAATTGCGTAAAATCTTGCTACTTGTGTTAAATAAATAAATTGAGATGGTGGTTATTTTATTTGATGTAATTAGTTTACCAAAACAATTAACGACACTTTTGCGCAATGAAATGAAGTTATCTTAGATTAATGGGCAGTATCATATTGACAAACAATCCAAATTAAACATAATCAGAGAATTATTATCACACCCACCAAACCTTAACAAGGCCGAATTAGGCTGTAGCTTAGGGTCCTGGAAACAAATTTTCTTTCTGTCTTTCTTCTTTTTCCACTTCCTTTTTTTTCCTTTCTTTCTGTCTTCCTATTTTAGCATTACTCAGAGCCGTTCAACATTTGCTCCAAAATATAATTTTCCCCCCCCCCCCCCAGATCGGGACTGGTGAAAATCTGCAAATCAATAAAAAGGATTCCTCCTAATTTTCCATTAAACTGTTTTAATTGTTGTTCCTTTCATCTCTTATTTGGTGCCAAATTTTGAAAACCATTCAAATATAGTGTGCGATTCCATTTGCTCGTTTGCAAATGGAATAGAGTTGGTTAAAATCTGCAAATCAATAAAAATAATTCTTTCTAATTTTCCATTAAACAGTTTTCTTTGTTGTTCCTTTCGTCTTTTATTTGGTGTCGAATTTTGAAAACCATTCAAATTTAGTGCACGATTCCATTTGTTCGTTTGCAAATGGAATCGTACACTAAATTTACCGTTTAGTATATTATTCCATTTGCAAACAAGAAGGAGATTTAGATTGATATAGCACATCACTTTATGACCATTAATAGGACAGATTTCACCACCTACTTTAACTAGGAAATTATTTTCACTAAAATTTTCTTTCCCCCCTTTCATTGACTTTTTTCTGTATTCTTTTTATAAACTTTCAGCAATCTTCTGCAGTTGCTGAAATTTTTATAATAATTTAAAGGTGTTGTGAATTTCCAATTAAAAAAAAAATTAGAATTTTCTAAAAAAGGGGATTCATGTGTGTAAGAAATATTTACATGCTTTTCGTTAGTTATCGTTGTCAGAGAGAAAAATTTTTTATTCCTTCATTCATTTTTAAATCCGTATGTGATTTTTCAATATTCTCACAAGTGAAATGATTGAGCTTAAAATATGTATCTGTTGAAACTTTCTTTTTTTTTCTGTTTTCCTTTTCCTCAAAGTATCAAAATTTAGGTGTTATAAAGAAAATAAGTGCAATTAACGAAAAATCCAACATTATAGTCTCAACATATCAATATACTTTTTAACTATATTTATTTTATTTTATAACCGTCGTTGAACAGCCGACACAATTTCATGGGTTTACGACTACTTACGTTCAACTCCGTAGCCTTGTAATTTTGAACCAATCCAGAAGACAAGGAAACTCCTGGATCAGTACCCCCAGAGGTATTGATTTGTTGTGGGAACATGGAGGACTTTGAGACTCGACAAATTTAACGTGCATCAGTCACCATTTACTACACGGGGAGTCTTCGGCCGGCGAGGATCGAACCCACGACCTCTTGGATATGGGCCCAGCGCCCTACCGACCAGGCTATCCCGGCCCTTTTAACTATATTTAAGTTTTTTTGTAAATATATTTACATCATAGTCATATTATCAAATGCTATTAATATATTGATTAACTAGCTGAATACCCGTTTTTCGCACGGGAATATTTAAAGAAATATCAATAAATCAGTAATGAGTAACACTACGAAATAATGAAATCAAACTGAAAATCATATACCGACGCAATTAAAGAACTTGGAAAAACCAGATAAGTGATACTTTTAGGGAATTAATGAATCAGAATTAATGAGATTTAAAAAAAAAAGTGGGTGAGTAAATACGGGTATGTTTAATGCAACAGAACTGTTTTTGCTTTCATTTAAATTTTAACATAACTAATTAAATCTGTTTTCAGTATGCTTGCATGATTTTTATTTCTAATTAGGTCGTGGTAAATAAATAAAGACTAAGAAATATTTGTCCTACTTTCTAATAAATTGGTAATAAAATAGTTCAGATGCAACTTTTTTTTGTTTTGTTCTGAAGATGTCACTAACCTGTTTCTTCCATTAAGTCTTTCAATTAATATAGCTAAAATAATTTCAATTTTTTAATTTAATGTTATATGTTGTTATCTTCGGTGACTTTATGTTATTGAAGTAAGCAAATCTCGTTGTACGTAATTCATACTATTAAATAAAGATAAAATGTATTTAACATGCATGATGCTAGCTCACGACCTATTCAGATAGTTAAAATTACCCCTAAATTAAACACTTATTTCCAAAACACTTAATTCCGAAGTATATACATTAAAACTGCTTGGCGCAGTTTTAAAAATCACCAAATATATCAATATAATATTTTATACCCATATAAGTATATTTGGTACTCATTATATAACCCTTCCACATTTGAGTTTATACTTATTTGTCAGTGGCAACCAACTAAAGCCGAATTTTTTGAAAAAATATACATTCGAACTTTATAAGGATTTTGGAGCTTGACCATATCTCTATATGACTTTTAATTTACTGTTAAAATTTTTATGAGTAGTGGTGGAAAAAATTCTTTTAATTCTAATTCTTTAAAATATTAATACACAGGATATTAATACCACTGGAAAAAATATTTTCTGAAACTGCGAAAAATCCGTTGTAGAAATCTTATCACAACCAATTCGCCAATTTATCATAGTACCAGTAGTACATATTACCGTCAATGATATATAAATGAATTAAGCGTCATCCGTGAATGGGAATTTTTTACTGTTTTCTTAAATAAATTTCCTATTAATCTTTCCTCCATGAGCTTTGCTCTTGAGCACATAGCTTATTTTATTTTACTTCAATTAATTCACATTGTCAATATTAATTGAGCTCTAGTGACAATAATAATATGCAGATTTTTTTACGGTTACCCGAAACACGAATAAGTATCCTTTCTACTTATTTTTGCTTTTGGGTTCAGAACTTACTTTTTTTTATTTCAATTAATACATATTACCAACATTATTTAAGCATCATTGTCGNAATTATTTTAATTCTAATTCTTTAAAATATTAATACACAGGATATTAATACCACTGAAAAAAATATTTTCTGAAACTGCGGAAAACCAGTTGTAGAATTCTTATCAAAAGCAATTCGCCAATTACCATAATACCAGTAGTACATATTACCGTCAGTGATACATATGAATTAAGCGTCATCTGTAAATGGGGATTTTTTACGGTTTTCTTAAACAAATTTCCCATTAATCTTTCTTCCATGAGCTTGGCTTAGCACATTATTTTATTTTATTTCAATTAATACACATTATCAATATTAATTGAGCATTAGTGTCAATAATAATATGGTAATATAATAATAGATTTTTTTACGGTTACCCAAAACGCGAATAAGTATCTTTTCTACTTATTTTTGCTTTTGCGTTCAGAAATGACTTTTTTTTATTTCAATTAATACACATTACCAACATTATTTAAGCATCATTGTCGTCAATGATAGTATGAAGATTTCTTACTGTTGTTAAATAAATACCTTTACACCATTACTTTTATTTTCCAGTAAATTGTTTATTTCTTTTGTTTCAATATGCTTATATTACCTTAATTAATTAAGCATAATTGGCGTAATTAAGCCTCATTGGTGCCAATTTTTTATGTTTCTCCTAAATGAATTAGTGCCACTTTCCCATTAACACGTTTAATGCCAAGCTAATTTTACATAGCTTGCCAGTCTTACCAAAATGATTTTCTAGCATCCGTTGCATATTATGATGAAATATTATTTGCAACAAAACAGTTTATTTTTGTAATCATTCGTGACACATTTAATTCACTGAGGTCACCGGGGACTCCCGTGACGTTGCGAACAAACTTAGTGCCGGTCACCGGTGATCCCGATGGCATTCAACATGTCAATTTTTGCTTTTGAATACATAAATATAGATAAAAAAGTGGCGACTTAAATGAACAACTGCTCATTTTTTGCTAATGTTTTTTTTAATCGTTTAATGATAAAAGTATATCACTGTAGAAAGATACTCTGGAAAACAGAATATTTTTTTTCTTCAGAATTTTCATTAAAATGTCCAATGCCACCATTCAAATTTTTCATCCTTCACAATTCATCAATTTCTGGTGGAAAGATTCACGTAGAAAGAGAATTCTTTAACAATTCACATAACTCAAAGTTGTAATGTATACATTAAATCTATTTCGCCTCCCTAAATATTTTCGAATATTTCAGTATGTTTAACTATATTCAGTGTGTTTAACTGAATTTTGTCACGTGCTTATATTTTTTTATTGTTTAAATTAAGCTCTTATAATCGTAGATTACTCTTCTAATTTTTAAGATTAAAAAAAATTAAATCAAATCCAAACAACAACAACAAAATTCAAAAACAAGCTATCAAAGGAGAAAAAAAAAAAACCTATCGATATCGGTCACCGACTTATTAGTTTTGAGGAAAAATTGGCTATTACGTCAATAGAGTCCACTGGCCCCTGGCTACTAACTGAAAAATTAAATTTTCAGGTCTAGTGTTAGATACTGTTCACAATCCTGTCTAATGATTACCACATCCACCCTAGCCACTCAAACTCGGAAATAATCCCTGCGAGGTTGAGTTGGGTTCAAGTTTGGTGTCATTTGATAGGTTTTCAAAATATCTAACCGCTCTATCTTTAATTTTTCAATCTGACATGCTTTTCTCAGGATAACTCCATTTAAAAAAATTCGTACCCCATTTTCAATTTACTACTACGCAATTACTAGTGCAATTGCTATGCCATGCTGTGAAATAAAATGCTAGAGCCTGTGACTCAAATTAAAAGTCATTTTTTATGGAGAGTTCATATCTGCAACACAAAATTGGCGTACCTGTTCATGTTATCTTTGTTTCCTCCACTCCAATTCCAAGGGATCAGTAGAGGTTTCGAGTTTGGTACCATTGTGAATACATTCTTTGAAAAATTAAAATTTTAAATGAGTATTTTTAGATTTTTAATCCAATGCTCATTTCTCGAGATTTGAAAGTTTTCATAATTTTGATACGCTCGATAAAAAAGATAAGAATTTAATACTGTGTCCGCTATTATATTTCAACCTGGACTAGTCCTACTATTTTTTTTCTTCAAAATTTGCTAAAAAAAAAGGAATTACCCTACTCAAACTCCCCTGCGATGCCACAGCTATATATGTCATGTATGTCAACTTATACGTAAGTTCCGATAATTTTTTACTAGTAGTCGTAACATAACATACAAAACTCCTTATTTTGTCAACACTTATTTAAAGATATACGTACTATAGCATAATCATCGGAAATTTTATACTTACAATCATTACAGTTATACGGTTCAATTATTTACTGTCTTATCTATTTTAAATTATTTATTACATAAGACTCAACTACTAAAGCACAAAATTTCACTCAAATCAATCACTCACATTTTTTGCAGAATGAGAAAAAGTTGCAAGTATGCCATGACTGGCATATTCTATTTCGTGTAAATTGCACCGAAGTGGTCAAGGGAACGAGATTTAGGTTGAAACATATTGGAATTATTTCAAAATTGCAATAGAAAAAAATTTAGACCAAAAAGTAATTTTTTAGGCCAAAAAGTAAACATTGAAGGCTGTTTTACGAAGTCATATGAAATGACCCTCTTTTGCGAATTATATGTCATTTTCAGAACTGTTATGAGTTTGCAAAAGTTACTCATGGCTGGTAGGTCTAGTTTAGCCTATTTATAGACAGCGCTCTCTGTTCTTATTCTTAAACTGGCGCAAAATGTCAATTCGGAGAAGAGCAACAACTTTATGAAAATGAACAGTGTTTGTGGTCTAAATTTTCAATATTTAAAAACTTGAGCCGTGGTGGCACAGGGCGTTCACTTTCCAATGAGGTGAACCGGGTTCGAATCTTAGCGATGGCTGGTCGATACAAATTCCACACTCGGCTTTCACCAACCACAGTGCTGACGTAAAATAGCCTCAGTGATTGACGGATCATGGGTTAAAGTTTCTTTGCCATTAGGCTAACTGTCGGATGTTTTCGTGGTTTTCCTCACCATGTAACGCAAATGCGGGTTAGTTCCTTCAAAAAGTCTTCCATGAAAGCAAAATTTCTCCTAATATTTGATCCAGGAGTTCCACTGTCTTCTGGATTGGGTTGATAATTACAAGTCTACTGATTTGAACAGTAGTAGTCGTAAACCAAAAGAAAAATATGTCGGCTATTCCGCGATGGATATAAAAAAAAAAAATATTTAAAAACTTATTCCGATGCTGCATTATTCGGGCTAATAAAAATGGGCAAAACTGAGGATATCGCAGCGGTTTTGATAGTTTTCATCGAGGTTTAAAAAATTTCGTCAAATTAGCGAGATTTCAAAAAGTGCGTAACAACTTTCAAAATTATGTTCAGTGTCCTTTCCAAAGGTTAGACATAAATTTAGTAAGATGGTGTGTGAAAGATGATAAAAAGCAATAAAAAACAAATATTATCATTGGTACTGAAGTAAAAGTGACATTTCTATTTATTTAAACTTTTACATGCAGTCGGTGCCAGAACACCTTCTCAAAAAGTGAACAATTATGGTTTCATATGATTTAGAAAAATATGCGAATCTCAAAACCATTGCACAAAAATACTCGGTACGCCGCAACAGAGGTTAACTCAGCACGTTTACTCAAACAGGTATAAAAAAGAACCCCAAATGTTGATAGATTGATTTGATTTGATTATCTATTCGTTCCTACTTTGAATCATTTATACGCGTGGAGTAGAGTGTGTGAGAGAGGTGCTTGCTAGTTACCGGCAGGATTCGAATTAAGGACGATAGGGTCGTAGCTGGATGCTCAAACCATCACGAAAATAGTGACCGCCACACATTCCCCCTCCAGTGAATGAGAAGTCTGTGAGCATTTCATGACACTGAGAGGAAGTGCAGCTGCGATAGTAAAGTGAGCATTCTAATGCAGCCTGACTTTGACGTTATTGATCTAAATTATTTGTTTGTCGCATCAAGGCGAACCGTGAAGCAAGGCGATGTAATGTAGTACTGCCATCTGTCGAGGAGTAACATACTTAGCGTCTTAAAGTGTCCATAGTCATCATTGTGAGAGAGATGTTTGTTGCCTTCTGGTTGGAATCAAGTTAAGGACTTCTAGGTTTGTAGTCGGGTGCTCAAACTATAGCATCGAAAAGGGTGTTCATCCCAGTCCAAGGTGAGGTAGGAAGCTTTAAATGTAGAGGACACCATATAAGATATGAGGAGTATTCCCATAGTTTGCGATTGCCCAAGACGCGCTTGGGAAGGCTTAAAATAAGCATGTAAGCTAAAGTGCTCATGCGTGCACGAATCGCCTGCGGTCTCATGCTCAAATCCATGTCAGGATGTAACATAAGGGTTATTTTAACTGTATATGATAAAATTGTGTAGCAGCAAACTGGAACCTGATTGACAAGTTTTTCGGGGGTAAATGCAACTCAAATTTTCCACATGCAGCGTGAATGGCTCTTAACTCACTTGGCTACCTCGAACCAAGCTTTTAAATTTCTTTTTATTTCCTTCTGAAGTTGGAATGGCAACATCTTTGGCTACGTATGAAAAAGATAAATAAATAGGAAGAAACATAATATGACTTATTTAGTTTCCGTTCAAATCGTTTTTTCAGTTTTATAAAATATTTACTATCTAGTACTGAATACTCCTACTCTTTGAATGGAATCAGTTTTCTCAATTTTTTAAATATCTAAAGGTGCAAATTCTCATTGCCGCATGAAAGCACTGACGGTACGATAGGATGTGTTTTTAGACTTCGAATGAACTATGGCTATATTCAACAGGAAGCCGGGTTTTACGTATTGTCTTATAATTACGGTAAACTGATTTATTAAAAAATTCAAGAAAAATTCGTTAATCTCGTTTCATTTCATAGGTTCTTAATTGTGTTTTATTTTACATGGTTGCTTAAGCCGGTAGTTAAGAGAGACCTATATCGTTTTTTTACAAAACTCTAATGAAATGTCATTTTTCGTATTCTTTTTTACAATTTTATTTACCTATGGAATAATAATTAATTTGTTTCCTAGTGTGAAATTGCTTTTATTGATTAACCACTTGTTGCTTATTTTAAGTTTACATAAGGGTCTAAAGGAAAGCAAAATTTGATATTGATATGTATGTATGATACATGAAAGTGTGATTTTTTACTTGATTTTTTATTTAAATTTTTGCTTGATTTATAAAATTCTTCAAATTTAGTATATTTAATGAGGGTACATTATTTGCATATTTTTTTTATTTTGTGTGCTTTTGAAATAAGTGTAAAGAGTTAACAGATCAATATTAAAAATTTTATTATGTTAAATGCATTTGTATTCAACTGCCTTGAATTAAATGTAGGAGGATATTCTTCTGATTTCTTAGATGAATAAGGAATTTAATTTGTGCTTGCATGCTTATTAGATAATCATTCGTTGACAAAAATTATATTATAGGATACTTCTTACTAAAGCTTTGTTCTAAATATTTATACAGTCCTTATAATGGGGTTGTCATTATAATTTTTTCCCCATTTGTTTTGTATTTCAACTCTTGTAACACTGCTTAAAGAGAACAGGGAAAACCTGGAATTGTCAGGGAATTTTATTTTGACTGTGAAAAGAAGGGAGTAGTCAGGGATCATTGCAGTTTTTTTAAAAACCTTTAAAATTCTCACATCATGCCTGGAAAATAACCAGTCTTAAAATGGTTAGTAACAGTAATCACTTACTGAGATTTGATTTAAATAAGTCTAACATCTATTACAATTATTTATTATAAAAATTCCACATTTTAGTGAAACGTCTCCATGTTACCATCCTCATTCAATTATATTTTTTTGCTCACAAAATCTAATATTTGTCATTACATATAAAAAAAATCAAAGTTTTCTGATGAAAAATTGTATGGTTGTAATTGTAAAAATTGCATTAAATATGGTCTGGATATACATTTAAAATTTTCTTGAAATGCCTGGAAAAGTCAAGGAATTTTTTTCTGAAATTAGGTGGTAACCCTGTGTAAATTTTTTAAAATCAATTTTGAATGTATTTATAAACAATGATATTTCTATGCAGGCATGTATGAGAGCACAAAATTTTTTTTAATGTTGCTCACAGGCTTTTATTATTTGCCTATAGTTTTTTAATGCATTTTATAATGCTTGCATTAAAATTGCAACATTATCAATAATTTTAAAAAATCTTAGAAAATGAATTAAATTTTTTTTATGTATAATTTTTAAAAGCAAGTCATTTTGCTTTTTAAATTTTCTTTTTTATGTACTATATTTATAGATGCATTCAAGTCTGAACCTAAGCAAAATAGCTCCCTGTTGACGTTTATAAAGAATAAAAATTTTGCCTAGTAAATTCGAAACATAACGATAAATAAATTTATTGGTTATATGTGTATGACATTGAATTGGAATGTTTCGTTCTTAAATAAATGAATATTCTTTAATAAGTACTTAACTACTAGTTGTGAACATCTTGAATTGTTTATTAATAGTTAGCTGCTTAACCTGTAGAAATTTCATTCTTTTTAAGCATAATTTAATTAATGTATTTCTAATATTGCAGTTTATTGTTGTCTTTTGTCATTTGGCTGTCAGCAAAAAAGCTAATTCCAGGAGCTTAGTAGAAGATATTATTGATGCAAAAGAATTAAAGAAACTTTGTCGCACTAAAAATAATGTTCTTATTTTGTTTACAAAAAATGGTATGATTTTGTTGTTTTTTCATGTCAATGGTTTTTTAATGATTATTTTGTTTTTATACATGATTATAAGAAATACTTTTTTGTATTTTGCTATTTCTATTTATTAAAAAAAAAGAACTTGTTTTATGAATTGTTGTTTGAACCTTGTATGCCTTCACTTTTATTTTTAATGTTGATCTAAACCTTTTTTTTTTTTTAAATTGCCTGTGTGTAGAATGTATAGTTTGATTCTTTATTTTTAAGTAATCTTTTTAAGAAAAGAGAAATATTAAATTAAAATTATCTCATTTTAGTGTTCTTTAAGATTTAACTGTCCAGTTTTTTTTATATATTTCATTTTTTTTTCTTTCGCCCCATTAATTAATGCTTACGTTCCAATTTTTTTTTTGAGAAATTGCTATTTCTGGTACAAACATCTCATAAAATTGTAAATGATTTTAAAGTGACATTTCTTATTTTATTTGGCTGACTTGTTAATTTGATTTTGTTTTAATTAAAATTTTTTTTTTTTGATTATGTAGCTGAAAAGAAAAATTTTTACATTCAAGTTAAATAAAAATATTTGTGCTAATTAAAAAATTAAACTATACTTTGCTATGCTTTCATCTGCTATATCAATGTAGTTTCAACTTTCTGAGTTATTACCATTAAGGAAGCTTATATAATTTACCTGAAATTTTTTTTCTAAATGCTGTATAAAACATTCTAATTAAATTTAATTAGGATAATTAAATTTAAAAAAAAATTATGGTTTAATTCTTTTGAATATAGTAGCTAACTCAATTTTCGTTAATTTCTAAACTGTGTCATTAGTAACAAAATTAAAATTTCATAGTTTAAACCGTTTCATATATGGTTCAAATTAATGGTGATGAAAGATGTAATTTTAGCATCATCACTATATGATTTTAGTTTTCATTTTTAATTAAGGAAATGTGAAATATAATTAAAATTCTTAATTAGCAAAGTTTGATCTGAGGGATCTTCCACTAATTATGCAAACTAAAGGCTTCTTACTTGCCCTTACTGGATTTGCTATTTTCAAGAATTTTAATACCCTCAGGATGAAAATTTAATGAAGATCTAATCATTTTATCCAGATTTTAATAAATTACAAATTTAGGGACCCTTGAATCGACTGATATTTTAAGCATGTGCAGTTACAAATCTTATAGCATTAAACTTGTAATTTCAAATAATTAAATTTATATATATATATTTTTAAATAAAGAACAGTTCTTATTAAAAATTCAGTGATTAAATTTTTTTTTAATTATTCAGTTTATGATATATTTTAAATAAATAATCCTCCTTTTTCACTATTTCAAAATGCTATATTTATTTGTTTAAATGCCTCTTTTTTTTTAACTTGTGAAAAATTATATTTTTTGTTCACACTGAAAATCTAAGTATAACAAATCGTTTTAATCATTTTATTTTTTGCATAAATGTTTTAAAATGATAATTTAATTTTTTAGAAAATCAGATTCTTTAAATAGCTAGTTTGAGTTCTTTTCATTTAAATCAGTGACATTGCAATGCATGTTGAATTTACTTTAAATTAAATTTTCTTTTGAATAAGTTGTCTATTATATTTGAAAGTTATTTCAGGAAAAGTAATGTACATAATGTTATTCTTCTATTTGAGTATGAACCCTGTCATACTGCCAAGCTCAGTTATATTGATCTTTGAAATGTTTGCCAATTAACTGATTTTTTTATAGCTAATGTCATGCTTTATACTATATATCACATAACTATTTTAGTTTAAACCTTTTAACATTAAAGATTCTCAAAATATTTAATAGATTAAGAAAGATTTTTCCTTAAAATATTTTTCAAAATTGAGTGACATAGGGAAGTAATAGCTTGTGCAGCGGGCGTAATAATAGTGCAAGAAGTATAAATGCAAAATGTTTGATCGTACAGGATGCTTATAACTCTTAATATTTTGTATATTATATGTTTGTTTCTTTTACTTTATAGCCAGGCAAAGTAATGAGCTTATAAACATATTTTCCAAGGCTGCTGACGAAATTAAAGGTCAAGCGACTTTAGCATCTGTCGATTGCTCTGGGTATGACATTTGAATTATATATATTTTAACATTTTAATTTTCAAGGTGGTGAACTTTAGTTTGAATATTTAGCTATCAAAAGGTTTTGTTTTTTCTGTGTCTATATAATTTTCTCCATACCAATTTTTGTATGATTTTCTTTTGCACTTTTTTTTTAAAATTTCGCCTGTAATAATCGATAGTGATAAAGAGGAACAAAGTTCAAGGTTGGTTTTGTGTTTTATTTAATTGTATTAAAGTAATTGATTTATCGGTGAACATTGTTTAAAACTTGGCATGCAGCTTTTATTTTAAACATGTGTAGTTTAGGGTTGCTGCTAATTTGATATTGATTATTTCAAGAGGGTCATTTGTGCCAAAAGTAAACAAAAGTCTTAAATTTGTAAATTTCTATATCTAAAAAAAGAAATATATATATTAAACAGAGCAGAAATTTTTATTAAAGACAGGAGAATTGAAACCACTCTTTCTTTCTTTTAACAGAGGTATATAAATTTCTTGAATAGTTCATTTAACAGTAAACATTGTGTACTGACCTCATTAGAAACACTAGTATTTATGTATTTCCTTCTCCTAATTTATTTTACAATTGAAAATGTATTTTAAGCATTTTTTCAGCATCTAGCATTGTTTTAAAGATCTGTAAAGAGATAAACTAGATTTTAATTTTAAAAAATGAATAATTAGAAATATTAGCTAGTTAAAAACAAAGAATCATATGCTTGTAAAATGCAATTGAATATTACATTGAGGAAAATACTTAAGTTGTTTGAAATAAAAAACATAAAAAACTTTACCCTTTTTCTGAGATAATTTTGATCTAAATTTACACTACTAAAAATGTTAATTTTAATATTTAGTCTATTTCTAATGACTTTATTAATAAAATGAATAACTAAAGGAACTAGTTCAAATTAAAATTTGCTCTCTACATTTTAATATCTTTGTATTAGTTTATAATTTCTTTCTGAATTAAAATAGTTTTAATCTTAATTTAAGTATTAGCTTTGTTGGTTATTCAGAAATTGTCTAAATTGTTTCAATCCATTCTCAAACTTTGTATATTCTAGCAATAAAATATTCATGTTAACAATTCCTTATCTTCTTAAACCTATGTTTTAATGCTGCGCTTTTTAAACTTAATTTGCCTTTTTCCTCCATCTAAATAAGTAATTTTATTCAGCCAAAACCATTATCATTGATTGCAGTGATTTAAGATGATTTAAATCTCTGCAATCTTGTTTAGATCTAATTCTTAAATGATCAATTCCTTTAATTTAATTTTATTTCATTAGTGGGTTCAAATTTGTGCATTATTTTACTTTAAGTGTGTTAATAGAAAATACTTTTTTATTTGTTAATTATCTATTTTTAGGGAAGCCAAGAAGCTGTGTAAAAAATTGAAAGTTGCACCTGAACCTCATGTACTTAAGCATTACAAGTAAGTAAATATATTTTAATTTCTTATTATGTTATATTATTTCTTTATATATTAATGTTTAATTTCTGATTTTTTTTCATAATTGTTATTTTTAGAGATGGAGAGTTTCACAAAGATTACGATAGGAAATACACTGTACAGGTATGAAGTTTAGAACAAAAATATATGTGAGCTTTTAAGTAAAAATGTAACCATTTGTTTAATATTAATAATTATTGGTTTTGTTATTATCTGCTTGGCAGAATTGCGGCACAATTGTTTCTGAACATTACAAGCTCTTGTAGAAAGATTTGCGAAACAAAAAAGTTAGGTTTTTTTATCTGCAGAATGTTTTGAAATTTTTTTTTCGCAGAATTAATCTCAAAGAGGTCTTTCTTGTGTGTCAGAGGGGGAAGAAACGCTCCTCTGCGAATAAAAATTATTTTCCCTTGAGAAGAAAACAATTCTGTAATGACTGGCTCCAAAATTGCAAAAATAAAATAAAATAGTTTGCTCTAGAAATGTTTTTTGGAGCATGTTATTTTATATTTTGATAAAATCTGTCTGTGGGATGGAATTTCGTTACAAATTCAAATTTGTTGCTAAAGAATTAATAAATCATTGCGGGAATATTTGTCTTCCTTTATTTATTTGGTTGAAATAAAATCTATTCGATATTTTTAATATGTCATTAGCAGGCGAAACATTTTAAATCACGCATTTGAGTCTTCACTTTATTGCTCACAGCTCATGCCGAATCCATCTTAGATTTATGTAATATTTTTTACATTTTCATATTAATTAATTTTTTCATATTATACATGGTTTTTAAAGATCCTGTTAAATTTTAGACATAGCTTATATATATATTCCCAATATATTTCATACAATATGAGAAATTTAAATTGCACATTAAAGTATTTACTTTTTGATTCAATGATTCTATCGCTTTTCCGATCATTTTTGTTCGCTGTATTGCTATTGATTTCCACGAAGTTCTTCAAATAATATATTTTTGATACAATATTATTTATTGCAATAAGGGACTCTCTAAACAAAGCACGCATTTGAGTAACTCCTTTTTGAAGAGTCTGATTCGCATGATTTTGTCATCTATCTTTTTTCGGTAGTTACTTCCATGGACTTCAGCACATTTAAATTTTTTTATTAATATGATGATGATATATAGAATTCAGAAAGGAAATAACTAGTGTATTTCTTTTCCCCATCAAAACGGGAGAATATTGCCCATCATAATGGGATATGTATTCTTTTATATGTAGATTAAAAAAGAACTTACAGTTGCAAATAAAAAAATATGTGCACAGTTTTATTCTATACACTTAAGCTTCTTCTTTTTTGTAATCATAAAGCGCTTTTATTACTTTAAACTAGTTGCTTATATATCTGCTACTATTAAAAATGTTGTTCGGAAAGGAATTAATGTTAAGGAGAATAGTTGCAGAAAGCTCTAAAAATTCTACCGCAGGGGTTATTATCTGTGTATATTTATATGGTACTTGTAAGTTTAAAATACCTGAATGTTCTCCTATTTTCATGTTATTATTCAAATTTACAATGAATTAACGAGTTTATTTGTCTTTATAATTTTGAGATAAACAGATACAGGTTTACCACCACAGGTGACTAAAATGCTACTATTTGCAACTATTTTTGACCTGAGGCAACAATGGCAACTTTTTTTTGAAAAAGCAACTATTTTCAGGAAAAGGAGACTATTGGGAAACTTTTCTATGCTCCAGCAATGTTTTTTTTTAGGCATAAATTGGGTTGACAACCTGCGGTTCGCGGTAGCTTCTGAACATAATGATTTTTTTTTTTGCTAAAAAAAATTAAAAGATATTGAATTGCAAATTTGAGTCATCACTTTTTAATGCTCTCAATTTGCACAGATTCCATTGTGAATCTATTTTGTTTCTCAATGGTCTTTTCAACAGTTATTGCTACAAAATTCTGCATGATTTTAAAAAATCCATTTTTTAATACGATAAATAATGAAATAAGAAAATAAATTCATGAATTTCAAATTTTAGTAATCAGTTTTGAATATATATATATATAATTTGCTAATTAAATTATTGATAAAAGGGAAAATTAATGGAAAGAGTATGTTTTTTTTAACGAAACATTATTTTCTGAATTAATTCTAGTATTGAAAAGTATTTAATGTTCTGCAAATATACTAATTTTTTTATATAAAACTTTAGTGCTAGAACACTAATGTTTATTTAAAAATTTTCATACTGGCTCTCAACTTGACTAAATGGATCATGATATATTACAATGAAGTCTTTTTTATTTAGTCGTATTATATAATTTTAGATATTTTTACAACTTTAATTTAAATTTAGATATTTGTATTATAAAATTTTAGTCATATTATTGAAAATTTTTTGTTCTTATTTAGGCAACTATATTCATAATTTTAGGCGACTATTTTCATGCTATAGGCTACTAGAAGTAGCTATTTTGTTTATGTTTTTGTGGCAACCCTGCAGATACTTTTTGATATGAGCGTGGCTGTTAATGGTTATTAGCTCAGTTACCCTTTTTAAATTTTTTTTTTCAATTGAAAAACTTAGTAGGGATATTTTTAGTAAAACCTGAAAATATTTGGGTGGTCATTATAGATAACTCTTTTAGTGCATAAGAATCATGCTTTAATTTTAATGTTTTAATTTATTTAGTCTATAGTCAATTTTTTGAAAGATCCTACTGGGGATTTACCATGGGAAGAAGACGAAAGAGGAAAAGATGTACTTCATATCCCCGATGCTAATGTGAGTTCATTGTACCATTAATTACTATATTGTAAATGTTTGTATTTTTTTCAAAGTTTAAATTAGTAAGGTAGCTTAAAGACCTGTCAAGGTATGCATCTGTATTTTATTTTCAAATTTTGAGGCAATTTTCTAGTGTCAAATTTTAGCATTAAAATCTACTATATACTGAAATGAAAATGGTTTTCCTGAAAATTATGATGTTTATTTTTATTTTTTAAGGATTTTGAATTCTATGAGATTGATAATTGTTTTAATTATAGTAGTAAATTTTTTTCTTCTTTCCAACATGATAGACTTTGGGAAAACTTCTACAAAAAGAAAAACAACCCATTATGGTGATGTTCTATGCACCATGTAAGTTATTTTTTAATCATTAAAATATTTTTGGGATTACTAGCATGATTTTTCTATAAATGTTTCGACTGCTTTCGGTAATGTCTAATAATGCTGATTTTTTAAAGCGTGAGAATTTATTTTGCAGTACAACTCAATAAATGCGTTTTTATATAAACTTAAAGTAGTACTTTTAAGTATATGAATAATTTTAAGCTGTTTTTTAAATTGATACTTTTGTAAAGTATTTAAAATTAAATTATACATTTAGTCCTTAGTTTTCTATTATGACTAGAATGAGTAATGTATTTGTTTTAAATATTTCCTCATTTCCTGCTCTAATATTTAATTCATAATAATGGATTCCTTTGCACCCTTCATTTTGTTATCATTAATTTAATTTTTTCCTATTCTCTTATGACATTGACAAAAATCAGTGACAGTAAAAGATTTCCTTTTCTTTGTTTTAAATTTTTTCTCTATATTTTATTGTTTAACTTATAAGTAAACAAAAAATCAATTTTTCAGATTAATAATTCTAGTAATAATATTTGTGTGACAATTTGCATTAAAATTTAATTTGTCTTTTAAATAGTATACTTGATTGATACCAGTAAAAAAAATGCTGATTTTTAAAAAAAAAGTTATTTTTAATAATTTTTACAAAAGTGAATCAGGAGACATTCAGAATAATGCAGCTAATGTGAAAAATCCATAAAATTTTGTATAAATAAGTGGGGTTTATGAATACCTTGTTAGAAATATTTCATTCTATTTATGGTCATTACAAATACAGGGTGGCCACCCACCTGGAAAATCTTGAAAACCTGGAATTATCAGGGAATTATTTTATACTGGAAAAAACCTGGAATAGTCAGGGAAATTTAGATAAAAACCTGGAAAAATCAAGGAATTTTAAGAAAAGCTGGAATTTTTTTTTATAGATTTTCTTAATTTAAATTATTTTATGATCCGGAATACCCACTTTCTTTGGACCGAAATTTATTGCCAAACAGTTGAAATATCAACTTAGCAATATTTTGCATGCATCAAAATTTACTCCATTATAACAGTGTTAAACTAGAATGCCACATAAAACCCATAATTGCTAAATGAATGGAGAACCCCTTTTGGAGACTATGCAGTTTAGGAAAGACAAAGATTGTGGTGGAGGTTGAAGAAAAAGTTAAGATATTAGCTTCTGTTTATAAAAGTAGCATTTGTTTCACTTCTTATCCGTGGGTTGAATCCATTTATCGTTCAAGTTTGTTTCAATGCTTTTAGTTTTTTTTCTTTCTTTTGACTAAATGATTAAAAATGTTTTAGTATTTTTAATTTCATAAAATTCTCCACAAATTAGTTGATCATAATTTAATAGATTTTATGTTTCACTCTTTCTAAAAGCTTTTGTACTCCTATTCAATGAAGTTGGTGAATTATTTTTCTCAGCAAGGCCAATCAATCATATATTTTCTTACAATCGCTAACAGCAATGTTTGTCAACAATTCGTTAAAATTTTTGCATTGCTAATTTTCTCAATTTCATTTTAACCTTTTATAACATATTTTAATTAAAAAAAGGTTCTTTTAAGGACCAACTATATGTTAACATTTTGTTGATAAATATTTGATTTTTGATTCAAAATTCAAATTTTTGATTTAAAATTTGATTCACAATGTCGAAAGTTCGTTAATGCTACTCTTTTTCCAGGGATGTTATTTCCGAAACTGTTTCTCCTTTTACCTTAAGAAGCTGGTAAAAATTAGGGAATGTATGTGAAACATGTTAAATGTTGTATAAACATAGGATATAATTTTTTTTATTCATATGTGTTTATTAGGAAGAAGGAGAATGAAACTATTTTTTTTAAAAATATTTTTTTAAATTTTTTTTTTTTTTTTTTTGTTCTGCATTGCGCAGGTTTCTAGTTGTAAAAGCATTGTCTTAATTAAGAGAATATTTTTTGCTATTTCTCTGTTTTTTTTTATCAACTTGACAACTTAAGTTTTTTTTTTTTAGCTATTAGTTAGCTTTTATTTATTTATACACCAATAATATAGCTAAGTTTCGATTAATTTTCAAAATTTATATATAAAAATTTTGTATCTAAAATTATATATATTATTTATATATAAAAAACTAATATCTATTAATGATTTTTGAAAGGAAAATACTACTATTCGTCCACCAAATATTTGGTTTTCAGACAATTTTTTTGGCCAACTATTCGGTATTCTGCAATTCTGCCAAATCACTGTTCATTGCATCCCTAATGAAAATATATTAAACAATACTTGTCAAAGGTTTTTTTTTCAGTCTCTCTGTATTTTCCATTTGGTGCACTTAGTGCAAAAACTATTGAAAGTAACACATTAAACTTTTTTATTCNACCCTTCATTTTGTTATCATTAATTTAATTTTTTCCTATTCTCTTATGACATTGACAAAAATCAGTGACAATTTTAGTTTGTCCTTTTTTGTTATAAAATATTTCCTTTTCTTTGTTTTAAATTTTTTCTCTATATTTTATTGTTTATACTTATAAGTAAACAAAAAATCAATTTTTCAGATTAATAATTCAAGTAATAATATTTGTGTGACAATTTGCATTAAAATTTAATTTGTCTTTTATTTAGTATACTTGATTGATACCAGTAAAAAAAATGCTGATTTTTTTAAAAAAAAGTTATTAGTTATTTTTAACAATTTTTACAAAAGTGAATCAGGAGACATTCAGAATAATGCAGCTAATGTGAAAAATCCATAAAATTTTGTATAAATAAGTGGGGTTTATGAATACCTTGTTAGAAATATTTCATTCTATTTATAGTCATTACATATAGCAAGCTTTAAACAGGATATGTATGGATATATTACTGTTTTACTAAAATAACAACATTGACATTTAAGTTTTTAGGGTCATATTATTCCTATTGGCTTTAATAAAATCCATTAGAATGTTATTGAATATTCCGAAGAGATAATAAATGATAAACATTAATAAAAATTTAGAACGAATAAAAAATATCTTTGATATTGTTGATAAACCCCAGGGTATTTATGAAACTTGCTCCTCAATTTTTTGGTGCTTCAAATCATTTAAAATAATTGTGTTTTGCATTGTTCTTGTGTAGCATTTTATTATTTTTTGGGCATTCAACATTTTTTGTTTATTAAAATAAGTGCAATCTATGCTCTTGTTTAAGAAGCAAGGATTAAACTTTTATTTTGCGTCTGATTTATTAGTTAAAAAAAAAAAAACTAAATGTTTGGGTTTATTCTATTTGATCACGTAGAGTATTTTTCAATAAAAAAGTATTTTACTTAAATATTATCCTAAGTTTTGAGCTGAGACAATTTAGTACTTTAAGTCTGATAATTTTTAATCTTAAATTATTTCGGTTGGTTTTATTCTGTGGATATTATAGCTAAATCTCAGCTTTTGTGCTGCTGCACGTGAAATTTTACTGAAGCACTCTCTAGCGTTATGTGAATGCTTTCTGATTAAAAGTCTGAGGTTATCTGCTGTTTTTGAAACAATATTAAACCCTTTCCAAAGTCCGACAATCACCGAAATGTTGCCCTCTCAGCTTACATGACTAACTTCACATCTCTACTCACTCAAAGTGACTACCAGCATGCAATCCTTATGTTTGGAGTTCTTCTGATAGTGGGATCAGATATACTTAAAATATTTTAACAGAACTCATAAATATTATGACTGATAAAGCAGTAGGAACTGTCTGTGAATGTCTTTTACTAATTAACGTTTATATGAAGTTATATAATATACTTTTTGAAATATGAAATGAGTTTTTCTAAATTTAAACTGCTAAGCATTTATTTTTTTCCATGTAAATTAAATAAGAATAAATTAAAATGAAATAATATGTATTTAAAATATATTATATTTTTTGTAAATTAAATAATAATTAATAATGATGAAATTATTTTGGTTGGGTTTTATTCTGTGTGGCTTCATTGCTAAATCTCAAATTTTAACTATTTTATAATATTCAACGTTTTTATAATGTTCATCTGAAGTTATATAATATACATTACATAACTGCATACACATTACGCAATAAAAGGTTTTATAAATCTTTCTTTTGAAATCTGAAATGATATTTTCTAACTTTTTCAATTTATGCTGCTAAGTTCTTTTTTCCATGTAAATTTATTGGCTGCATGTTATTTAGGGTGTGGATTTTGCAAAAGAATGAAACCTGAATATGAAGCTGCTGCCACTGAATTAAAAGGCCACTCGGTATGTAAATTTTCATATTTATTAAAATTAATAAATTTTCATTTTTATTAGAGCATTTTTTATTTAATTCTAGGTTATAAGGTTTGTTTAAATTAATTTATTTTAAACAAAATTAGTCCAATAAGTATTTTAATGCTATTGAGCAACTTATTATTTTTCTTTTAAGAAAATGCACTTAAAGCTTACAAATTGCACATAAACATGCACACAATTTATTTTTAATGTTTAGGTAATGGCTGCCATGGATGTTAATAAACCTGAAAATGCAGTTATAAGACAGCATTTTAATATAACTGGATTTCCAACTTTATTGTATTTTGAGTAAGTTTTTATTTTATATTATTTCATTTTAAAAGTTTGTCTGTGAACAAAATGTTTTTATTCAGTTAACTTCAATATAAACATTATGTGTGGAATAATGCTATTTAATAAAAATAAAGCTTTCAAGGTTTGTAGTTGTGATTTTCCTGATAAAAAAGTATTTTTTCTTAATTTTTAGCTTTTTGCTACACCTGATTTTTGTGTGTTCAGAACATCCCAGTTTCTTAGAATATTAATACAGATTTTGAAGTAATCCATTCAAATAATAGAAAAAAAAGTTTAAATTTATGACATATTATCCTTTTTTTTCTTTAAAAAAATTATAATGCTAGTTAAAAGTCACTAAACCAATAGTTCGAACCTGGGTCCATCCACTAATTATATACATGGTTCAGGCGTATATGTTGCCTGCAGAATTCACTATTTAAAACTTTTTAGAAAGAATAACTCAATTAAAAATTTAATATTATTAATTTTGCTGTTGATGAATTTATGGAATACCACATTTATTATTTTCAGGAAATGAGATAATAAATCTTGTAGGGTGGAGTTTTGTAATTTTGCACTTAGTGATTAATCTCTTTTATCTTATTTCAAAATAAGTTGTAAGCATAAGTTTTTTAATTGTAGAATAAAGTACTTTTGTACAAGAATGATATCTGGGATATTCAATTTCGGTGAAAGATTATTGAAAATCAGCGTTGAAATTATTTGATTAAAGAAGACTTAAACTCGATTATAAATTTTAATTTGACTCATTGTTACTTTTTACCTATCATTTTAACGCAACAGTATTATAAGAATTTTCATTATTTTGATCTCAAATTGTTAAGAGTTGTTCAGTGCTTCATTAATAAAATTAAACTGGAAATTGTTATAACTTTATGTTCTAAACAAAGTAATCCAAAAATTAAAAATCCCCCCCCCTGAAATTCACCTTAATTATAACTCAAGTAGAGCAATTTATACTTTTTTTATTATTTTCTTGTTTCACCTTTTTAAAAGTATGGCGTGTGCATACTGTTCCAAAAAATGCCCTGATTTTTTAAAGAAATGTTGCTCTGATATTTTCTTTGCTTCGTTGTGAAGCGTGCGCTTTTTTGTGGATAAAGTTAAACCAGATGCATATGTATGCTAAATAAACCAATTATCCCTAATATTTCTGAAAAATACATTCATGAACTTTTATCATAAATTATCTATTTTGTCCAAAATAATAATAATAGTTAATCTCTGATTTTTGTAAAAAGATATTTTTCTTACTAAAAAAAGTTTTAAATAAACTAGGAAATGAATTTCTTTCTTTCACATTTATCACTTGATTGTGTATGAGTTAACTTATTTAGTATACTTCAAATAAGTTAAGCTCATGAATTGATAAAACAGGGCTTATATATAGTTGATCAAACTTACCTACAAGATTTTAAAGATAAGTTTTTTTTCTTCATTTTTTTAATTATAATATTATGATTTGTGTTGGTGATTTCCAAGATTGCTTTATTATGTATTTGCATTAATTTGCAATCTTTATGTCATTTTTAGAGATGGGCAGTTGAAACACAAATATGATGGGGAAAACAATAAAGAAAGCATTGTTGGTTTCATGAAAAAGTAAGACTTTATATTATTCATAATTTTATAGAATTTTTAAAAAAGCAAGTATACTCTGAAATAACATTAATTAATATTTGTGATTTTTCATGTGGCTTGAAATAAAATACTGTCAAAGTATATAAAATGTAGTAGTGGACAATAGATAATGTTCAAGTTGTCAATGAATAGTAAAAATTTGTTTTTACTTGTACATATTTTCAGTGTGAACAAAATGTAATGACTATAGTTCAGTTTATTTACTTATTTTTTTATTTGGATGTTTTTTTAGTAATATGTTGCTTCTAAAGCCTGAAAGAAAATTTACGTCTAGTAAAAAGTTTTTAATGTATCTAATTGAATATATTAAATGAATATATAATATATTAAAATTTAACTTTGTTGAGTTTCAAATCATTGATAAGTATTCATTTCTGATTCCCTAATGTGATTTTCATGCAGTAAATGCAAATGTGCTATAAATATTAGGTTTTCTGTGCAACAAATAATGTGTTCATTCTATGAAATTATTTTGNATATATTAAATGAATATATAATATATTAAAATTTAACTTTGTTGAGTTTCAAATCATTGATAAGTATACATTTCTGATTCCCTGATGTGTTCATTCTATCAGAAAAGTAGTTTCCTCCATTAACCATCTTTAAAAAATAATATATATATATATATATATATAGAGAGAGAGAGAGAGAGGGAGAGAGAGATTATTCAGGTCTATATTAGAATTAATCATTTTTGAGCAGGTATACCTTTTGTTTAATAATCACTTTTGGAAAAGTCATAAAGCACATTTTAATTTAAAATTTTTGAATTAAAATAGTTTGACACAGTTATAACTCCCATTGAAATATCTTTAAAATTATTTAATTTATAAATNTTTTTTTTTTTTTTTTTTTTTTTTTTTTTTTTTTTTTTTTTTTTGTAATTCATAATTTTATAGATTTATTATTAAAAGGTTTGGTTTCTAACCTCTTCCAACGAAAGCTATAAATTTCATTAATTACAAAAGATTTATAAATTTTAGGGAAAGAGTTTTATATTTAAAATTGCTGTTCAAACATGAAAAATAAATTTATTTTGTGTGTAAATTCAATTTAAAATTTAGGCAGTTATGTGTGCTATAATTAGTAATATAAATTTTTTATTTGCCATTGTTTAGCAGAGAGGAAATTCTGAGTAGTAAATTCATTGGCTCTATTTCTACAAGCTATTTCTAGTTACATTAAAATTTTTTAACATACACACAATTAATTCTTATATAGTCTATTCATGTTTATATAATTCATAATCAAATTAAATGAATATTCATTAAAGTAGTTAAATATTATATGACAGCATATCATAATAGATTTTCAGTGTATAATTTATGTTTCAGTCCTGCAAATCAGCCAGAGAAGCCTAAAGAAGAATCTTGGGCTGATACACCAAGTCATGTCCAGCATCTGACTGATGATACATTTGCATCCACATTAGAATCAGAATCATCAGTATTGGTCATGTTTTATGCACCATGTATGTAAGATTTTGAACTGCTTATTTTGAAGTTTTTTTTTCTCTCAAAAAGAGTTGAGTTTCATGAACTTTGTTTTTATCCATTAAATAAAAACCCACATTTACAGCAAAATTTACAGCAACCTTAAGTAAACAATGAGGTTGAAATTAAACTATCTATCTACTTCAAAAATATTTTTTAGATTTATTTAAAATAAGGTATAAACTTGTTTAAAATTCACTTTTTACAAAAATTTCTGCTTTTACAATTTTTCTGGCTTTTGTGCAAAATATTGTTCACATTTTTAATTAATGTACTGTGCTTAAAGAAATTATGTTGTTTATCAAATTTTAAAATTCGACATAGTAATCTACTAAAAGAAAGTTTTATGACTTAATTTAAAAAATCACTTTATTCTGGTAAAATATTACTGTACATAACAAGTACTACATTGTTGTTTTAATGTAATACTATCAATGGTTTAGAATTTAGTTCAAATTTACTGTAAAAGTCTGAAAACTCAAAATCTGAAATTAATTTGGGACCTTTCTCACCTTTATTATTTTTTTTTTAGTCATAAATTTTTCTTGCTATTTCTTTCCTTAAAGTTTTTTTAGTTGTAAAATAATAAAATAACTCATAAGCTGCCATATTTATTCCCCTTTTTTTAAGCACTTGAAATAAAATTTGATAAATGCAGTTTATTCCATAAAGCATCACTTAATATATATTTTTTAGAATCTTTATTAAAAATAAAAACAAAGTATTCACATTAGGTGTCTCAAATTGAAATTAATGAAAGGAAAAAGCAAAAAGACCATCGAAGTATGACAAAACAATTTACTAAGGATTAGGTGTACAGAAAAATAAATAAGAACTTGTTTGATTGTGGGAGAAACATTAAAGGTGATTATTGGAAAGGCATTCAAGTTTTGACTTATAATCAAACAGGTTTTTGTTTTTTCTATGGTTGCCTTTCTTAATTGTGATTTGTGAGTATTTGATAGCATACTTGTGTTTTCCTGTCTTAAATACTTATTTGCACTCCCCCCCCCATGACTATTTTCTTTTATCATCATTTGTTATGAGGATTAAAAATGTACATTTAAGTAGTGTTTAGGAAACACCCTGTTTATATAATTATATTGATTGCTGGCATTTATAAATCTATATTGTTATCTGTTTTTATATCTATCTATCTATTTATTACTAACATTTAAATTTCATGGGTTAAAATTTATTTAAAAAGTTTCTCAAATATTTGTTACCAGGCTCACAGGATTTATACAATGTTATCTTTTATAATATGAAAAAATTACTTATTTTTTTCTAACATTCAACATTTAAAATGTGATTTTTTTTAAACATTATTATGGAATGGCATACTTATTGCTGAATGTGAGAGATAAAAATTCTTTTAAAATACTATGCACTCTATGGTAATCCTGTAAAGGATATGTATATACACTACTCGACAATAATAGCAGAGACTCAGTTTTTGATATATTTTTAAATTTCTCACGAAATACTTTAACGACTATTTTGTAACTTTAAAAGTGTTTAGTTCATGCAATTTCTTATACTTTGCAATACGGTTTAAAGCTTTTCGAGGCTTGAGGGATCAAATTATTAAAAAAACAAGTATTTCTGAATGCACTATTTCGGAAAGTCAAGCCAAAAACTTGCAATTTCTATCGATTAATTCAATTGTTATTTGCAATAATTGCATAAAATTTCGTAAATCTAGCTTAAATATTAAAAAAATCTAGCTGGATTTTTTATGGACTGCTTTTCTTTCTATAGCATTCAACTCTTTTTTTTTGATGCATGTATATTTATTTTTCTCCCATAAGAATATAGTTTTCAGAAAAATTTTATTTCTTGGTATTTAGATTGTTATATTGACATTTGGTCGTCATAGTCGTCAATTTTGATTCACTTTTTTCATGGTCTTTTTTCTTATTTTATTATTATTTAAGGGTGTGGACATTGCAAAAAAATGAAACCGGAATATGTGAATGCCGCTGCAAGTTTGAAAGATAAAAATGTAAGTAATATTATAATTTAGCTTGTTTATAATAATTTTGCTTATTATGTTTTATCTCCATACTTTTTGTTTTTGAGCCTGTCTTAGTTTGTTACATTGTTTAGTATTTTTATCTTTAGTAAGTGTTGTGCAGTACAACTGTTTCTGACACTTGTCCCAATAATGTCTATATTTTATCTAATCATCATTACTGATTATTTCAAATAACACTCGTTTTCAAGCTTGAAGTAGTAATATATGGAAATCTGCACAGCAAGTCTTGCTATAAGGGTTTGAAAATAATACATGAGTTTAGAAGTATTTTTATTTAGTAGTTTTTTTCCACTCTTTTTGTTAAGTTTGATTTCTTTACCTATTTATAATCCTTTGCTGTTTATCCACTTTTTTTCTAACAACTAGTTTCTAGTTAAAAAATTACAAAGTGTTGGATAATTATTATCATAAATAGTTATTTATAAACATATAATTTGTTTTTAAAATCAAAATTTACATTATAAAGTTATTATAAAATGGCTTTAAATAATTCTATATTTGGGTAACTTCACATTTATGTTTCATGATAAAATAAAAAAAATTCCCGTTTTTACTTTAAAACTTTTTTTGCAATACAATAATTTTTTTATTCTATCTAAAACTTTGTAAAAATAGCTTAATTGAGGTCAATTTTAAATTTATTGATTTTCAAAACTTTACAGTCTGTTTAGGTTTTACTCTTTGGCTATTTGTGTTTTAGTTAGATTTTTTATTTCAGATTCCTGGCATTTTAGCTGCTGTAGATGCTACAAAAGAAAAAGCTGTAGCTGACAAATTTAAAATAAATGGCTATCCCACAGTTAAATATTTTAAGTATGTAATGTATTAGTCTCATTACAATTTTAATATTTTAAGTATGTATTAGTTTCATTACAAATTTAATTTGCAATTTTAACAAAATTATGTTCAGGCTTCAGTGTGATATGAGCTGTATTCAGGAACCTTTGCTGTATTCAGGAAGAATCCTTTTGTTGTTAAAGAAGAATTTAAATTCTGACTTTAGTTATTCCAGTAAAATTTATTTTTGTTTTGTTATTAATATTTATAATTAGAGTTTTATCTTCCTAACATCGTATATGCTTGAAGATCATGCTAGAAAAAGATCTCAAGTGACATTTTAGTATATTTAAGAGTATCAGCTTTACAAAGTATTAAAATAGTTGAATGGTTTTTTTCGAAACAGATTCTCCTAAGGAAATTAGACTTATATATATATATATACATACAGAGAGAGAGCTTTTAAATCCGAAATTGTTCACTGTTTCAGCATGCCACTTTGACTAACCTCTTCAATTAGTTTTGTATGTTTAACTCACTGGCGGTAAAGCAAATGGGCAAAATTGGGAGAATGTTTCTTCGCAACACACTATTTCCCTATCTAATTACATGGAAAAACCGGTTTTGCTATGCAGAGAAATCTGCATGTTAAGATACGACTTTTTAGGCGCAGAGTCATCAGTGGGCTACTAGACCAAATATAATTTGTTGGTTATTTTTCCTATTTATTTTTGAAGCTTCTTTCTACTCATTAAGATTCACATTATAAGTATAGGATTTTATAAATTTATAATAATGGTTTCTTTGGAAAGTAATGGAGTTTCCTGCCTAGAAATTTTTGTATTGACAAGAAAAAGTAAAAATCCAAAGGCAAAATTTAATTTCCCATTACATCTCACATTATCTTTGTGGGAGATAATACTTTTTATATTAATCATTTCTACCCTTTTCTGTTTGTGTGAATCATGCAGTTAGTCCAGTACACTTAAAAACTGATAGTTGTCCTGTTAAAACTTAATAATGAAAATAATTCCCTTAAAATCCCTCCAAATATTTCTTTATTTAATAAGGCTTTAAGCAAAAACTATTGTGCAGATTCTAACAAATTTTGCTGTTATTTGTCAAAACACATAATCTAAATCTGGGTAAAGAATTGAAATCTATTAACATTGTTATAAAATGTAGGTGTTTTTAATTTTTTTAAAAATAATTAGGTGCATAACGTTGAGGAGTACTTAATGTAAGTATCGAAATTTCATAAAATGAGATTAAAAAGAAATATTTAATTTTCTCATTTAGAATAATTATATAATTAAGATTTATTACTTTCTAAAAGCTAAAATTGACTGCAAAGGAGAAATATATATGTGTCTCCTAAATACAAGTTTTTCCTGCTAAAATTTTGGATTTTTTTTTCATTGATTATTATTTTGTTTATACAGATTTTTTTTTTAAAAGTATTTTTTGATAATGATAATTACACATCATTACATATCAGTTAAAATAATATTCATTTGTTAAAAAGATGTTGAGATATTTTCGTTTAATTTGTAGATGAACACACATACTTGACAATGCTGGTCACCGCTCTTATCCAAATTTATTTGACCTTTGTAATTTATCTGATCACNTTATTAAAAGAAATGAAATATTAATGTATATTCGCATAAATAAAGCGCAATGTTATATGATTTGCATAGTATTATCATCTGTAATTTAACTTATCACTTAGTCTATTTAGTATCCAAAATTGTTATAGAACTTGGATTTTCAAAATCAGCAGTGTCTAGAGTATACTGAAAATTTATGAGTAATACAAAAAAAAAAAATAGCGATTGGTCAGACTGCTTCGAAATTATATTATAATTTTTTCCATTTGTGTTCTTGAAAATCTTCAGATTTTCAAGAACACAAGTGGAAAAAATTATAATATAAGTTCTATGCAGTCTGACCAATTGCTATATTTTTTTATTTTTTATTATTTATTTTTTTCAAAATCCTCTGCTCATTAATAAAAAAGAATTGTATAGATAACATATTAAAATTTAAGGACATATTATTTATTTACCGAATTTTTAATTATTATATGCAAGCTTAAGTACTTAATATTTCAGATTTTATGTTTGTGCTATGCTGTTTATTTCTTTTTACAAGTTGCCAATTCATATATATTTATTTTTTTAAGAAAAGTATTTTTTAATCATTTTAATATAATAGTTATAAAACTAGTATTTAAATTGAACCTCTGCATTATGAGTTGAAAGCACATACAATAAAAATACTAAATCAGTAAAAATGTTTTCTTGAGTAAAAGCTAAATCTATTTATAAATGTCTACATCACATAAAACAATTTTACTGTTATTTTAGAAATGGGGAACCTGCATTTGACGTCAGCTTTAGAACTGCTGACAAAATTGTCGAGTTTATGAAAGAGTAAGTTCATACTGTTTTCTCCCATTAAAAATTATGTAGAAATTTATTTTCTTACCTGCTTTTCTAATTTTTAACTTTTTTAGTCCTAAAGAACCACCCCCTCCTCCACCACCTGAAACTCCTTGGAGTGAAGAGCCCAGCAATGTTGTTCACTTGACAGAAGAAGATTTCAAGCCATTCTTGAAAAGAAAGAAGCATGTTTTAATTATGTTTTATGCTCCATGTATGTTGCTCATAACAATTATTTTCTTTTTGAATTTCATTAGATTTTTTCACACTAAGTCACTTTCAGTTTTTGAGAAATACTTTGTAGTTTTATTTTCACAAAACAAAGACTGTCTTAAATATATTTTAAAAACCCTCTGAAAAGTGAAGTAAAAAATGTATACATGTTAGCGTTGTCAAACTACCATTTAATCCTAGATTGACTAACTTCAAATCAGTGCTGTTTTGTAGCTAATCAATCAACTCTTATATTTTGATTCTTATGTTTCTTTTATTTATGTCAGACTATTTAGCGTGTCTCAAAAGAAATATTCTAGAATTGTAGATAAGGGGTAAAATTAAACTTTTTGCAATCTTTGAAGACCTTACAGTAACAGCTGAACTTTGGAAAACTGGCAAAAATTAAGTGTCTATTGGATTAATGTTTAGTTATCAAGTGTTTAAATAAGAAGAAAAAAAAAATACACTGTCTAAATCTAATCAATCAACTTTGAGAAAAGTAGACCCAAAAACATTAAAATAACTATTTGTATGCCGAAGGAAACATAGAGGATTAGAAAATCAAAGTTTTGGTTTCTCATCCTCATACCTCAATTGTAATTTGACGAATTTTGCTAGTGTATTTTATTTTTTATTTTTATCTTTCTCCTTTAAATAACAATTTTACACCCCTCATGTCTATGTTCATTACTTTTAATTTTATAAAGATTTTGAAAATGTATATTAAGGGTAGTGATTTTGGTACAACTTGTATATCTTGAGTTCCAAAATAGTTTAAAGACAGAAAACTAATTACTTAGTTGTTACTGGACATTAATTATTTAGTTTGGACATTATTTTCTATATTAATATTAACGTAAGCCATTATGAATAAGATAACTGGAATTGCATTTAAAACTTGTTTAATGACATAATTTACTGATATTTGTTACGTCCTATTAGTTTGATAGTTAACTGAATAAAATTTGATATTTATAATTAATAATGAATTATAATAATAAATAATAATAAATTATTCTACTCATAGAAAAAGATTTATTAAAATCCTCTACANAAAGGGTTGCGCTTGCGTAAAATTTACTATCGTGGAAATTCAGCTTTTTTGCCTTTTGGCTAATCTCATCCCTGAGTTTGATAGTTAACTGAATAAAATTTGATATTTATGAATAAATTATTCTACTCATAGAAAAAGATTTATTAAAATCCTCTACATTTTAAATTGAACTTTTCAATTATAATTCTATAAATTCAAAATCACAAAGTATGAAAATAATTTAATTATAAATTGATTTATTACTGAGCATTTCTTTAAACTTAAGACATTTTCTTTTTGAATAGTTAATTTATTGTATTTTATATTTATTGTTAGGGTGTGGTCATTGCAAAAAGGCTAAACCAGAATTTCAAGCTGCTGCTGAATATTTTAAAGATGACCCAAAAGTAAGATTGCCAATTTTTATTCTTGGAAAAGTATTAGACTGTTTTTATTGTGTGTACACGAATGTCTCTGTTGGTCTTATGGCAAAATAATAAATAATGAAAGCTAATTGTTTTTAAAGAAATAAAAAATGATGAATTGTAATGAAATATTTATTCATGTTTCTTAAATATGGAAACATTTCTGAGTTTTTGTGAATAGTTTTGTATAAAACTTTTAAAAGGAATATTTATAAAATACTGGTGAGACAGTTTTACGAATGTAATATTTGTATTCTGTGTTATGTTAAAATATGCAGATTTAATAAAATAACAAAGCTTTCTGATTCTTAGAAGACTTTAACTAGATCAGAAATATTTTTTTATCAATATTCTGTTTTGATTTTCTAAAAATTTTAAACACGAATAAGGTTTTTTATTATATTTTGTAAAATTAGCTAAAAGTTAATTAAATTGTATTGGCAGTAACTGTTCAAATGATCATTAGTTTTAATTATGTAGGCAAATGAATATTGTATGATAAAATGTCATGAATTATAATGAATAAAAATTATCAATTTTCAGAAGTGAAACATTAAGAGATATTTCAGTTTTAAATAAAAATAACAGTATTTGTAAAATTATAATGCAAAAGTTTCATTTCTATTCTAATCGGAGACTTATATCTTTTTGTATCTGCTGTTCCAAAAATTGTCTGAATCTATTGTTGTTGTAATGTGTTGGGAATGAGTTACTCCAGGTTGGAAATAACTATTATGTTTTTATTTAATTTACATATTTCCACTGCACAAACAAAAACAGTAAGACTAAAACAAATAATATAAATGAATTCCAAATGAGAAACCGATCAAGAAATTGTTCTCAGTTCCAGTTTTAGGATCGAACTCCTCTCTCATCGCCAAAATGGCGCCATGATCTAAGACTTTGGCACGCACAACTCTCACATTGTCTTATTTTCCTCCACTTATTTTTTGTCTTTAACTTGTCAAGAGTGCCGTATTGTATATTGGTTATGGTATTTATGACACTGCGAATCTTACACAGGTCCTAGCCATATTCAAACCAGTTTTCTAATCCCCTCCCCCTCCTAAAACAAAAAAGACTTGTTTTGTGACGATGTGAAATATTATTTTCATGAAATGTATCTTTGTCAATTAATTGTAATTATATTCATAGTGTATTAATTGTGAATGTTATGTGATATTATTTACTTTTGAACTGTATTGTATTTATTTGTTGGTAGAACTACTCAGTTTTTTTTAGATTTATATGTAGTTTCTTTTTGCTGCTAGAACTATATTTTTAGTTTCATACGTAGTTTCTAATTAAAATATTTGTAAATATTACATAAACACTTAGTGTTATTAAATTTTTTTAAGGTTGAATTTGCTGCTATGGATTGTACAGCTTTTGCCAGTGTATGTTCTGCACACGATGTTAAAGGATACCCTACTCTGAAGTATTTCAGCTACTACAAAGTGGAAAAGCCGTATGATGGTGGTCGAACAGTATGCCAATTTTTCTTTGATTATAAAAATGATAAAAGTTTTGAATCATAAAATTGTTTTATTCATGTCAGATCATTTAAAATTTTTTAAGTATAAGATTATCTACATAACATCTTTTATATTTTATATTGGTGTTTTTTTTTAATTTATTTATTTAAAATGAACTTCTGTGCAAAATATTGCATTTGTGATTTTACTTACGAATCAATCCCTTTCTTTTTGGTGTGTGCTTATTCCACTATATAAATAACTTTGGTTGCTTTAAGTTTTGGTGCTAAGGAAATTTTTTGAACAAAAAATTGCATAATATGAAAAATAATACATAAATAAAAGTAATAGATAAATAAAAATAATAAATAAATAAAAATAATAAATAAATAAAAAAATAAATAAATTTAAAGAAATTAAACAATTTTAAGCAAACAGTTATTTATATAAAACTAATTATATGCTGCCTAGTTGAACAAAATTTATGTGAACAAATAAACTACAATAAATCTTGTATAAAATATTGTTTACAAGTTTGCTGTCTTAAAGTATGACTTTTTTCTTCTTGATAGAATCATGAAGGATACACCATCTTATTTCTTTATAGTTATGCTTATATATTATAGTTATTTATTTCACCTGTGACTGGCTCTTAATTACTTATATTTTTTTAGTTTAGTCAGTTATCAGATAAATTTCTTGTTTCTATTATACTAGTTTTATGGATCAGTTTTTAAATATTCATTAATAATAGTTTTTATTGTTTTCAACTTAATAGTTTAACCCAGAACAAGTGAAAAATAAAAAGCAGTATTTTCTTTTATCACAAATTAAGTTCTGTGCCTCCATTTATGAATAAAATTATTTTTATGTAAACTTAAACTTTATTCATATTCTTCTGCTGGTATCGCCTTTAAAAATTTGGTTTATCTTTTGAAATTCAATCATAATTTCCTTTGCATGACCTGTTTAAAAAAGAAAAAAGCAATACAATTATGGTGTCTTTCAAAATTGCTATCTTTAGTTTAAAATTTAATTTTTGAAAAATTTCAAAAAATGGAATCAAATCTTAGTCAATTGATCACAGTCATGTTTTTTATATTTTTATTTTATTTTTTATACATAAGGAATCTGATTTTGTGGAGTACATGAAATCTGCTGTAGATGGTACTCCTCTTCCAACCCCAGCACCCCCTCCTCCTCCAGAACAGTGGTGGTCAGAGCTTCCAAATGGAGAGCATGTACGATATTTAAAATCTGAAACATTTGATGATGTAATAAATGCAGCTTCTTCAAGTCTTGTGATGTTTTATGCACCCTGTAAGAAATATTAACTTACCTTTCTTTATAGTTNCAAATGGAGAGCATGTACGATATTTAAAATCTGAAACATTTGATGATGTAATAAATGCAGCTTCTTCAAGTCTTGTGATGTTTTATGCACCCTGTAAGAAATATTAACTTACCTTTTTTATAGTTAAATTTTTATTTTAACGGTATTTTATATATTTAAGTATTTAATATTTCTATTGTATCTAAAACTGTGATGTTCTATATGCCCAGTAATTAATATTAACTTATTTCTTATTGTTTAAAATTTTAGTATTTTATTGTATTTTTTCATGAATTTTAATATTTATGTGTTCATATTTGTGACCTTTTATGCAAACTTTAGGAATATTAATTGATAATTTCTCTTTAGTTGTTAAATATTTATTCTTTCAATATTTTATTTACGTATTTGTAATAAACGTGTATTTCATTAAAAAACTGATGAATTTACTATTTTTTTATTTATTTAAAATATTTAAAGAAGTTTTGTTTTTGTCCTTCAGGGTGTGGTCATTGTAAAGCTATGAAACCAGCCTTTGCTGAAGCTGCTGCAAAACTCAAGGAAAAAAATGTAAATTTTTTTATTTTATAATATTTAGACACTGTAGAATGCAATCAAAATTTGAAATTTTTTCAATGTAAATGTGAAATGAAATATTTTTTTTATTTGAAATTGGTTAAGGTCTAATTATCGATTTTAAATTAAGAATTATGGGAGAGATTTTGTATAAGGTTTTGTCTAACATTAACCTAAAAGTTAACCTTATTATCTACCATTAAGTGATCATGAAATTTTTGAGTGTACATTCTTTAGTTTATATGGCATTAGAGAAAGGGAAAACCAGAAAGCTTTGCAAAATATCTCTCTTGTTAGTTGTCTTTAGAGCTTCTTTAAAAATTTATTTAAATTTTTGTAATTCTTAATAATAATGTTTCAAACTTGTTTTTATGTCTTTTGCATTTTTGAATAGCTATGGTATCATTTATACATATTAAGAATGTTATTTGGAATTAAAATAAATTTTATTTTGCATATTTTCAAATAGCTGAGTGTTAGTCCCATTTTCCCCCCAGATATTCAGCAATGCATTAAATACCTGATTTCTCTGTATCATTCCATGGGCAAATAGTGAGTTGCATGAAAATTTCATAACATATTTGCTTATCGGCTCTATGCTTGAAGGCGAAAAAATAACCCTTAAGGATACATTTTAAGAAAAGCCTTTCTTAAATGCTGAAAAGTGTTAAAATTTTTTTATAAAGGCTTATTGTTTTACTGTTTTGTGATATGTAGAGTATTTTTAAATGTAATCTCATGTTATATGTTTAGCTCTAAGTTGATATCACATATGGTCAAATCTCTTGATCCCACAGGTTTGTCTAAGCTTGAAGTAACCTAACTCTTTTACCGTTAAACTTATCTCAGAGAACTTAATTAATAAAATAAAGTAATAAAAATGAAGTTCTTTTTCTAATCTTCTTTTTATTTTTTTTAATGGAATCGGTGAAATTTTTTAGATTCAAAAAGTGCATTTTTATTGAAAAAGTATAATTTTGCTGAAAATCACCTGAAAATTTGTGTTTTAGAAAGTTTTTCTTAACCTTTTTTAAATGCTTCATTGTTGTGAGAGGAGTAAAAGCATCTTATTTGCTTTTTTGAATATTTTTTTTAATTAAAAAGCGAATTCAAATTCATTTGTTATCTTTCCTCTTAAGGTAATCCTAATAAAAGTGCTTACAGAAATTTTCAATGGTATTTCGAATGAAATAAATTAATCTGTCTCATGTTTTGTATATTCTGATATAATTTTTGTTCAATGAACTTTCAAATATAATATTTTGCATTTTGAATTCTTTCAATTCTTTTGAAATGTCGTACAATAAATTTTTTCAAGTTATTAATTTAATGTCAATGCTTTTTCACGTTTGGTGTATTCAGATCTAATTTTTGCTCAAATAACTTCCAAATGTCACTTCTTGTGTTTTGAATTCAATTCTTTTGATTTTTTTTTCAGTTATTTCTTTAACTCTAATTCTTTTTTCTATATTTGGCAAAACAACATAGGAAAACAAGAAGGAAATTAATGTTTAGTTAAAATGTATTGCATATAAATTTGTTAATTATTATTATTTTTTTATTACTATTATTTATTACTGTTATTTATTTATTTTTAAATTTAAAATGTCTTTGAATGTATTGAAATATAAAGCTATCAATAAATGTTTTTAGGTGGACTGTATACTGGCTGCAGTTGATGCTACTGTAGAACGATCACTTGCCACAAAACATTCCATTAAAGCTTTTCCCATTGGTTTGTATTTAATTAATTGTTTAAACTTTAAATAAATTATGTGCAATTAATGTAATTAATTACAAATTATTGTTTAGTTTTAATCAATAAATAAGACTTGGGTAACTTTTTTCTGATATGGTGCAGCTTTTTTTTTATTTTATTATTTGTTTAATTTATTTTAAAACCTTATTCCTTTAAAAGTTGTTAAAGTCTTATTATTTTTTAAAAAAGATTGACATTTTGAATCCTGATTTATGTATTATTTCTTTTAAAAACTTCTTAATATTAGAGTTTCCTTTAATTAAGTGTGTTAAAATGCTTATAAAAGTAAGCTTGAGTTGAGAAAAATATTTGTTCAATCAAAACTTAAAAATTTTATTGAATGTTTTTTCATATAATTTGTCTATATGTTTATTTATATATATATATATTATAAGTTCAAAATGAAGATACAAAGGAAAATGACACATGAAAAAAAGGGGGGAAAGAAAAATAATAGTAATAATAAAAAAAAAAAATAACAAACAACTGGGGGAAAAAAAGGATAAAATTTTTAAAAAAAAAAACACTCTTTTTTGCGGATATAATCGTGTATGCTGATGAAAAGATTATATCTTTTATTTTCCGGATCTTTTTAAAAAATTTTATCCTTTTTTTTCTCTTCCCCAGTTTGTTATTTCTTTTATTATTTTTCTTCCCCCCCCCCTTTTTTTTCATATGTCTGTAATTTTCCTTTGTTTCATCTTCATTTTGAACTTATCTAATAGGTTCTGTTTACTTGCAGCTTAAGCGCAATAAATGAAACTTATTGTTTTTCTTAATTTTCTTCGTGTTTTTTCGTATTTATTTATTTCGCTGTTTATATATATATATATATAAATTTCAGAACCTAATTTTCTTTAAATATATTTTTTCTGTTCTAATTCTAGAGTGACTAATTTTAAAGGCTGTAATAATATAAAAAATAAACTGAAAAGATTTTTAAATGAGATATTTCAAAAATGATCAATTAGCCATGTGCTCTAAATTATTCTGTAAATTGACATTTTTTGACGTATATAAATCTGTGCCAAATATAAAACTAAAGGTTTATAATATTTATTATTAGTTATAAAAATAAACATAAGTTTAAGTAACTGATATGTTTATTTTTTAAATTTTAAATGATTTAATTGATTTTTTAAATGCTTCATTTACTTTTTTAAATTTTGTAGCTTCCTTACAAATGTTATTATTTACTACTTATTTTATCTATAAATTACATAATTTTAAGAAAATATACTAATCATTGCTTATTTTTATTTTTCAGTGAAATATTTTAGGTAAGTTGATTCAAACTTTTTAAAAAATTTTCTTTTAATTAAGTTTTTTTTTCGAGTTTCAATAATTATTTTATTTGTTTATTTTTAGCCATGGAAAATTAGTTGCTGAATATAATAAAGGGAGAACTGTAGAAGACATTGTACAATTTATGTCCAATCCACCTGTTGCCAAAGAAGAATTATGAAATATCTTAGGTAATTTAATTTTATTAATTAATTTAAGAGGTAATTTTCAATGTATGTGTAAACTGCTTTTAATATCTCTATCAGAAGTACAAAAAAAAAATTTTTTTTCCTCCATTTTAGTAAATTTTTTATAAATAGTTTGCTTGTTAAAGTCAGAGTGAAAAGGCAGTTTCAGATAATAGGAAAAAGTATTGTCCTTACTGAAAAATTGTTTAGAAGTAGTGTTATTTTCCTTTTAAGTGTACTTTAGCAGTCAAGGGAACACTCTGTAGTAGGGAAAATTTTGTCACATAATATTCTGTTAAGTAAAAGTTTTATAAAACATATTTTGTTGCTAAAGTACTGAAAAAAAAAACTGATAAAAGTTTTTTTTTACCCTCATGGGTACCCAATTTTTTTTCCAAAATTTATCTGAAAAGAAATCTTCCTAAATTTGGTAAGTTCTTCTTTTATGTGAAATAAGTTTAAATATGTATAAAATAAATGGATAAGTTGTACATGTTTTATATAATAATATTTTATATGCACTTACACTTGCAGTAAAAGTGTTTGCAAAATAAGTTGTTTTATCCTCTTGAGTAAACTGATTGATTTTGAATATGCAGAATGATAGATTATATAGATATACGTATTGGAATCTTATTTTAAGAATTTAAATGAAATTTTGCACATTTTAAAAATACAAATTAGGCTGTTAGCCAAAATATTCTAAAAGTTGCTTAACTAAAACAGTACTCCTATGTTGTTTGTCAATATATAAGTCATATGTAAAACACTTTTTGCTGGAAGCTTCATTTCCAACTTTTTTTTAATAGTCCTGTAACTTTTTTTCTTCTTTTATTTTTAAGTTCACTGCTTCCTTATTACTGTAAGACATACTTTCTATGGTAAAAATCAGCATAATGGTTACTCAAATTATAGTAAAAACAAACGATAAACCAAAAATATAATATTCTCTTTGAAATACTGTTGAAAAATGAAAGTAAATTATATAAATCTTGAAGTTCTTGTGTTATACTGCATACACAGGTATTTTTTTCTGACAAATTATCAAAATCTCTGAAAGGCTTGTTTTCAAATGCTTTCTTATCAAAGTCAATGTTATCAAAGTCAATGATTTCTAATGTGTTAAGGCACAATAAATAATTTCTAATATGTTATAACTATTTTGCTTTTTATGATGCGAGATTTTAGATTAGTGTTTTTTATTCGTACAATGTTATTGTATTGGGGTGTATTCTTTCAGTTTGAATTTTTTTTTCTCTTTTTCTCAGATTTTAAAAACATTAAATTTCAGAAATAATGAAAAAAAAAACAACTTAAAAATACATTTATATAAACTTAGCAACTGGCTTTCTGTATATAACTGTGAAATAAGTTTAGGTTCCACATTGCTTTTAGAATTGTTCAGCTCATCTACTTTTGGCAGTTTAAAAGATTTTGAACTTTTTATACTAATCTTAAATTTTTATGCTAACCTTGAATTTGGATTTAGAAAGCATTTTCTATTTCCGGAACTCGTTAAACATAGTGTTTACTTTACTGAACTCTTTTTCTTTTCTTTTTCCTTTTTGTAATGTATTTACATTTAACATTTCAAGTTCAAATAAAATGTTTAATTCTTGTTCTAATTTTTGAAACCACAAACTTAACAATTTGTTTGAAATGGAATCAAAGTTTAAAGTTTTTAAAGCTGTGTTTCTATCATTATTGACTTCAGTACTAAATATCTTTAGATTTAATTGAATAGTTATAAGTTGTTTTTTCCAGAGAACTTGTGTTTAATGCTTGCACTTTAACTGGCCTGTTCTTAGTTTACAAAGAAAATTGATTATTTTTTCCTTATAATCTATATTTTATTTTGGATGTCTTAAAAACCTATACAGAGATATCTTGTTCACTGCTATTAGCTTTATGATAGTTAAGAAAGAAATATGTTGATATTTGCATTTTGTTTATTTATTAACTCTTTTTAACTGACATACTATTTCCTTGCCTTGGGAATGGAATGTTTTAGTTTGGTACAATATCTCTGTGATGCCATAATAGGCATTTAAAATTTCTTTAATTTCATAAGTTTAATTTTTAATCATTCTTAATCCAATTTTTTTTAAATTATATCAATTATAATTAATTTTTATTTCATTTTAAAAAGAGCAAATCTAAATATTTTATTTTCTTCTTAACAATCAATAAAACTGCTAACTTTTTAATTCAATACAAATGTAAAACACTGCCGCGACTAAATCGAATATAAAGATCTATTTTTAACTTTTTATTCCTTTAGTTACTTTATTTCTCTTATCACAAATATGTTTCAAAATCTTCCTGGTCTTTTTGGCGATTACACTATAGCCAAATTATTTTAATATTAATTACGCGGAGTTGGATTTGTTTTTGGCTATTTTATCTTTCATTTAATCATCAACTATGGATCTCTGCCCGTGGTCCTAACCGTCAGTTGTGAACAATTCAATTAATTTTAATTTTGAATTCTTGACATTAGGGCGGGGGTGGTTCGCCCCCTTGGTTAAACCAAATTTTTCAATTTTACAAATTACCGATTTTAGGAAAATCTTTATTTTAGAAATAATGCATCTCTTTATCCCTTTAAGGGAATGCTTTTTACTGTCAATATATGACTTCCATGATGTATTTAATAATAATATTTCTAAAAATAAATAAATTCTTTTTTTTTAAATAATTTCTCATGTTATTGAACATAAATATTATTATAATTAAAANAGAATATATCCCTATAAGGGAACACTTTTTGTTTTAGATATATGATGACCATCTAATAATAATATTTCTAAAAATAAATAAATTCTTTTTTTTTTTTTTAAATAATTTCTCATGTTATTGAAAATAAATATTATAATTAAAAAAATATATATAGTTATTAGGGCGGGTGGAAAAAACCGAAGTTCTTATTTTGCAAAGTGCTATAATGCGGAAGCGATGTCTTACATAAAAATAAATAATTTAACACAAAAAATTTTAAAATCTGTTAATATCTTCCTTCAATGCATCCCAATTAAAGTTATTGGACATTTTTCTTAAAGTTTTGGATCCAAATAAAAATTTTACAATCGTTATGCTGTAATCTTTTATAATTATTTTATGGTTTTGGAATGGAAAGTAAATTTAAAAAAAAAATATTGATTAAATACATAATTGTTGCATAATGCATTTGAAAAAAGCAAAAAATATCATTCAAATCTTTTTTGTTTGTCCTTAAATGGTGCCTTTTAGTTTGCCGATCTTTACCTTGCATTGTGCACTGTAACATTTTTCTTTCTTGTTGAACTTATTAATTTAAGGTTTAATTTTGCGTTATTTGTATCTGTTAGTAATGCTGAGTAGTTAACAAATTATTTGCGTTTTTTTGCCTTAATCTGCTGCTATAGTTTGTTTTTATTCTAGTTTTTTTTTTTCATTGACAATTATAATCCTTATAGTAGTTAAGTCATCAAAGACGATAGTTATGAGGCAGGCTTTTGAATGCCCTATATTTGGTCACTCAAGAGATTTTTATGTAAACAAGCTACACACACATGAAAAGNATTAAAATGTTCAAGAGGGATATTTGTTCACATTGCGCTACACCGTTAAAATATATAAAACTTTCAGTCCTGTGATTTTTTTAGAGTGGCACCCCTGTAAATAACAATTAAGTAAAATTTTTTGAAGTAGCTAGTCTAGTAGCAAAAAAATTAAACGCTTGTACGATAAATCATCCGTTCCTTCTGTGTCTCATTACAGAATAGTGCAACTCCTTAATGCTTTTGATAATTCCTATTATAATATAAGAAAGTCATACAGTCATGCTTAAAGACAAAGATTCATTTAAACAAAGACTAGAGGAATTTAAACTAAGATCTATTTCTCTTTTTGATGTTACTGCATGTGTAAATGCACAAATACTGAAAATTGTATGTGCAAGAACTCTGCTGATAGGTTTGACTGTAAAATTTCTATCAACTGCATTTGAGAATAAACAAACAGGCTCCCTGCCTTGAGTTAAGATTTATTTTTCTTCATCAAAAATCTGATTTTAGAAAAAAAGGATCATTGGACTTGGAAAAAAAGGTAGGTTGAATAAAAATATCGAACGGAAGACTCTTGAGTGATACACAAAGTGGATCTGAAATCCAAACATTTAAGAATGTAACAATTTTTCTGCTGTTTTGAAGACGGATGATAAATCCAGAGTTGCCACAGGCGACTAAAATGCAACTATTTTTGGCATGAAGTGACTATGGCAACTTTTTTTGCCTTAAAAAGCTAAAAAAGCAACTATTTTCAGGAAAAAGAGACTATTGGGAGACTTTTATGCACTCCTAGTGATGTTTTTTTTAAGCATGACTTGGGTTGGAAATCTGTGGCCTGAGATAGTTTCTGAACACACAAGACTTTTTTTTTCTTAAAAAATAAAAAATTTTGACAATTTTGAATTGCAAATTTGAATCTTCACTTTTTAATTCGTTCAATCTGCACAGATTCCATTGTAAGTCTATTTCGTTTCTTGATCGCCTTTTCAATGGTTATATTTCAATAGCTTCAAAATTCCGCATGATTTTTTAAAAAAAAAGAAATTTAATGCGATATTACAATGCGTGAATCTCGAATTTGACTAATCACTTTTCACAATATATATATAATATTATATATATATATATTCCTAGATCAATTATTGATAAGAGGGAAAATATTGCTAGAACATTAACGTTTATATAAAAATTATCACATTTGCCTCCAGCTTGACTATATAGATCATGGTATATGACAATTAAGTCATTAACAAAATTTTAGTCATATTTTTGATGCATTTTTGTTCTTATTTAGGCATCTATTTTCATAGTTTTCGGCTACTAAAAGCAACTATTTTGTTTATATTTTTCTGTGACAACCATGTAAATCTTAACAGAGTAAATCATTAAAAAAAAAGCCTGGTGGCAGATGAGAGTTAAGCTAGATGCAACAGCCCTAAGCAGTGATTAGTATGGAGTGTCCAATTACACAGCTATGGCAGGAAATGCATTCGAAATCCTGGATGGAAGGATCCACCTTGGGAAGAAAAATTTAGACATTTTGTGCAACCAAAAATAATTTTGATGCAAATGATTACACTAAAATTATTTTTTGGTTTAATTACTTTTTGTTTCCCCCCATACCTTCTGCACTTAAGTGATGCTGACATTTTATCACTTATCGATTCTGACATAAATCTCCTGGATAATATCAATAAGTTTCCGTGTCACACTCGAGTGGCTGAGAGAATTGTCAATTTAGTGCCAGAAGCTTCACTTATAGTGCGTTGACAAGAATCCGGAGATGACTTTTATCAAATCAATGATCTCATCCAAGTCAGTTATGTCTAAGATTTTCTCAAAAATCAGACTTTAGAAGTGTTTAAAAGTAAGCTGTTGAATCCAGATGTTTCTTATTATCGTTATCAATTCGTATTCTATTATTATCGTTATCAATTTGTTTTAAAGTGTAATGTGCATGGTATGTTGATTCTAGATAGCTGGTTAGGAAAGGTGTGAGGGTGTTCAACTATCAAGAATCTCCAAGTGTTGAAAAAAAAAAAAAAAAAAAAAAAAAAAAAAAAAAACTTTAATCTGATTTAAAATATTGTTTATTTTATTTAACCTTTTTGAATCCTCAAACTAATTATATATTGATTAAATTGAAATATTGATTATTGATTAAACTGAAATATTGATTATTGATTAAATTGAAATATTGATTGTAAGATTTAAAAGTTATTTCTGTATTTTATAGTCTGTATTATAGTCTATATTTTCATTTTTAGACTAAGAGAAGAAGATTTGCATGGTCAACTAATTATCATTTTGAAAGACAAGTTGTATATGTTTGGGGAAAAGTTTACTTAATTAATGATCTCATCAATGCATTTTTGTGTGATTATAAATCTATTTTAATATTTTGGTTTTAACATCAGTTTTCAATCAGCTAAATGAAACAAAAATTGTGTTTGTGTTCCAATTAATTATGTAATTTATTATTTAATTATAAACGGACAAATATTTTGTTTGGAATTTTTTTGTGTGAATAATCGACAATTTTGAATTTATTTGGAATGGGATTTCAATTTGTTTTAACCTAATAAATTAGAAGGGAATATTTTTATATAATTCATAATCAACTGTATAAATTATATCTGTTCTGTAAATAAAACAAACTTGTTTTTTATGTGTTGTAATTTCTTTTTGAATTCATTTCATGTAATATAATTGGTTATATTTTCAAAGTTAAAGCTGTTTTCCCCCCTTAGTTTTGGTTTCTTATAGTATTATTATGATTATGTCATAATTATTATTTTACTTGATAAATATAAGTTCTACAACCTTGAAGTGTCACAGCGACTGTTTTCTTCCACATTTTCAATTTTGTTTCGTGTGTTTTTAATTTTCAGCACAAGTTTATCATAGTGAATTGACTACATATTAATTTAATATTTTAAATTAGACTGACAATTAAGTACAGTAGGGAACCGATTATCCGGAACGGTCGGGACCATCGCTATTCCGGATAACTGATTTTTCCGGTTTTCTGAATCGCTACAAAAAGCAGTTTTTTTTATTGCTAAACCTAACTAAAAAAAAAAAATTGGAAATGGAATACACTAATGATTATTTCCAAAATGATGGTAAGGTAAACATCTTTAAAAAAAGGAAGAAAAATCGTAAAATCTTACGAGGAAAAAAATTTTTTTTTTTTTAGAAATGGCGAGAAAATGTATCGAATTTTGTTCCGGTTTTTTGGTTTTCCGGTTTTCTGATTTCCGGATAACGGGTTCCGTACTGTAATTTAATTTTAAAAAATAAATCAATAGTAATTAAGATAATTTTTTATTGTTATGTTTTAATAGAGATCTTGTTAAGAAAGGTTTCAACAAAAAATTTAATATATTTTTAATATTGATTGACTTTTCAATTATTATGATTTGGGGCAAAATGTTTCAGAAATTTTCTTGTTGCACATTAATTTCTATTGAATAAATAGTTTCCTGTTGCAGAGATTGATAACTCAATTTTTAGAAATGCTAGTCTTGATCTTGATATCAAATTCATACAAAAAAATTTTTTTTTGTAAATATGAATAAAATTCGCTGATACAAAAAATATGTTGACGATAGTCATACATACTATCTTTCTGTTTTATTTATTTTCAGAATTTCTTTTTTTTTTGCAAGTTTTTTCCTTTCTGCCTGTCGATATTTAGGAAAGAAAATGTCTAATTTTAGAGCTTAAAGTGGCTGAAAGTTACTAATTATATGAGCTTAGTGAGATATTTCTTTATAAACATAAAATTCTTTGTCTGCAATTTATATATCTGTAATTAATTTATTATTTTTATGCTAAAGGAGTATAGCAAGAAATCAATTTTGTCCTTTTGGCAAAAAATGTAATAATTATCTAAATTTACTTTTAAGTATGCATAAGATACGCTTCCTTCTACTATGGAGTTAAAGATTTAAAAAACTTTATGAAGCTTTATTGCTTGATGCCTTTTAAATAATTCAGTTAAGGTAATAAGTATAAAGTAACCAATTTAAGTAAAAAGTTATATTGCAAATCATATCAGCAGTTATTTACTTGTTTTGATTGAGATTAACAATGATTATGGAAGTTCCGATTTTTTTTCATTAATAATTGAGAATTACTTCCAATATCCTGTAAAATCAATTATAAATTAAATACATTTTTTTGTTTGAGTTATCTTTATAATAGTTATCTTTTGTTGACATAAATTTTCTTTTTAGTATAACCGAATTCATAAAGCTATTCATAAAGCTTCGTATAAAGCTAAATACGAGTCATTATTTCATGATCTTATTTCCTTGACCTTTTCTTATCTGAATTCAAAAAAGGTCATTGTGCCATTATAAAAATTTTATGTTAAGTTTCTGAAATCCAAANTTCCAATATCCTGTAAAATCAATTATAAATTAAATACATTTTTTTGTTTGAGTTATCTTTATAATAGTTATCTTTTGTTGACATAAATTTTCTTTTTAGTATAACCGAATTCCGTTTTATTCAAAAAAGGTCATTGTGCCATAATAAAAATGTTATGTTAAGTTTCATTGAAAAACTGTAATTAAAATTATTTAAGGTTATTTAAAAAAAAAAAAAACTTATTATATTATACTATATTTAAATCAGTTTTTTTTTTTTGTCCCTAATGCATATCTAACTTCCAGATAAAATGTAACCCATAGTATATTTATAGGTTACTATTTGTGGCTAATCTTATTTTTACTATATCAAAAATTTAGATATAGGAAAAATTCTGCATTATGTTGCACTAAACATACAGATTTATAGATTTGATATCAGAAATAATGCAACTTTTTTAAAAAATTAGGGTGCGTAGCATTTTTTAAAAGTGCTTAAAGGTGCTTATTTTTTATTTGCATTTTTTAAAAGCCCCCAAAGATGCTTTTTTATTCGGGGCTTGTAAAAAGTGCTTAATTTTCTATATTTTAAAAAGAGATTTTTCTTTGCCGTGTCTATTTTCGTTATAAATTACAAAAAATGCATAATTTTCAGAATTATATTTAGCAGAAACTAGTTATTTTATCATGATTATGTAAAGTTTTTGGAAATGTTTTTGAATTTTATTGAAATTTATGTTTGTAAATTATGAACTTTAAACGATAGAATTTTTTTATTTTTTATTACTGCACAGATATAATTATGATTCCTGAAAAGGAAAGTGATTAAAAAATATTTTTTGCTGAAAAATCTGACTACGCACCCTGTTAGATTTATTTTAAAAGTTAGATTTATTTTCAAGTATCTATAACGTCTAGTTCAATTTTACGAAGTATGTGTTATTTCCTGAATTGATATGTATTTGGTTTTAATAACATAAATGAAATGAAGTTTTTCCAGATGATATAAATAATTGCATTATAGTTAATGCTTTTAATAAGTGTAAAATTTAAGAATATTTCATTGGAAATGAAAACAGATATCAAGTATAATTATGTCTTCTAGGAAAATCTTTTTAAAAAATCAGAAATATCATTTTTTTTGTGTGTATTAGCAATTTCTTTTAAATAGTAATGCACTTGCCCTGTAAAGTATTTTTAACATGTGTTCTGCAGCCCTGAACTAAATTGAATTTTATTTTTAAGGTAAGTTGGTAAATCTTTCCATTTACTATAATTATAAATAGTTAATGTTTGCCATTTTTTAACAGAAAAATTAGTGTTTAATTAATATATAGAATTTTTCTTTTCTCACAATATATTTTTTATTAATCTGACTAGCTAAAGCTATTTTTCTACTAAGTGGGAACATTTTAGTTTCAATAATCCTGTCTGTTAAGCGTTTATCTTGTAAATACTTTTAGTAATGAACTCTAATGTTTCAGTACTTTTAACTTGATTAAAAAATATTGTTTCTTTCTTAGTTTTAAATAGAAGTATCTGACTTTCTTATTTACGATCAAAAATTGTTTTTTATTTAAATTTGATTACTTAAGGGCCTTTAAAGATACCTTTGTCTACTGAACTGACTCATATGTCACATATTAAAGTGACAAATGAAAAATGTTTAATATAAAATTAGTTATTAATAACAAATATTATAATGTTTTACATAAAATTATTTTTACGCTTTAATAACATTTTTATATTAATTTACTAACTGAGTTATTAATATTTCTCTTATCATTTTATTTAATGCAGAAGTACTAATTGCATTTTACAGTGATTTTTTTAAACATATTGTCATAATACAATGTTTGAAATGGATTTAATAAGCACTATGTTAGTTGAAACTTACATCATGGGAATTTAGGTGGCATTCCTGATCTTGTGAATTTAATTGATTGAAGCATTAAAAGTTTTTAGAAATGCCACTGATGCTTCTGTCCCACAAACTGCTTCTACAGCTGCTGTAATTGCCTGCATAATGTCCTCTAAATCACCAGATAACACAGAAAGCCTAAAGTCTTCTGACGAGGCCAAAGCTGTTGCTAAGTCCATCGCTAACTTTTGTTTAATTTCTTCAGGCGTTACAGTTTTGGGTTTTGGTTCAGAAGTTTTCTCTTTTCCTGGCGACTCATCTTTTTGCTTATCTGCATCCTCCTTTGATACTGTTTTGTTACTTGTATCAGATTTGGGCTCTGATTTAACATTTTTATCAACAGGCTCGTTTGTGGAATCCTTGTTGTCCTTTTTACTGTTATCTTTGCTGTCTGAGCTTATTTCATCTATTTTTAAATTTTTATCCTGGATGTTTACTTGTGCATCTAACTGATCAATTAACTCTTGATCTAAACCAAATTCCCCTGCAAGTTTTGCTTTTAGGTTTTGGTCAGCCGGATTGAAGTTCAAATTGGAATTATTGTTGTCATTGTTACTCTTATCTTTAGCATCAGACATTGTTTCTTCCTTTTCTGGTTTTTTATCCTGGGTATTTACTTGGCCATCAATTTGATCAATAAACTCTTGGCCTAAGCCAAATTCTGCTGCAAGTTTTGCTTGTAGGTTTTGATCAGACAGACTGAAATCAGATTCTTTGTTTATTGTATCATTTGAATCAATATTAGAATTCACTGTGGTCTTTTTTGATTCTGTAGATCTTGTTGTATCAGATGCAGTGTTCAAATCAACTTTTGTTTCTACATTAGATTTTCCATCTAAAAGTTGTGATACACTTGACAATATGCATTGAACAGATTCATCAGCTAGCATGTTTTGTGATGAATCAGTCAATATTTTCTTGTCCTTAAGTATGTCTGCAGTAATATCTGTCAATGCAGTAGCAAATTCCTCAGCTGTTTTATCAACAATCAAGAGTCCTGCGATTAATCTTTCAACAACACTGTTATTCAACTCAACTTGAAATTTTTCAGAAAGCTTCTGAGAATATAATTTTGAGAATACTACCAAATCTTCATTTGTTAGTGACTTTTTCAACAAAGCATTTAATTTATCTGTTGCTATTATCTTGGCTTTCAGCATTGAGGCAAAATTTTTCTTGATATCAGAATTGGACAATGTTGAAGCTCCTTCGTTGTTAAGTTTTGAGTTTAAACTTATTTCTTTTTGCTCCATCATAGCACCATCAGCTTTTATTTTTGCAGTTTGTCTTGCTGCTGCTTGTACACTCAAATCTTGGTCACCTAACTTAGTTTCCCCATCTACATCTGCTAATATATCTAAATTAAAATTGTCGCTTTGTTTTACATCTGTTTTACTATTTATTGTTGGTTTTTTAATGTCTGTCGCTGAACTGTCTTTTGATTTTTGGTCCTTGTCTTCAAAAATCAATTTATCAACACTTTTCTCAAAATCAGTATCATCTTTCTTTGCATCTCCCGAGGCTGTTGAATTCATTTTTGTGGTTGCTGCTGCTGCCAACGCTGCTTTTGTATCAATTTTAAGATTAAATGATTGTGAAACAGCTTCCAATAAGCACTGAACGACTGCATCTGAAATGCTGTCTAGATTGGTTTTTAACAACTTTCCTTGATCTGAAAGTATATCTGCTGTTTTATTAATGAAAGTATTCATGAAATTTGATTTCGAATTTAGAAATTCCATAAAAAAGGACATGGCTGTATCATCATTGGCATTTATTTGAAGTTTTTGAGACAATAGTTTCGAGTAAGTTTCACTCATTGCTGCTACTTCTTGTGGATTTACTTGTATTTCTTCTAAATTTTTGATAATTCCTGTGGCTGCAGCCTTTGCTTTTAACAAATCAATAAAAGTAGATTTTAAATCCTTTCCTGATTGTATTCCTTCTGATTCAACTTCTATTGGCTTTTTCATAACATTTGCTTCAACATTACCTTTTGTTTGCTGCATGTTTTTTTCTGTTCCTTTCAGCTCTTTCAAATCAGGTGCATATTCTCCAGATGATAGGATATCAATATCTGAATCAGCTGAAACATTATTTGGAGTTTTATTATTTATATTTGTACTGGATTTTATTGCTTTGTCTGCATTTTTGCCTAGATCTGATTTTGAGTTTCCAATTAAACTTTTTTCAGATGATGTACCTTCACCAATATCTAAATCAGTTGCGATCTGCATTCCTTGATCCATGCCGACTTCTTTACTCATTCCGTTTGAAAAGGTTTCAAATGCACATTGCATGGCTAAATCTAACGCATTATTCAAATTATTTGAATTTAATTTATTTTCCGCCATTAGAATATCCGCGGTCACACTTGCCAGACTCTGTATAGCATTTTGGTAATCAGAATTCATTTTAATTGTCCCTAGTCCCTCAGAAAGAAGTTTTATTTTATTGTTATCCTCTGAAATATTGAATTTCTCTGCTAATAGTTTTGAATATGATTTTGATGAATCCGCTATATCCTTTTCACTTAAATTCTTATCTAATAATGTTTCAAAGATTCCTGTTCCTAAAATTTGACCTTTTAATGCATTTTCAAATTTAAGTCTTAGCTCATTGTTAGAAACTGAGCTTTTGTCGGAATCATTTGATATTGGACCATTAAATTTGTTTAGTTCATCCACCTTGCCAGCATTTTTATCATTTGTTTCTGCTCCAGAAATCTTACTTTTGGTATCTATCTTCTGATTATTTTCTACTCCTAACTCTTTGCTTTGATTAGAAGAAGTATTCCCATTATCAGCTTCACCATTTACTTGAGAGTTACTTGCTTTCCTTGAATCAGTTGAGTCCGTTTCAGTTTTGTTGTCTTCAGAATTTCTAGTAATTCCGCTTTCTTCATTTTTATTGTTGATATTAATGTCTGCATCATTGGTGTTAGTTCTAGTTTTATCATTATTGATTTTTGTTTCAAAAGTTTTCAATATTTGTTTGTTTGGTAAGTCCACATTCAAATTGAGATCTCGCAGGCTGAGACGGAAGCACTCAATAGTTGTATTTACAATATTATCTAAATTACCAGAAGTTAATAGTTGTTGCGATTCCAGTATATCTCCTGAGAAGTTAGACAATGCATCTGCAATAGTTTCATCACTATTAGTTAATGCTGCTTGCAATACTTTATTTGTTGAATCCGTTAAATCAGATTCGCTTTTAACATTGAACCTGTCTGCTAAATTATTGGAATAATTTTCCATCAATTTCTTAAAGTTAATTGCATTTTTATTTGTTAGAACCTCTTTAAGTATTCCTAACTGGAGAATTTTATTTTTTAATTGAGTTATGAATTTTATTTTAAATTTTTTACTTCCTTTATCAACTTCTGTTTGTTTCGAATTTGTTGCGTCTATAGTTGATGAATTTAGTTTCTTTTGCTTTATACTGTCTTCTTCTTGTGTCTTTGCATCAGAATCTGTTATCATTTCTGTTGTTTTTACTGGTGATTTTGCTTTGTTATCAATTTTCCCATTGATGTTAGCAGATGCATCGTAATCAGATTTAAAACCTGAGGATTTATTAGAAGGTGATACTTCTGTGCTGATGTCTTCTGGCTTTGAACTTGCTTGATTAATAAGTTCATTTGAGGTTTGTGATATTGCTTCATCGATTGCTTGTTTTGTATCTTCAGCAGTTTTTGTAAGTTGATTCTTAGAGAGTATCCTTTGTTTATTTAGATCGTCAGAGAGGAAAGATGCCAGTGATTCAGCTATAGTATATTCATCTAGTGGGTATTCACTAGACGAAAACAAGTTTTGATACATATTTTGTGACAAAATATTAGAGTTAAAACCAGTTGTTTTCCTTAAAGTATTTTCTAATTTATTCGCGAACTTGCCTGCATCTTCTTTTGATACTTTCTGGAAAAAATTCATAATATTATCACTTGAAATAATATTTAGAAATAATGATTCTTTGAAGTCATTTTTAACGTCATCTGTGTTTTCATTGCCGAAAGTCGAGGAAAAGTCCTCAGTTGGAATTTGTTCCAAGTTGAATGATGTATCTTCATAATTTGTGTTCCAGTTTTCTGTTGAGAATGCATCTTCTGGTGGTGGAATCAGTTTTGAATTTAGACTTCCTACAAAATCAGCTGTTTTTCCACTGTCAAAATTATCAGTTGAAAAAATAGTCTCAGGTGAAATCTGTTCAAAGTTTGTTGTATCCGCATCATAATTTGAGTTCCAATTTGTTGTTGAGAAAGTATCTTGCGGTGTTCCTAAGGGAGGGGTATAAGGGTTAGGTCCTGATTGAAAACCGTTTGAGTTATCAGAATTTGTAGGAAATGAGTCTGTGTTTGTTTGAAATCCACTTGTTTGCTTATTGGATGTTAATCCAAAATTATTAGAGAAACCTGATGGTAATCCATAATTGTTGGAGAAATCAGATACCATTCCAAAATTATTGGAGGAGACAGATACCATTCCATAATTACTGGGAAAATCAGGTGCCATTCCAAAGTTATTTGAGAAACCTGGCTCCAATCCAAAGTTATTGGAGAAACTGGATTCTGTTCCAAAATTATTGGAGAAACCAGAGTTAGAAAATACATCATCTGGCATTTGAAATGAGTTTACTTGTGCATTTATTCCAATTGAGCCTGAGAATGGTAAATTGCTTGAAGAGCCCATGTTCCCAAAAGGTGTCTCACTAAATTGACTAAAGCCATTTCCTTGCAATTTGGATGGAGGAGGTGATTTAAAATTGAATGGAGAATCCAAACTTCCTGGAAACGTGTTCCCAAAATTAGTAAAATCTTTGCTACCATAGTCGTTGGTACTTGCAGAAGAAGTTTTGAAGTCATTAGAAAAATCATATGGGTTTGAAAATAAATCAGCCTGGGATTGTGATTTTACGCCTTGTAAACCATTTAGTCCTGGAACTTTCAAGGATAAATTTGGAATGTTTTCTGCAAACCCAGTATCTACAGAGAATGCTGGTGAACTAAATGCATTTACCGATTGTGATCGAACTGGAATGTTCGATTCATATGACTGGGGAAAGCCATTAGAATAATCAAAATTCTTCGAGAATGATCCAGAAGAGGCTATTGGAATTGGAGGTGGATTATTTGCTTTCAGTATCGAACCTGTTGGAGATTGAAAACTACTTGGTGGATTGAAGGATTTTGGTTGTTCACGAGAAATGATACTTAATCCAACCGGTTGTGTATTGTCGTTCTTGCTCTTCTCTTGTATGCTGTTTATCAATTGCACCATTTCTTGCACGAAGTCGTAATTTAGGGTTCCTTCGATTTCTATTGACGCTTTCTGTAAGCACTGCTGAACAGTTCTTTTTTTCAAGGCCACTGAAGCTGGGCTACTTCCAGATTTTGTCAAATCAGCTAAGGCAGATGCGAAAGCTAGTGTTGTTAATTGTGACATCTCTTTGGGTGTTTTTCTCGAATTCCAAGTCGAAATCAGCGTTTTCTTCATTGCGTTGATTCTGTTGGACAGCTCTTGTTGAGGAAAAGCATCTCTTGATTGAATAATGCATCTCAAAAATGTGTTTATCAACTTTTCTGCCTGACCAGTATCGGATAATGGATTTACCCGGCCACTTGCCGCGTGGGAAGTGACCACAAGAAGAAAAATTAAACAAAAAATCATATTTGCTTTGAAAATCATTGTTGGTAAAAATGTATGAGAAGTACTAATCTGTTTTTTATTCATTTGGACTTTATATAGAGATAACTTAAACCACTGTTTTCTATTCTCGTGGCTTAGGTTTGAGATAAAAATGAAGATTTCTTAGAAGTAAATTAAGCATGTGCGTTTATTTACTTAGGTGGAAATTTTTTACAGTCTCCATAAATGTCATTCAGTTTTATTAATTGCCAAAGAAAATAGAGTTGTTCCTGCATTTATTATCTCAGCAGTTTCTCTCGCATAATTCGTTAATTAGCAATAAAAAATCGTTATGTTCGTTTCATTTCATCTCAATGCCCTGATGAAAAGATAATTATTAGCCCGTGTCACGATTTCGTATCTGTTCTGTAATATAACTTTCTAAAAAATCGTAAATTGTTGTGGTTTCTTTCTTTTTTATTACATTGCTTTCGTCATTCTCTGATAAATTACAAAATATTTGCATGATGCCAGTTATTCAAATACTGCCTGCCATACTGGTTACTGTAAATCACGAAAAAGTAATTTCGTTCAGTTGCTACTGTTGAATCATGCATTAGTTTTCTTTATTTTGGATAACTACGTAAAGATATTGACGTAGAGGGTTTATAGTTTTTGTTATCTCAATTGCCAAAGTTCCTGGGAAAAAATATGAAAAACAACAGTTTTATTTGAAGATGCTATCGTTCCTCGTTTTTTATGCTGGAAATTACAAGATATTCTAAGCTTGAAACAATGATGTGTTTTAACATCAACTGAACTTTAAAACCTTCTTCGAATGCGTTAGAAATAAAAAGATTTAAAAGAATATGTAATGTTATTCGTCTTAATGCGACAATTTAAGTTTTGGCATTGAACAGAATGAATTCCAGGTGAACAATTAGTCTCGATAGATTTAGCACCAACAAATAGTATAAATAGCCATATAATTTTTTCCCCCTCAACAATGTTTTTTGATATTAAACCTTTAATTGCTATAGTCTAAATATTTATTAAGTTTAATGGCATAGGATCCGAAAACCGCAGTTAGCTACAAATATAAACGTTATTATGCATTTAATGTAAGGAAATAACATGATCTTACAAATAGAATTTTGCATGATTCGGGAGGGAGGATTTCTGGGATACCTCGGAGTCACGTGACCTTTAAAAACGAAGCCTAAATAATGGGAATTTTCTCTTGGTGGAATGAACGCTGAATAATTGTGAAATATTCTTCAAAGGTGTAAGATTTTTGTTCATGTCCTCCAAACATTAGTATTTAAAACACATAGATGCCAACCGGGAAGTTCTAGATTCATAGAAGAACGGAAGTCGTAGAAGCTATAGTCCTAGATCCTCACCATGTAAATTTGTAACTCAAAAGCAATTAAGGTTAGATTAATTTGTTTAAATTTGCAAGCATCGATTATCAGGTTATATATATAGATATTTGTTTAAATATTTTATAAATAGTGGTGGCCAAAATCTCTTTAAATCAAATTTATTATCTGATAAAGCGAGAGAAGTTAGCTTGTATGCTCCGTGTTCCCAATCTCTTACAAAACCATTCATAGTATTTCCGCAGAAATACCAGTCATTGAAGTAAAATAATTGATGAAATTGGAAATAAGTACACAAGCAGTGGTTTGTTGTTTTGTTGTAGACAATTTGACCTTTTTACTTAAATTACACCGAATTTTGATTTATGCAGAGTGTAACTTAATTATATTTTATATATAGTGAAATTTATTTCTATTTTATTTCATTAAATATTAATTAATTTAATAATATACTTTTTATATATAATTAATTATATAAATATATTATATACTAACTCTGAGGGCGTGACAAATATTTTTATATTTTAATGTATCGAATTTGTATTTTTAACTGAAATGAAGATGGGAAATAGTTTTTGTGAACTTTAACAAGTGCCGATATAATGGAATGTTGTAAAAGGTCCGCCAATTTTAATTTATGCTGAGCATCTAAAAATTATTGTTTTCGGAGTTCGTTAAAATGATTTTATTTTAGATATTTCATTTGTTTTAATTTTAGCATTTTCAATTCAAAATAAATGAGTAAAATATTAATTTGTTACGGAAATTCAAAAATATTTTATATCGCTTGCAATAGCGCCGTTGAGCCGTTAAGTAATGTTTAAGATTTCGTCGTTTTTTCTGAATATTTTGTTTTAAAATTTCGAATTATGCTCTGCTTTATCTGACATAATTTTGTTAATAAATCTATTTATTTTCTAGTTTACAATATTTTTCATTCATTATATGAAATTGTTTAAACTATCGATATTGATTACTCTAGGGAACAAATTTTTTGTTGAATTTATGGAAATACTTGTTCTTGCCTAATTCGGGTGTGGAGATTTCAAATCTTAAATTAGTTTTGTTGTTAAACTCCTAGGCCATTAAACTTCAATTTTCAAATTATCATATGTTTTTCTAATGGGTTTTAAATTTTTACTTGTAAATATTAAACAGTAGTAATTTGCTTTAAGAAAAATCGAAAATTATAATGGAAAAATATGTTTTCAACTTTTTACATTCATTAATATATAATAATATCATCAGCAATATTAAATTTTATTTCAAATGTTAATAAATACTTATCAGACTGATTAAGTTTTAGCCCATTTAACACTTCTTTTGCTCAGCTCTGTTTCAATGCTTTTCTACATTTGTAACCGCGCCAGTATGCCTGCACTATAATTACTGCAGCTCTCAATCTTTTTTCATATTCTTTGAGCTTTCTCTCTTTCAGAATGCCACTATACAACTTATCCACTTCTGTGTATTCTATGCACTGGCTGCGGCATGTTTCTAACTCAGCTGAGAGCTCTTTCCAAATATCCTCTTGCTCTGCCTAAATAAAATAATCTACTTTAGAATAGTACTAAACAGTCGTATAGTTTTGACTAGTCTGTCAAGTACAGTGGTTAAAAAAAATACATGGGTACATGTGATGATGCTATCACAATACCCTCAAGTTTTAACCTTTTGGCATTCGCCTAAATTTAAAATGTTACTTTTGTGACGGTGCCTTGCGCCTAGTTTTTTTTAACTGCGACCGTGAGCTTTGCACGGTGCCTGATGATGCAGCCGATACAACAGTACACTTTTGATCGTTAATCTTTCAGAAGTGTACAATGACTTCACGTAGACCTGAAAATTTAAATTTTCAGTCAGCTGACTCTAATGACTTAGAAGCCACTTTTTCCTCAAACCTAATGACTCGGTGATCGATATCGATAGGTCCTTTTCATTTAATAGCCAATTATTGCACACTTTTCTTTTTTAATTGAATTAAATTATATATTTTTTAAAAAAAAATTCATGTTAGATTCTATCAAAATTCAATTCATATTTTTATATCATCTACGGCTATAGAAAGTTACTTCAATAGTGAAAATATTATATATGTGTGATAAAATTTAGTTAAACATGCAAACTGTAAGGAACTTAATTTAAAAATACTTGGCGTGGCAAAATATTGTATGTATACATAATCTTCTTCTACATAAGTCTTTCCAACAGAAATTGATAGATTTTGAAGACTCAAAATTTTGAATGAAGACATTCTAAAAAAAATTCTGTTTTGTAGAATCTTTGCATTGATGTATTTTTATCATTGGACGATTTAAAAGAAGAAAAAAAAGGAGGGAAAACATGACCAATTGTTTGTTTAATTTCAGTTTTTTTTTTTACTTGCTACGTGTTGATTTTTTATTTTCAGATCTGACTTGACGGATATGCTGTATATATTTGCAAAGAATTCTTAAAAGCTTTAAAAAGAATAAAACATTTCAAAGTTCTCAAAAAGGAAAAATATTTTCTTTCTAAATTATTCCTTGTTACCGATTGTCCCTCTTAAATAAAGCCACTTTGGTTTACTGACATAATTGGACGCTTAGAAAACTTTACGAACTCAACAAGTAATGTTAAGTAAATCGTTATCCAGTCACATATTTACAAGGAGCATGAACAGAAAAAAAATAATCGTATCAATAAAAATGGATGTAAAAAAGTGTCCCATCAAAATAAAACGACTTACGATTATAGTCAAAGTACGGTCGAATATGACTTGAAATATGCGATATGGCTTACCAATACCTGGAGGGCAGTAGCATAAATATTACGCCACGTTTCAATAATGGTAGACTTCAATTCTACCACAAACTGAAATTTCTTCTTTTTGGTATCCACACCTCTTCTTGAGGAACAAAGTTAAGGGAAAGAACATATCAGTAATTTCTGCTGTGGGTCCAAGGATTTATCTATCAAATAAGTATTGAGAGGTGTCTATCTCAATGGCTGTGTTAAAACTTGAAGGGTATCTTTATTTAGTGTGAACTTAATTCCTGCTGTCACAATATCTTATTAATTTTTGCTTTTGAAATATCGATATCTGTAAAGTAATTAGATTGTGAAAGAAGTACGTGTGTTACTTACATTTAATTCTTCCATCTTTTCTTCGCTTTTCTTTTTTAACCACTCATAAAATGTTCTGGTATTTAGAGTCTCCTATAAAAAAATGTAAGAATGTTTCTGGTAAAATATTTCATTATTGTACATACCAAAGATACCGAGTGTCCCAAAAATGACTGATGTATTTTAAAAATCAATTAAGAAAAAGAACGGAACGCAGTAAAAAATGTATGGTTTTTCCCCTACTTGCACATTTCTTCAAATTGCCGTAAATAGGTGGCGCGTTAGAATAGAAATAACCAGAATGTATGTAACACAGCTGCGTTCTAGAATATACTCCATGACGGTGAACATCCGCTATTTTAATATGTAAACCATTATCAAAATCTTTCACAAGCGCTCATTAACTCATTCTGTAGAGAAACACTGACTAAAGTAGTCTCAGATTCAGTTTCTCTGCAGCTCTCGCCACCTAATGGTATAAAGTTTAACTAAATGCGAAATTTTGTGGGACACAATAACTAGTTTCCTAAGCATAATACCCCAAACCATGCATTTTTATCGCGTTCCGTTATTTTTTATTGATTTTCAAAATTCATCAGTCATTTTTGGGACACCAGGAAAGATGTAATGTTTTTGCTAGCTATAGTTGAACCTTTCACCCTGAGGATGATCCGAAGACATGCCATCACAAATTTTGATCCTCTGCAGAGGACATGGCACCCCAGGTTCGGAAGCCCAACGACCTGCACGCGAAGTCGAGCACTTTACGGAAGCACAGTTTAACGAAGATCCATACCGCACACGCTCGGTCCCTACGCAGACTGATCCAAGTGGACACCCAGCCGCACACTGACCACAGCCAGTGATGCTTGACTTCGGTAATCTGCTGGGAACCGTGTCATGATCAGTTCACAATGGGACACTTTCTCTTAGAACTATGCTCAATGTAGTTTTCTGTTCCGTATAGTTTCGTAATTTGAAAGTTTTTAATCTACGTATTTCCTTCTCGCCTATGACTTTCTACACGCTAATGGTGAAAGCATGCGAAGTGTCACCATTAGCAAAGAGTTCTGCTCTACTCCACCTGTAGCCCATTTCGATCGCCAATATTGTCAATGAGTCATAGTGTCATATTGTCTCTGATGAAAGTGAGCGCGGTGTTAAGTAAATGTGTTTTGCAATTAAGATAAACATACTTTTAAAATCACTTTATGCATAAACTTTGAATTGATTGTAAGCGCTTGAGTTATATAGCATACTATCATATGCGTTAAACAGCATACCAAAGAAATCAAAATAGCAAAAAACTTCTTTTTACCCGAGAAATTTACAAAATTTACTAAAAATAATTTAAAAAGTTAAAAATAATAATTTAATGAACGACAATTTTAATAACTTGCACTAGGAAATTTAACAGTATTTCGTATAGGTTATAGCAGAAACCATTTATCTCGCGGCATTTAAAGAGGAAAATGGAGGTTTTGTTTGGTTAATTACTTTTAGCTCGCAAATGCTGGCTGGTTAATTAAAAGTGTACTTTTAGCTCGCAAATTTTTTAAATTTTTCTAGGATTTAACGAGGGAAATAATTTTGAAAGCCTAAATTAATATCAGTAATGATTTAAATAATTTTCATTCTAATCATTCTGTTATAGGCCGATTTCGCCGTTTTATTCCGTAAGTGGCTAGGGATTTATGTTTATATTTCTTGTGTTAAATTTGAACTCGAATTTAGCAAGCACTTTTCAGTTTCTCGAGCTCCTTGCTAATTACGAGTCCTACTGTATCGTAATTTTTCTTAATTAACCATTCTGTTACAGGGAGATATAAAAAAAAGTTTGTGTAAAATGATTATTAATCATAATCATTTTGGCGTACATGATATATAAATGACATTTATGATATCTTTACTTACATCAATAACTGCTTGAGTATCATTTCTGTGCTCTAATATAGCATCTCTAAGTTTACTTTCAGCCTCTTCTTCGTCTCTCAGAAATTGCTTCAATTTTCCTTCATTTATTGTTTGAATAAACTCGATCTCTTCTTCTATATTTGCCCTGAAAAATTAAAATTATTTTTGTGTTATTTAAATTTCCTTAAAAAATCACAATTTGTTTTAATATATTTTCCTATTTTAGTAATGGAAAATCGTCTCATTTCAGGCATTGTGAACGAAAACTGTTGTTGGTTTGTCTTNCTCGATCTCTTCTTCTATATTTGCCCTGAAAAATTAAAATTATTTTTGTGTTATTTAAATTTCCTTAAAAAATCACAATTTGTTTTAATATATTTTCCTATTTTAGTAATGGAAAATCGTCTCATTTCAGGCATTGTGAACGAAACTGTTGTTGGTTTGTCTTGTTTTAGGTCTTTAGATTACCGTATTTGGTTTATAACTGTGAAAATCTCTTTTTCTCCTGAATATATTTACAAAAAAAAAAAAAAAAAAAAAAAAAATTTTTTTTNAAAAAAAAAAAAAAAAAAAAAAAGAATTCTTTATTTTGTAAATCAATTTTTTATGAAACTCAAATTTCCCTTTAACCGGTTTATTATTAGTAATAGATGGTTATTATTATAACAATACCCGATCAGGAAAAACATCAGTGTAGGGAAAACCGAACAAGTGTGTAGGTGTCAATGGCATTTAACCCTAACCCTAAATAGCTATCCACAAGTTAAAATGACCTGAGTATATAGTATAATTGGACAGGTAACTATTACAGGCTGAAACATTTTTGTGTAGGAAATTCCGGGCAATGGTACATAACCTTAAATTAATAGTGTAGTACACACATTCATGTCTTGTAAACATACTATTATTAATAACCACCACCCTAATAATCTCTATTTTATTCTCCGATTCCAATCGATTTTGAATTCAGAGTAACAAATAATGCTCCTGAAGCATGATGAGGTGAGACAGGTTCGAATTCCAGCGGTGGCTGGTTGACATGAATTCTGCTCACGGCTCACACCGACTACAGTTCTGAAGAAAGATATCCTCAGTGGTAGACGGATCATGGGTTAGAGTTCCCTTGGCATCAGGCGAACCATGCGAGGTTTTCGTGGTTTTCCTTTCCGTGTAACTCGAATGCGGATTAGTTCCTTCAGAAAAAGTCCTAGCTAGTTTGTCCTAATGCTTGATCTAAGAGTTCTCTTGCACCCTGGGTTGGGTTCAAAATTTTAGGTCTACAAAGTTGAACATAGATAATCGTAAACTCAGAATTAGGCAGGCTGTTCAGTTCTAGTTATTAAACTAGAAAAACTAGCATGACAATTTTTTTCGAACCCAAATTTTTTTTCTACCTTTTCAAAAATGTTCTTTACTTTTTTTTTATCAATTTTTCTGAGCAATCAATACATAGCGTCAACTATAATTTATCTTATACTATAAAGAAAGTTAATTTAAACTTTTTTTTCACTACAACAAATTCGAAGTTTTGATCCAGAACATATAAAGCGTTTTCCAAAGGGTTTTAAGAAATTACTCATAAAAATTGCTGTGCGAAAGTTCTTTCTCTTAAAAAAATACAAACAATAGACTTATTTGGCCTTATTTAAACTATTGCATTTCCACAAATTGCATAATACATTTTGATTTAGCTGTCTTAAATAATAATTAAAAAAAACTAGTTTTTTTCCCATTTTGAAAAGTAAAAATCTAAAACTTATAATACGAAAACAAAAAAATATGATAAAATAAGATGAAAATAAATAAATAAAAATGACATAAAATGTTTTTACTTGACAAGTTGAGGATGTTTAGTTTGAAAATTCAGAGTTGTCATTATTTTTCCTTCTTCTATTTTATCCATCTTACTTGCTTCCTAAAGTTGAAAGAATCGATTAATAACATAAAAATATACCTGAAGAATCAATAACAAAATCAATAATAATAATCAATAACAGAAAACAGTATATATCGGTAACAGTCACTCAGTATATAGCATATACAAATATATGTTAACTCGTTAATCGATTGTTCCAAGTAGCTACTAAACTATTTTCCGTACTGTTCTGCATATTAATGTATCTCATGCAGTTATATTCTCATTCTTTCATACATTATTACGAATAAAAGCACAAATAACCATGGAATAAACACTATTGCGATGAAACAGTTAAGTTATTTTGCACAATTAATATGAATTAGTTAAATATGCTATGTCTTTATTTATGTTAGTAATATTACACTATCTAAACGACCTACGATGATTTAGCACACGTAAAAATTTTCAAATACCAGTGTCCAGTTATCTATTTTTATTTATTTTAATTACATATATTTCTTTCATGTGGTATCATAAACTTGGGCATTTCTTTATCTACTAGCAACATTATACACTGGTTATCATAAATTAAGAAAAAAAAATTAAAAACAGTGAAAACTGTCTCAAAAATAAACCAATCCTCATGAAATTTAAATATGTTGGCGAATAAGAGTTGCTAAATAAAACTGCAATATGTAAATTAGTGATTCTGCAATATGTTAATTAGTGGCACTGCAAAAGAATTATTTCATCTGCAATGATCATAAAATTGTATGTTTGATCGCAAGCCTGCGAATTTCGCTGTGTTTTTTCAATTCCTACTATTAGTTCAAACTCTCCTAATATCTTGTTCAAATTTTTTTTCTTTCTTCTTTTTTTTTCTTCTTTTTTTTCAATCACCCAATCAAGTTCAAATACATTTTTTTTAAAACTTGTAGTGGATGATACTTGAAGTTAATACAGTTTTTTTCAAATATTAATTCAATAATTAAATTAAATTAATTAATTTTAGCTTTACATGGGAGAGAAAATTTTCATTATTTATTTCATAGACTTCGGTAACAATTTTTAACCACAGAACCTGTGGTTAAAAATCGTCAGGCTACCAGAAAGTTCAGTCGTAGGACGGCAAATTGGTAGGAAAAGCGCCAATGACCGACATTTATCATTATGCGCTCGAAGCAATAGAACCAGCAACTCCGAGTCAGCTCAGATCCTTTCCTTTTTTATTTTATTTTATAACCGTTGTAGAACAGTCGTCCCAATTTTTTAAGTTTACGATTACTAATGTTCAACTCCGTAGCCTGGTCAATTTGAACCTAAATCCAGAAGATACGGAAACTCCTGAATCAAGCATTGGGCAAAATTTGCCGGAATACTTTTTGGTGGAACGTACCCGGATTTTCGTTACGTGGAAAGAAAACTACGAAAACTTTCATGGTTAGCCTAACGACGAGAGGTCTCGAACCCATAATCTCTCTACCACTGAGGATATTTTACATTAGCAGTGTGATCGGTGCGAGCCGGGTGTGGAATTCGTATCAACAGCCATCACTGGGAGTCAAACCTGGTTTACCTCATTGGGAGGTGAGTGCTCTATCCCCTGAGCCACCGCGGCTCCAAATGAGCTCTTAGTGCAACCACCGGAAGATTCGTGGCAAAGTCTACTATGAGTAGAAGGCTTCACGAGCGTGGTTGGTTCTTGCCACTCCCCCCACGCCATAAAAAATAATGTTTAAGGTGGACATGGCCACATGTCCACTGGACGGCCGACCAATGGAGCATTGTTCTCTTCACAGATGAATCCAGGGTTAGTCTCTAAAATGATAGTAGGCATTGTTTGATTAGAAGAAAACCTGAAACCCTATGTAATCCATCAAACATCCGTGAAAGAGATGCATACCAAGGAGGCAGTGTCTGTGTGCGGGGTGGTAACTCGTTGGGTGGAGGCACAGATCTGCACGCCTTTCCCCGTAGAATGGCCAGCTTGATCACCAGACTTGAATCCTACCGAGAATTTTTTTCAGATGCTTTAGGAAGACGTGCAGCTGCTCTCTATCCTCCCCTTTAGATCCTTGCCCAGCTTGCAACTGCTTTGCAAGAACAATAGTTTGCCCTTCTTACAGAGCTGGTTGACAGCAGAAATGAAAGCATCACACATCGCTGAATGCGTTGTATTGCTGCTAGAGGTGATCATACTCAATGAAAAGCACATTTTGTACTTTTCCAAACTGATACATTCATTTCATACACATGCTAATCTGTAACACCATAATTGTCTGGTTAATACTTTTTATGCTGTTTCATGCATTATTATGCGCACTAAAATGCCAGTTTCATTATATTGTATTCCTAACTTTTTGAGTTATGGTCATTTTCGTGATTTTTCCTTAACTTAAAATAACCAGTGTACTTCTTCCTACTATACTGAATTGTCCGGTGCAGATACTTACGATGGTTTATGTGATTTAATGGCTGCCAGACATACTTTAAATTATTACTAAAATTCAATACATGAACTTTGACACTATCACGGACATCTCTTGAAAAAAGTTTCTTCCGATTAGGTAAAGCAGTGGTCAATAGCTGGACGTTGAACAAATGTGGTTAATGCACTTTTTAAAATTAATTAAGGTGTTGGGATTGGTGTAAAAAATTAAAATATTTACATGCAATTGTATTGTGCATTCCTTTAGTTTACCATTAAAGTTTATATGTTGCAGAAGATAATTTTGAAAGGTGACCAAGCGGGTCATCAAAAACGGATTGTTATCATATATTTTTATTTTTAACCTAAGAATGACGCAAGCGTTTTTAAAACACACGCTATGTGTAAAGTCAAAAGAAAGTTTAAAAAAAAAGTAGTCATTAAAAAATCGGGAAAACTAGAGGTTTGACTTCAATGGCACATGAATCGGATGCAGCTAAACTGTGCAAATACTAAACTATTTAAAATAGGAAATTAAAGTTTTTGTTTCGGTGCTGGAGAATTCGGATGAATTATCAAGTCATACAATTTAGTAGCAGCAGAAATCGAAGATATTGTTTCTAAAATTAAGTTTTGATCTATTTTAGAGCAGTGATTGCTAAAATTTATTAGACGTTATGTAAATAAAGTAGTAAAACGAATAATAATAAAAAAAATAAAAGGAAAAGTAATGAGGACTATTAAAATAAAAAAAAAGCCAAATTTATTTATATTTTTTTCCTTTTTTAAAAAGTTTCGCTATTGATGTAAAAAAAAAGAAAACTTTATTGTTATTATTATCTCTCCTATCATATATATATTTTTAAAAAAAGTTATGCATATTAACAAAGAAGAATATTGTTGAAAACTAATACGGACTTTATAAATTTACTCGTTATTTGTATTGTGCTTTTATTTGAGTAGTCTAGTGCGGGTAAAGTTATCGAACAATAAGGTTCTTACAGTATTTTTCTGAAGTAGTCTGGATCTTTCAAGTTCCAATTGGAGAGCCGTTAATTCTTTATCTAATTTTAACGATTCTGCAGAATAATTATTTTCCATCCATTTTAATTTCAACCACACGTTCGTAGGTTCTGCCAGAAGCTTTTTAACTTGGTGACGGAATCTTTTCATATCTTGATGTAGCTCTGAAATATAATAAAGTTTATAGTGAAAGAATTTTTTTTAAATTACTTTTTAGGGTTATTGAATTAATTCATTTAAGATGAAATAAGCAATTTCAACAACGTGTGCTATGGATATTTTTCAACACACTTCTTTTAATAATTGTCTTGATGGAATAAGTAAACCATTTTGATTTCTAACTGAAAAATGAGAGATATTCAATTCTTATTAAACATAACACACCTTTATTAGACTTTCAAATTTAAATTTGATGTTCTAAAGGCAGCCAAATTTAAAATAATAATAATTTTAAAACCAATAAGCAATTTAAATAGCTCCAATTGATTTCGACACACCTGTTTAGATAATTAACTGGAACAAATCGATATACCCATTTTAAATTAAAACTAAAAAAAAAGGAAAATATTCAATTCTTATTAAACAAAATATATCTTTATTACAGTTTCAAATTTAAGTTTGACTTTAAATAGTCATATTCACATAAGAGACATATTCATTTAAAATTTTATTTGAAATTTAAAACGTTCCTTTTTGTTGAAAAAAAAATTATTTTTGTATAAACGTATTCATTTTTATTCAATGCTAAAAACTGACTTAAAAAATTAAAATTTTTTTTTAGTTTAATAGAGAAGTACCCATTATGAATTTTAAATATAAAACTTCCAGAGGTACTTTTCCATTTCGTCTGCGCAGACAAAAAGTTGCCAATTTAAAATCACTGAACGCTAGTAAATTCAACTGTTTTTTAAATCAATTTTTATTATTTATTATTATTATTTATTATCATTATTTTTATTATTTTTAGATCGCAATTATTTAAAAAAAAATAAAAATATTTAAACAGATAAATAAAATAGCTGAATTTACTTGTGCCGGCTAAAAGTAAAAGTACCTTTTAAGTTCTTATTAAATACGAAAGATGTTTATTTACGTTTGATTTTCAACGTTTTACGTTTCATTTTAAGTTTGACTTTGAAAACTAAATCAATAGTTACGGTCATTACTGATTGATTTTGCAAGATAATTTTCACATGAAAAAAAATAACATAGTTTAATTCTTGAACAGGGACAAGAAATACGTAGATATTTAATATAAAATGTACAGAAGAGATCTTTTAACAAAGAAATAAAAAATATTTTTGAAATTAAATGTGACAAAGTACCAAATAATATAATAATTAAGAACTATATTTTTAAAAAAAAAGTTTATTACTTACCAAAGGATTTTGTTTTGTTCATTATAATGTTCCCTGCAAGTAACCCCTTTTCGCCCAGTTCTCTCATTCGATTTAAAACTTTCTGACACTCATCATTTGTGGAATTTTCATCGATATTTGAAAATAAATTTAGCGTTTCCTTGGTAACTTTAAAAAAATCAGAACAAGCATCCATTTCAGACTGGTTAAAATGGGAAAGAAGAGCGACATAATACAACTCTTTCACTGCGACATCTAATGCCCCAAATATTCCTTTTTGTAAAAGGGAATTAGAAATCTCAGATGTACGCTTATCCATTACATTTCTAACTCAAATAATCAATTATACTGATTCTGAAATATACGAACCCTTTTCGGAAAGCAATTACTTATTGCAAAGTGACATCGTAAATTTATTTACGCTCTGGTCAGATTTTAAATTTCTAATTTTATTTATACTTATGTCAACTTTCCCTTTAAAGGTATTGCGGTATAATTTATTGATGATTAATAATCACTGTAAATTTATTTTTGCTGCCATACTTCAAATTAAATTTATCAATGTTTATGCCAGCTTTTAAATTGTTTTGTAACTTTTATTGAATGTAAACTTTTATATAAAATGCAGAGGGGCACAAAGCCGGAATCAGATATACTGCACCAAACATCAACGATCTACCTATTATAGGTAATACAGGTAGACTTATTAAGCGGTGTTATAAATTGCGTTTGACGTAAAAATAAGTAATCTTAAGAAAGATCTTACATAAAATGCTTTAAAAAAAACAGATGGGTGACGTAACGATATTTGTTTTTAAATGATGCTTGCAAATCTCGTGTGTGATGAAATAAAGTTAAAACTCCTTTTAAAACCCATGCAAAAAGTTGGAAAAAAATGAAAAAGATTATTGAAGCACCCAGGACTATAATTTTTGCGCAAAAATATTTTATAAATTTTTTTATTGTAATAGCTGCAACTAGCTATAGCTCTAGTTTGCAACTCGAGAAGAAAAATACAGCTGAAATCACGTGGTTGTGCTTGGCATTTCAACGAACCGTCTTTAAAATTTTAAAGAGTGACAGCAAAATTAAGGGAATAAATGTTATTTTAATAAGTTTTTATTCACCATTATGCATATTTTCAAACAAATATATCTGGTCGTGCATACAGACATTTCAATTTTTAAGTGAAATCTAATAACAAAGAAATTTGTATCTTCTGTATTTATATATTAGCACCACGTTTTAAATTTTCTAAGAACTGTACGAATCCTGGTTACAGTTATTAGGCTTGGTTTATTGCCTCGCTTTTGGATCAGATTTAATTGGATACCTGCAAGCGACGTCACGCGTGTGTGTCGAACCTGATTGGCAGTTGAATCGTGTCATGCGCAAATGCCCCGATTTATACGCACGTGACGTCGCTTGCAGGTGTCTAAGTGGATAGCTGCAAGTAAGGTAAACATAGGTGAATCCTGGCATTTGTCAATTCAGAAATCAATCACATTTGACGCATATGCGTGACGTTGCTTACAGGTATCCAAATAAATCTGATTTAAATCACAGGGTTAGGCATTATCACATCACTTCTTCTGGAAAAGCAAGTACCCAATTGTGGAGCCAAACTTTTTTGAATTAGAGAGCATACTACTTTAAGGGAAGAACAACTATACATTTTTGGTGTTATTTTAAAATAATAATAATTTAAATTCATTTCTAATTTATTTTTTACTTTTGCTTTTTTAAAAAAAATAAATTATAATAACATTGAATAAAAAATGAATAAAATGGAGAAAAAAAAGGAATAATATTATATGTAATGGAATAGTATTAAGTGGAACTTAATTTTTTTTAACGAACTTTTAAACAAAAAACTTGAATTCTATAGAGACTGATAAGAAATGTCCTTCTTAATTCCCTATCTTTCCTAAAATACCCTAAGGGAAATCTTACTGTTTTTCTCTAACGACATAGCAGAACGTGACTATTTCTTTTCCCCCGTCTTTCCTCTATAATGCATCACTTCCTGGTGGCGTGATTAGTCTTTGGAGAATCCAAACATCTTAGTTTCAGATAATAACATAGTGCTTCGCCTAGTTCTCCTAAAAGCAGAACAATTGTTGCCACTAGAGTCGTGGTGGCTCAGGGGATAAAGCGTTCTCTTTCCGATGAGGTGAACCGGGTTCGAATCCCAAAGATGGCTGGTCGATACGAATTCCTCACATCACATCGACCGCAGTGTTGACATAAAATATCCTCAGGGGTAGACGGATCATGTATAAGAGTCCCCTTGCTCAGTCAGGCTAACCGGAGGTTTCGCGGTTTTTCTTTCCATGTAACGCAAATGCGGGTCAGGTCCGTTGAAAGGCAAAATTTTGCCCACTATTTGATCCAGGAGTTCCCTTATTTTCTGGTCTAGAGTTCTCTTGCAGTCGGGTTAACCATGGGAGGTTTTCGTGGTTTTCCTCACCATGTAATGCAAATTGGTTCCATAAAACAGGTCAGTTCCTAAAAAAGTCCTTTACGAAAGCAAATCTCTCCCAATACTTGATCCAAGAGTTCCCTTGTCTTCTGGATTAGGTTCAAAATTGCAAGGCTACGGAGTTGAATATTGGTATTCGGAAATTAGGTCGTCTGTTCAACGACGGTTATAAAAAAATATAAAAAACTGTTGCCACTAGTAAACGAATTTTTTGATAAACAATTATAATCAAATAATTATCAAATACTTATATCTAGAAGAGATGTTAAAAAATCAATACAAGTGATATCTTCTACCGGAAGTTGAAACAACCTCTGCAAATATTGTCTCCTATCGTTGAGAACACGAAATACGGCCGAGAATAAAGTCAATATGTATTTTTGACCTAAATTATACTCCCGTAATATAGCCTACTTCTAAAAATTGGAGTAAACTGTTTCTTTCAAAGCGCAATTTTGCCATAGGTGTATGTACCTGTGATAGTTTGGGGTTGATATGGACATAGGCATTTATCATTTAATAGTGATAGTAATTTAAGATTAATTTCTATGAGCAGCAAATTAATGATTTTTGATACAGCCAATGAATAAAATAAATGAATAAAATAAATGAATATAATGATGGGTGAAAGAACGAAAAACAATGTATCAGCGAATTAGGGTTCACCTTTTTAGTGAATTTAGTGATTTAGTTTGCAAATGAACGAAAAAAGTTTGCAAAATTATGCTTTGTGTATTCAGTTTTATTTTGTAACATAATTGAATTTACAAAGTTGTTTTAAAAAATTATTTAGCCTAGGTAATTTATAAATTTCGCCAAGTTTATACTTAAAAAAAAAAAAAAAACAACGACGTGTATTGTATTTTAAAGATCCTGAACGGAGTAAGATATATAGTTACATTCTCATGCTTCTTGATTTACAGTAGTTTTGATTCAGAAAGTAATATTACAAACGTTAAATATAATAAGTTTGTAATTTAAGAAAATATATATGTTAATGTTGTAATAATATGCGAGTTAGAATAATCTTAATGCGAATTAGAAATAGTGCTGCTATCTATATGTATGAAAACGAATTTTTAAAATGTATGTATCAAACTAAAGCTTTAGTGCTGTCATCTATGGAGGTATATTACAACTATATTTAAATAGTCATTATTATCGTGGTTGTTAAAAAAAAAAAAAAAAAAGGAAGCCATTGTTTTTTATGATTATTTTCCGATATCGTGTATAAATTAATATTTATCTCAAAACTACGACACTGTGCTTTGATTATTAACTAGGCATTGTGAAAAAATATTGTTATAAAAAGAACATAAATATGTTGAACTCATTGAATAGTTAATTCTATTTTCTTGCAAAACGTTACCAATTAAAGGGTGACAAAAATGATTGAGGTTGCATTTGTTAATAATTATTGTAACACTCTTATGAAATTTCTTATTATCTTTCGTTAAATATATTTTGCTTTTATTCCTATTATTTTTAAATTGAATAAATATTATTTTTTTTTAAGAAAAGTGAAATTTTGATAAGGAAATATTGTTATTGTATAAAGATGAAACTTTTAAATTTCTGTAAACATTCATTAACAGCTATCCCAAATTCTTATTTATTATTTTGTATCGTCGTCGTAAATTTTTCTTCATTAGTTCTGCTCTTTTTATTTTGTTATTAATTTTTTTTTGTTGTACATTGCGCTTTTGTATTAAATATTTTTTTTTTTTAACTTTTGATCAAATTGTAGCATACAACCAACATTCTTCTTGTACTGTATTTAGATGGCTTGTATTATTTTTTTTTCATATACTGAGTGTTATCTGATTGCCACCCTTAATATATGTTTAGAATCCTTGTCAGAAATGAAGTCAAAATACGTTAATTTTAGAGATTTCAAAATTACTTTTAGCAAAGAAAAACCAAAGCAGTCAAGGAAGTATAATGAATCACTACCATTGAAGCTGTTACTGCCATATTAAAACCTATTATATTCAAAAATAAAAATTAAAAAGACGACGAGACGTTAAAATGCACTAGTACAGTAATCCCTGATAAATTTTTAAAAATTTTTTTTTTAATTCACTAAAAAAGGATAAGTGTAAAAAAAAAAAGTATCGATTGGATATTTAATGCTCAAGGCAGAAAAGCTTTGTCAATTAAAATCAAAGCATAAATTAAAAACAGTAATTGTAAGATTGACAAACATCTTATCATAATTTGAAATGTTCTAAGGCATCGAATAATTATTTCTCCACTTACTATAAGAAAGTTTGTCACTCGTTGAATTGAAAGTACATCATTTCAAAATATGTAATACAAGATTTGAGTGAAATCGGTCGAATAGTTTTTGAGAAATCAACTTTCGTAAAATTCGATTTCTCAGGAACTATTCGACCGATTTCGCTCAAATTTTGTATTTTGCCACGCAAAATTACATACTTTAAAATGTTGCAAAAATTTGTATACCGTACAATTCAAAATTTTTTCGACTAACATTAAATAAAACAATAAATATTTACTAAAATTTATTTTTCGCAAGGATAAACGAATTTTATAATTATGTGCCAAAATTTTTCAATTAGCTTAAGTTCGCGAGATATGGTGAAATACACAAAAAGTAAAATTAACATTATGGTGTCAGAGCTTTGGGTGGCTCTCTTGATCAAACTATGGCGACCATACTTCCCAGATTGCGGTTAACCCCTATATATAT